TCCAGGCTCTCGAGGCCTCCACCACCACCTCCTCCGCCAACGACTGACATCACTTTAGCCGGGCGACGGCGGCGGTGATGGCCAGCGAGGGTTGGTGGACCACACACAGATGTTGCGAAACTCTTTTTCCCGTCTGTAGCGAGGAGGAGCCGTACCCGAGCTGGCCAGGAGAGCCGAGATGGTGGTAACAACAAAGTGTGGACTAATTTCAGCTGTCCCTTCTGGGACGCCGCGGTGGTGAGATGTTAACGACCTCGCCTGGTACACAGGAGGTCGTGGGTTCGATCCCAACCTTGACACCTGTATATTTGGAGTTTGCGTGTCTCTCTCCTCGTGGTCGTGTGGACTTTTATCCAGGGTTCTCCGGGCGTTGCCTCCACATTTAGAATCAACATGCTTTTAGAGTATTTGGGTGATATAAATTTCCACATGATAAGCCACTGCATTGGCCTATTATTTATGGCCAGGTCACTTCTGAAAAAGTGGGCCTTACCTAGCAAGATAAAACGTAGTTTAAGTAAAGTATAATATGGGCTAGAGTGTTGCCCGCTCGTACGTGTGGTGTTCTCCGGGTGCTACAGTTTCCTCCCATGTGTATAACTACTCATTAATTGTCTGAAAATATTTTAATAAATATGGATTCCTTCATCTGCCTTCCTCTACGGTTGTGAGGTGAAATCTTCATGAACGACGATGCGATATATAAACTAAACATTACATTCAATTTTACATATTTTCTCATTCCGTTGTCACCGATGAGTACAACTTTGTGGGAAGGCAATAGTGGGTGGCATTAGGGTATGCCGGCCCCTGCCATGAGAATGTGGAATTGACACCGCTGGCTCAGAATCGGCAAGAGGGAGAGACGATAAAATTTGTAGGCACAGAGACAGGGAAATACACGAAGAAAATCAGACACACAGTGACGCGGGGAGATACGGACATAGATCAGGAGAGAGACAGAAAGCCATGCAAACAGGGAGAGACGCTAATACGTGGAGAGAAAGACACACACGCAGGGAGACACAAGGAGACACAAGAAGAGACATACAGAAATACGCGTCGAGATACAGCCACATAAACGGATAGATACGAAAATACAGACAGACACTGAGAGATACAGAGAGATACAGAGAGATACAGAGAGACAGACAAGCAGATACTCGGAGACACGGACAGACACAAACACCGAGAAAAACACACACAACGATCCCCCGTATAGCCTTAACAGACTGTAGGGGCAAGTGCTGTTAGCGAGCACCTATGAAGGCCGAAACGGTACACGAGGGGGTGGGTGGCCACCACCACGCCTGACCGCCTTTGTCTCCCCAGTGGCGATGTTTACACACCGCACCAGGTACTCATTTGAGGCTGAGTCGACCTAGGGGAGGCCCAGGACCGATTCAGATAATCGTCACTGGGTGTTGGCCGTGAGCGGGAATCGAACCCGGGTCGCCAGGTTCATAGCGCAGCGCGCTAACCGCTACACCACCGTCTCCCCACAAACGCACACAGAGAGAGACACTCACGCACACACGTGGAGAGAGACACTCACGCACACACGTGGAGAGAGACACACTCACGCACACACGTGGAGAGAGACACTCACGCACACACGTGGAGAGAGACACACTCACGCACACACGTGGAGAGAGACACTCACGCACACACGTGGAGAGAGACACTCACGCACACACAGAGAGACACACTCACGCACACACGTGGAGAGAGACACTCACGCACACACGTGGAGAGAGACACTCACGCACACACAGAGAGAGACATTCACGCACACACAGAGAGAGACACTCACGCACACACAGAGAGAGACACTCACGCACACACATGGAGAGAGACACTCACGCACACACGTGGAGAGAGACACTCACGCACACACATGGAGAGAGACACTGAGAGACAGAGAGGAACTGCGAGAGACACGGCACCGGGAGAGTTCACTGCTCGCGAGCGCGTCGAGACGGAGCCGTGGCTCGCGACTCCTCATTCCTACTCCCCCCGACTCTGCGGACAGCAGCGGGCTTCGCTCCCCGTGTCTCGGCCTCACCACCCTGGTAGGACTGCCTTGCCCTTCCCTCCCGGCGGGCGAGAGACGATTACTCATCCCGGGGGAGTCATCGCGGTCGATGGCAGCGAGGGTGCGTCGCGCAGTGCCGACTCCGCTCGTCGCTCGTTTTCCGCCCAAGAGACCCGCGGCGGGGATGGGGGCGGAGTAGAATGTGAGAGGGTTGGTGAGGTGAGGAGAGGCATTGAGTGAGGTGAGGAGTGACATTGAGTGAGGTGAGGAGTGACATTGAGTGAGGTGAGAGAGAGAGAGGAGACTGAGGTGAGAGAGAGAGACTGAGTGAGGTGAGGAGAGACATTGAGTGAGGTGAGGAGAGGCATTGAGTGAGGTGAGGAGTGACATTGAGTGAGGTGAGGAGTGACATTGAGTGAGGTGAGAGAGAGAGGAGACTGAGGTGAGAGAGAGAGAGAGAGACTGAGTGAGGTGAGGAGAGACATTGAGTGAGGTGAGGAGAGGCATTGAGTGAGGTGAGGAGTAACATTGAGTGAGGTGAGAGAGAGAGGAGAGATACTGAGTAAGGAGAGAGAATGAGTGGGTTGAGGAGAGACATTGAGTGAGGTGAGGAGTGACATTGAGTGAGGTGAGAGAGAGAGAGGAGAGATACTGAGTAAGGAGAGAGAATGAGTGGGTTGAGGAGAGACATTGAGTGAGGTGAGGAGTGACATTTGAGTGAGGTGAGAGAGAGGAGAGACATTGAGTCAGGTGAGAGCGAGGAAAGAGACTGAGTGAGGTGAGGAGAGACACTGAGTGAGGTGAGACAGAGGAGAGAGACATTGAGTGAAGTGAGGAGAGTGAGGTAACGAGAGACTAATTGAGTGAGGTGAGACAGAGGAGAGAGACAACCCTTGACTTTCCCACCGCTTCCGCGCTGCTTCCCACCGACTGGAACAACTCCCTCGCAGACTCTCCATCCTCGCGTCTCCCGCGGGGGCTGAGATGGGAGACGTCTGGCTGGCCTCGAGAGAGAGGGGAGAGAGGGGGGGGGGGAACCCCCAGGTCGTGTGGGGGTGTGGGGCTGGAGAGAAAAGGTCGTCTGTGAAACGGCTTCAGTCGCGCCGTGCGTAGGACGGCTGGCTAAGGACTTGAGCCGCAGACCGCGTGGCTCATGGCCAGGATAGGGGGGGGGGGGGGCGTGCAACGTGCAGGTTGTGATATGGAATGTGGCAATAAAGCGCTGTCGTCGGGCATAGGATGAGGGGCGTGATGGGGCGAGACGCCGTGGTGTCGCAGGGTGGCGGAGGGCAGCAGGTGACCGAGACGGGCATTGGAGTGGAACCAAGCTGTCGGCGAGCGAGGGGAAGGAATTGAAATTTTTTTTTTAAACCCCCTGCAGCCGGACGGACGGCGGCGGCGGCGATGAAGCTGAATGAGCGGAAATTTGAGATCGGAAAAAAAAGACGACTTTGGTAACCGCTTGCGGAAGCGAGCGGACGGGAGGCGGAAGGAAGCGCACGACAATGTGTTGTTCATGTTACCTCCGATAAGCACGGTCGGCTGCGTACGCTGCGAAAGAAGTTCAACGTACATACCCACCTACATTTGCCGCGATAACCTCGTGACATTTGGTTTATAGGCGCTGGCAATGGCTTACACGTGATTCCCTGGTGCTTCGGATGCTCTGAGAGTCGCGAAGTGGGCATGGCTCAGCGATGAGCCATGATCATTGAGGAGCCGTTCGACACTCTTGTGCTCTCCTTGCCAGCATGCATGTGGACACGGCTCACTGATGGGCCCTTACGACGGCAAACCTTGTGTCCACGTCTCCCACACTGCCGCTCGGCGTGCTGCTCTCTTCGGGCTCAAAATGCTGAACAGTTCTCTCGACCGAGAACGGATTCGCTGAGGCCGGCCGAGTGGTTGGCGCACGCCCGTGATCTCCAAGCGCTTTGGGGGCAAGGGGTTGGTGGATCACGTGTCGAGATTTGTGAAGCTTCCAGAACCGCGAGAATTTCGAGGTGGCCAGACGAATGCAATGTGCCAAGATGTTAACTGCCTCGCCCGGTATACGAGAGGTCGTGGGTTCGATCCCGACCCTGACGCCTGCTGCTGTATATTTGTAGTTTGCATGTCTCTCCGTGGTCGCGTGGTTTTTGCCTCCAAATTTGGAATCAACATCACGTGCCTTAAGAGTATTTGGCTGCTATAAATTTCGACGCGAAAAGCCACTTCGGTTGAGCAATCATTTGTGGCCAGGTCGCTGCTGAAAAAGAGCTACGTAGCTCAGCGAGGGCCTGACCTGGTAAAATAAAAACACGTGTATAGTTTAGTTTAGAACTGCAAGTGAAACGTGAACGCGTTCCAATCTGCACACAATACAAGCGGGGATTTACATCGCGGGTAAACGCAACGCCATCGCAAAGATCTCCGAGAGGTCCCCCCCCCCTCACCGCATGTTTCCTGCCACACGCACGGCAAAACCAAAACTCTGCATTCTCCGAGACGCCTACCACCAAACGTCCGCACGCAGTCGGACCCTTCTGAAATTTGGCGAGGCTTTCACGGAATTGCACACATTATCTTATAAGCCTATATCGCAAATTGCATGAGCAAATTCCCGTGAGCCAGTCATCCGGAATGCGACCGATTATTTGCGAGAAATCTCGCAAGCCAAGACGGCGTTCAGCCTGGCCGGGTGCTTAAGATGGGGAACCACCATGCACAACAGGTTGCTGCGAAGCCGAGAGGTGTGTGGGTGGCTGGAAAATCAATTCGTCTGCGCTCCCCACCCTCACCGACCCGTACTGACCAGCGTGGCGAAGTATGGACAAAATAAGACCGTACGACCGGTCGCACGGCGCTGGGATGCTTGAGGTCGCCGTTCCACCATTGGGGGGATGGTAGCAGCGCGCCACGCCGTGGACTGAACCGTGCATTGCATGTACAAACGCGTCACGACACGAACTCTCAAGCGCTATGCCACATTTCAACGGGAGTTTATTGAAACACGCACTCACACAAGTCCAGAGTTCTTGAGGAAGAGGCCCATCTGAAGAGAGAGGCATGCAGTCAAACGAGGCAAACACAAATTTAGTGGTTTTAAAACGCCACGACACGAACAGTGGCGTAGCTATCCAGTGCGGAGGTGGTGGCGTGTGCCGAAAACGGGGCCCACGAACCAGTAAGGGCCAGGCGCCGGGCAATGAGGGAGTTTGACAGGGAGCTCCTATAAATTCAGCCCATGAAACGAGGGCCGATGGCAATCACACGCAACCGCTAATGGTCAAGGCATTTGAACGTTCATCTGCGTCTGTTTTTTTGGTGAAAACGCACCAACGGCCTCTGGTCGCCAACAACGGGGGGGGGGGGGGGGGGGGCGACGTTTTGTCCAAAGTGGAGTCCTCCTGGCTTAATCGGGCGTTGAGCGGAGTTGTCCTGGGTGCTGGTGTTGGCAGCCCTGTGCCAATGGTGAAAATTCCACATTCCAATGGCACGGGCCAGTCTTAGGACAGAACCACCACTGTTAATATTGACCGCGGAGGGATACATGGCCGAGGTGACCAGAGTCCCGATGGAATGCTATAATTTTGAATCCAATGTGACCTTGTAAACGTTTTGTATTAACTTTTTTTTGTTAAAAACAAAAGCTTTTTTTTAATAAACACAATCGGCTAACAATCGTTAAATAAAATTAATCGACTAATGACTGAAAATCGGGCAAACGACTCGAGACTCTTGAGCGAGCGTCTTCCCCTGCTCACACGTGAGACATCCAACAAAACTTCACTTCAGGAAAATTGGACTTCGCGCCCAAGTGTTTCACCAAACACAAGAGCCCCCCCCCCCCTCCACCACCACCACTGGCTCAAGCCAGAGAGGGAGCCGTAACGACGAGCATCTTGATAATAGCCCACGCTCTGGACACCGGCACCAAACCCCATCCGCACGCAACGTTCATCAGAGTTGAGTGCAGGCTGAAGAGACCGGGAGACCAGTGTGGTGGTGATAGTGTAAAAAAATATACTGCATCATTTGGAAAAGGAATCTCGACAGTGTTTGACAAAGCTTGCGGAAAGAGTGGACCTATTTTTTGTGACGTGGATGAATTGATGACGAAATGATGTGGTTTCATGATTGTTGATGACAGAGATCGACTCGTGACGACGATAAGTGACGTTATTAAATACGTGACGATGACGTGGTTGAATGGTGGTTGGCGATAGCGATAAAACGGTAACGATGTGGATGAGATGTGGTTGAGAGAATCCGCAACACAAAGCTCAAGGCAGTCGGGAACAACGGGGTCTCAGGCTCGGGAGCAAAACTGCCTGGAGGAGCTCGGCGAAACTTGATTTATGAACGCCGGGAGATTATTCCACGAAAACAATCTCGGTGAGCAACGTACGACTTTACGCGCATGCACGGCGACGCCACTACACATTCACGTTTGATTATCTCAATATTCACCAGTGTTATCACCACCCTCGATAAACATTCCCCGATGCCTCCCCCCACCCCCCCCCCCACGTCGATCAGACACCCCCGCCTCTCGCCCGAGCCAGGTGAAGGTTTTAACCGGGTCGCGGTTCGTTCGGTGTCGGTCAGCCGCAGAGCGCAGCGTTCGCGCTGTGTGGGATCGGTACGGGTACGATCCCTCTGCGTTTCGTCACGTTGAACTCTGATCCGGCTGCCAGAGGGGGACCATGTTAAGACTTTGGCTTCTGAAGTTTTCTTGAGGCTGCTTCCAGTAGTAAAAGTAAAAAAAATCGTATGGGTTCAGCGTTGAAGCAGGCACAGGGCCTATGTGGACAGTGACCTCTCCCTCCTCCTGTCTGGAATCGCCTCGTTTGACGGATTTCCTTACTCGCTTGAAAATTACAAGCGTGCTGGAACGTCATGGGTGGGGGGGACACCTGGATGGAAAAGATTTAATTGTAAAAAAAAGCCGAGGATCCTTCCTGCTCTTACTAGCATGGGACGGTGACCAACGCCGTTGTTGGTCCCTAACAAGGTTGTGGCAATTCCACATTGCTATGGCGGGGGGTTCAGTTAAATCCACAGGGCAACCACTGGGATGTTCCCCACAAGCGGCCGTCATTTTATGAAATAGTGACGGAGGGGGAGCGTGGGGGGAGATTGAAGTAGCAACTTTCAGATTGCGAGTCGGAACAACGCTCGGTTCGCAATCTCCGCTCAAACGAGCTGCAGGGGCGGAGCAGCCCACCCTTGATGGCGCTGCTGAGACAACTGTGGAAATTCCACATTCCCCACAGTGAGTGACAATCTCATCCATCGATTGGACAACTAACACTGAACTTCCCACAAAGTGGTAATTATTTCATAACCCTCCCCCCACCCCCCCCCCCCCCCCCCCCCACCTAGCCAAAGGTTCTCTAAGGGCTTTGTAAACAGACGAGTTCTATCCCCTAACGGTATCTCGCTCTCCAGTTCGCGCCTTTCAGACGCCCGCTACATTCGGTTAAATAGCGCCTATGTTACAACAACAGTGCCTTTGACCCGGACGGGTGGGTGTCAGGTGGGTGTTGGGGAGCGGGAGGGCCTTGGTGGGTGGGTAAGGATTGATGTGTTGGTGGGTCGGTGACGGGAGGGAGGCTGTGGGGCTGGACGACGGGAGGCGCCGCGATTCAGTAGAAGCGCTTGCGGCTGTGCTCCTGGCGGCGCTGGTAGATGAGGAGGCCCACGACGGCGCACACGACCACGGCGAGCAGCGCGCACAGCAGCAGCAGGAAGAGGCGCCAGCCGGACATTGGGGCGGCGCGGGCCGAGCCCGCCGAGTCGTCCGCGCTCGCTGCAGGGGAAATATATGCGTCAGCGACGGCGCCGTCACTGCCGACGAAAATGACTTTGCGATTTTCTACCTGTGGCGCGGCGTGCACGGGAGATTCGCGAGGGACCACGGACAAGCAGGAAGAAAGCCACGACAATGAGCCGGCAACAACAATTGCCCAAGCTCCGTGGCCCTCTCTATATATGTGTTAAAGTGTTTACATGCGGGAGGAAACCAGAGGATCTGGAGAAAATTCACAAGTGCGAGGGAGTCCAAATTTTTGCTGTACTGCCTGCTCCTGGTGAGCCAGTGTATGGCTCCTCAAGACCCATGCAGGAGGGAGCTTGGCAATATTTGTGCGAGCCACCAACCCACAGGGGGTTGGCCAAAAGCCACCACTGCCCAGCTATCACCACTACTCTCACTCCCGCTAACACCACTGTCACCGACACCAGCACTCCCGCTCACACAAGTCACCGACACCATCACTCCCGCTAACACCACTGTCACCGACACCATCACTCCCGCTCACACAAGTCACCGACACCATCACTATCGCGAACACCACTGTCACCGACACCATCACTCCCGCTAACACCACTGTCACCGACACCATCACTCCCGCTCACACAAGTCACCGACACCATCACTATCGCGAACACCACCATCACCGACACCATCACTATCGCGAACACCACTGTCACCAACACCATCACTCCCGCTCACACAAGTCACCGACAGCATCACTCCCGCTAACACCACTGTCACCGACACCATCACTCCCGCTCACACAAGTCACCGACACCATCACTCCCGCTCACACCACTGTCACCGACACCATCACTCCCGCTCACACAAGTCACCGACACCATCACTATCGCGAACACCACCGTCACCGACACCATCACTCCCGCTCACACCAGTCACCAACACTATCACTACCGCTGTTACGACTACTGCCATAACCAACCACCCACCCTCACTCACGTGAATGTCACACCGTTTTCCAAATTTTTGTTGACACCACCGATTTCTACCCCCCCCCCCATCTTCGTAGCCCAGCGCCCGGGCTCCTTCCTCCGGCCCGTAGTGGCACCGGTGCAGTTGCACTGCCTGCACGCTCAACAGCGGTGCGCGAGGCCGACTCACCGCGCTGGGCGAGCGAGAGGTCGACCGCCGGGAGGACACCGCTCCGGTCGACCTCGGCGTCCTCCGCTGGGCGCTCCACGCTCAGCTCGTACAGCTTCAGCGAGACGACGTCGTGGTTGTCTGGGGAGAGGGATCAGGAGTTCAGGAGCAAGGGGTGGGGGGGAGGGCGGGGGTTAACGTGTCAATAGCCCACGTCGGTTTTTCTGCCCTATATTCTTTCAGGGGTTTTCAGCGGGGCCACCGTGGTGGACAAGAGCAGGCTATGTTGAAAATTCACAACTGCCAAATGCTTGGGGATGATGGAGATGGCGAGTGATGACTGATGATGAGATGAATGAACCCTTAATCGGGATATAAAGCCATAACAATGGATGAAGGCTGGATGGCAGATGAACAATGATGTTAAATGATGAAAGACCGATGATGATAATAATGTTGAATGGATGAATAGATGACGAATCATCGATGGGTGATGCATGAGTAATGCTGCTGCCGATATAAATAATAATGAAGTCTGACGACTACAATGATGAATGAACAATACGAGAGATAAAAACGACCGATGACCATGACGGGCGACCTGGACCGTGACACGCTAGCTGTGGCACCGACGACATATTCGCGCAACACGTACGCACCGGAAAGGTCCCCCGTGACGGCGGACGCGCCAAAGTGGTATCCTGTGGGCAGCGAGACCCCCGCCACGTCCAGGCACTCCCTCCACTCGTCACGGTTATCCACGTCGAGCATCACCTGGCAGGGACGCACGCACATGCGCACACACACACATTGATATACGAACAACAACAGCAGCCGCCATTCGCCACTAACTGATGGTGACATCATCGCGATGCTTGTGCCAGGCTGGGTGCGCTTCGAGGCTGCGTGAAATGCCGAAGGATCACGTGAAGTGGTAGGGGGTTCGCGAAACAAGGCGTTATCGGTTAAATGACCGACACGCCCGGCAGGTGCCGCATCGCCGTGCCACCACCTTGCCGTGTTTCAGAACACACTGACACATACCGTACGGCTCGTCTCTATGCCGCTAACAATCAAACCACCCCCCCCCCCCCCCGCTATCAACACCCTCCCTCCGCAGCGATGAGATGAATTGCCGCAATTTTGGGGTAGCGATTCTATCACAGGAACCGATTCTTTTTGACATCCTTTTTAAATGCCTCGTTTGTGCCGCTTCTCAATCACGCCGTCCTTTTGTACAAGTTCGTCTGCTGCGACGGCCCCAAGATGTGACGTAGAACATAACACAACTTTTACAGGGCGCGGTGAGAAAATGGAACCTCACGCGGGCACTAATCCATGCGTGCATAGTGAAGCGAGACAACATATTTGTGATCGATGATCCATGTATCGTCGATACAAGGTACGGAACATGTATCGTTACGTGGTAGGCAACACTTGATACGTATCTATACCGTGGGGGTGGGGCGGTGGTGGCATAGTGGTTCGTGCACCGCGCTGTGAACCTAGAGAATTTGATTCCCAGCCGCGGCTATCGTCAGTACCAAGCGATAGAGCTCAACCGAGCCTGGGTAACATCTCCTGCCACAATCCCCCCCCCCACCAACAGCTTCACCTACCCACACTGACCATAGGGAAGTATGGTCAAACAGCTCCTAAGACCAACAAGGAACTTGGAGGCTTGGATCCAGCCGTGGATCGACCAAAGACTCTCAAATATTATGAGTACAGTATTGTAAACTGTATACCGAGCGAGTGTGACTCAGTGTGTTGTGGTGCAGCGTGTCGTATTCAATGGGGTTTAGGGAGACAGGGTGCATTGTGATGCATTCATTGTGGGTCACCGAGCCACGGTCCAGGGTGTATTGTGTTGCGGCATGTGGAGTTGAGAGTGCTGGTATTGTGTAATGTCTTGTATTGTATTGTGCGGTAGGCTATAATAGTGCAATCATCACACGGCACTGTGCGTTGTAATGATTCGGACTGTAATGGGCGTCACTGTTGCGGACGGAATTGTCTCACCCGGCTTTTGTAAACCCATGGCCACGTCAAACTACATCTGCCCTTCCGGATGCAAACACAACGAATAACAAAAATTAAACGGCTGATCCTAATCCTATCCCAGGTCAGCTTAACCCACAAATTTTTTGTTGCATTAAATGTAATGCTGTGCCAAGTATTTAAATGCTATTTTGCCTCTTTTTCTGAACGTATCCCAATTGTGCTATTGGTGTCAGGTCAGGAAACCAAGCCATGAACTTTCCCGGAGCAGCACCACTCTGTGTACTGGAGAACGGCCCACGGAATCAGACATTGCAGAGCTACCTCTGAGATCTCAGGGTTAGCTCCGTCTTGACCGGCGCCTGTAATGCTCTCCAACACAGAGCATTGGTTGGCGTCGGCTTACAGAATCGGAACATTTATTTATATTGGAGGAATCCGATGAGCTGTATAGTTATTTTTCGCAGATCTCCCGTAGTTATCGGCAAGGCGAGGCCTACCAGCAGGTAGGACCCTGTGCCTTGCCTAGTTTTCCTACAGGGTCCACTGCCCCCCTGGCACAGCCGCAGGTTTTCCGGTGGCCGTCGGCGCTGGGCATCGTATATATCACAACACATTTACTGAACGCAAACCGTACGACGCGACGTCCTTCACAGTCGTTGTACACAAACGACCCGGACGCGGGTAACCGACGTCGCATGGTCGCACCACGTTGCCGCCACCGCCGCCGCCGCAGCGCTGACCGTCAGCCGCTGGCGGGAGTAGCGCACGGCCATGTAGGTGTCGTAGTCCTTGTTGCGCAGGTCGGCGTAGCAGCCGCCGATCTCCGTCGTCTTGCCGTCCTTGCTGTGGTCGTAGCGCAGGGAGCCGTTGTTCACCATGGCCGTCACAAACGGGAACAAGCGCTGGCAGAGGGTGAAGGTCGTGAGAGGTCAGAGCTGGGCGACGTACAGCGAGGGAAAAAAGTATTTGATCCCCTGCTGATTTTGTATGTTTGCCCACTGATAAAGAAATGATGAGTCTATAATTTTAATGGTAGGTTTATTTGAACAGTGAGAGGACAGAATAACAAACAAAAACATCCAGAAAAACGCATGTCAAAATTTTAATAAATTGATTTGCCTTTTAATGAGGGAAATAAGTATTTGACCCCTCTGCAAAACATGACTTAGTACTTGGTGGCAAAACCCTTGTTGGCAATCACAGAGGTCAGACGTTTCTTGTAGTTGGCCACAAGGTTTGCACACATCTCAGGAGGGATTTTGTCCCACTCCTCTTTCCAGATCTTCTCCAAGTCTATAAGGTTTCGAGGCTGACGTTTGGCAACTCGAACCTTCAGCTCCCTCCACAGATTTTCTATGGGATTAAGGTCTGGAGACTGGCTAGGCCACTCCAGGACCTTAATGTGCTTCTTCTTGAGCCACTCCTTTGTTGCCTTGGCCGTGTGTTTTTGGTCATTGTCATGCTGGAATACCCATCCACGACCCATTTTCAATGCCCTGGTTGAGGGAAGAAGGTTCTCACCCAAGATTTGGCGGTACATGGCCCCGTCCATCGTCCCTTTGATGCGGTGAAGTTGTCCTGTCCCCTTAGCAGAAAAACACCCCCAAAGCATAATGTTTCCACCTCCATGTTTGACGGTGGGGATGGTGTTCTTGGGGTTATAGGCAGCATTCCTCCTCCTCCAAACACGGCGAGTTGAGTTGATGCCAAATAGCTCCATTTTGGTCTCATCTGACCACAACACTTTCACCCAGTTGTCCTCTGAATCATTCAGATGTTCATTGGCAAACTTCAGACGGGTATGTATATGTGCTTTCTTGAGCAGGGGGACCTTGCGGGTGCTGCAGGATTTCAGTCCTTCACGGCGTAGTGTGTTACCAATTGTTTTCTTGGTGACTATGGTCCCAGCTGCCTTGAGATCATTGCCAAGATCCTCCCGTGTAGTTCTGGGCTGATTCCTCACCGTTCTCATGATCATTGCAACTCCACGAGGTGAGATCTTGCATGGAGCCCCAGGCCGAGGGAGATTGACAGTTCTTTCGTGTTTCTCCCATTTGCGAATAATCGCACCAACTGTTGTCACCTTCTCACCAAGCTGCTTGGCAATGGTCTTGTAGCCCATTCAGCCTTGTGTAGGTCTACAATCTTGTCCCTGACATCCTTGGAGAGCTCTTTGGTCTTCGCCATGGTGGAGAGTTTGGAATCTGATTGATTCATTGCTTCTGTGGACAGGTGTCTTTTATACAGGTAACAAGCTGAGATTAGGAGCACTCCCTTTAAGAGTGTGCTCCTAATCTCAGCTCGTTACCTGTATAAAAGACACCTGGGAGCCAGAAATCTTTCTGATTGAGAGGGGATCAAATACTTATTTCCCTCACTAAAATGCAAATCAATTTATAACATTTTTGACATGCGTTTTTCTGGATTTTTTTGTTGTTATTCTGTCTCTCACTGTTCAAATAAACCTACCATTAAAATTACAGACTGATCATTTCTTTGTCAGTGGGCAAACGTACAAAATCAGCAGGGGATCAAACACTTGTTTCCCCTCACTGTACAACCTGTGAACCCCATCGCCTCGTGGCCTCCTCGCCACGAGGCGATGGAAGCGGAATGACAGTGGTTTGTTCATTGTGCTGTTAAAAACCCGGTGCCGTTAACTGTGGCCGGGAATCAGACTCGGGTCAACGGATTCATAGCACCACACAATGCTGTTCGTAGTCATTGTGCCAGCATTCCAACACATTTGTCTGTTAGAAAGGAGTGTTAATGACAAATCATGTGATTTTTAAAAATTGATTATTATTGGTTACGGTTGGGGGGGGGGGGGGAGGAGATTGGGATGTGGGGCTCACATCGTGATCATCAAAGTCGTTGCGGTAGGTGTCCACAAAGATAGCAAGCCCGTGGAATGGGTCCCTGCTGCCAAACACCGACCCTGAAACACAAGCACAGTGCAGTCACTGGTGACTGGGCTGAGAGCGTGCCAACCCGCTCCACTCAATAACCCAGCTTCATCACAGTCAGAATCAGAATATTTATTTATACTGGAGGAATCTCATGAGCTATGAAGCTCTGTTTTCACAGATGTCCAGTCGGGGTGGGTCAAACAATACAATAGGAGTGCAAAGTATAGGAAAGGTAAATAAATCACTTAAAAATATAACTTGTTTTTCAGAAGCCACCTGGCCATAATTAAAGTGGCTCATCATGTGGAAAATTTATAGCGAGCAAATGGACCTCCGTGCGAGTCTATAGACCTTGATGTAAGAGTAACCGGTGAGTCACTACACTTGAGAACACACTTTTATCGCAGGCACCCTACACCAGGATTCAATACGAGGATTCGAACCGCGGCTCTCCAAGGTGCCTGCTCAGGGCTCTGACCTCTGAGCCACCCGGCCACACCAACCGTGCGTTTTCTTATCCTTTCCGCTGCTCACAGCGGGGCCGGCTGTACCGGGTGGACAGCTGGCCATTTTGTTTTGGGCCTGAACAAATAAAACTTGCCTGTGTCGGTCACGCACGCACAAAAACGTGACGCCTGAGGCTACTCACGATGATAGCAGACACCAGCAGCTCCTTGAACATACCGGAACGGTTTGTCAAGACTACAACAGTGCTACTTCTTACGATGAATACACGTTAAAAATTAAATTATTTGCAGCCCTGTGTCAATACTACTCTGAATTAAGGTGAGTGTGAGGGAGGGATATGAGCAGGAGGAGGGGAAAGGCAGCACGAGTTCAAACATTATTCGCCTCCGACGTGGTAGGGAATGGTTTCCTGAGAGCCGCCGGGTTCGCGGTGTAGTTGCGCTAATCGCGGCGCCACCGTTCACTTGCGGCTCACCCAGCTGCATCTTGTCCTTGGTGTACCACACGGCGAACCCGTCCCCGTGCAGGTTCTTCTTGCCCTGACCGTGCACCTTGAAGTGCACGTGCAGCTCCCAGTCCGTCACGTGGCACGGCTGCAGAGAGAAGTACATCGGCTCGGTTTTTTTTTCAAACGATCCATTTTTTGCCGTTGTAAATGTTCCCCAATTTTATCCCGATTCCGCTCCCAGCGTGACGCCACGAGACAAATAACAAGCCGTCCGGAACGCTCACCGAGCAGTGCGACACTTGCGTTGGAGAACAGCCCCAGGAAGCAGACGTGGAAGAGCTACCTCTGATATCCATTCAAGCGACGACGTCAGGCCCTCGTACGAGAATGGCAGCACTCGACCACCCTCTGCATTTGACAGCAATGATCGTCGCGTGATCATTGCCGAATGTACACAAATTAAGTGAAAAACTAATTTAATATGGTGATGTTGATGATTGGACGGAAGCCACAGACTCACTACACTGTTGGTCACTATGCAAGTCTATGGGTCTCTACATACGTCTATGGGTCTCTGCGTGAGAAAGCGCGATGAGGAAGTCGCTAACGTCGCTTTCCCAGTTTCTCAACGAACTCGTCTGCGTGTGACTCCTGAGATTGCATACACATCGAGGCTGAGGTTGTACCCTCCTCAACTGGAAGCAATGAGAACCAGCACTAGCAAGGGCAACTTGTCTTTTCTTTCACTACTTATCGTTTTGTTCAAATTACTTTTCCATCAGTTTAACATGTACGCTTTCACGACCGACAAAATCCTCCATAATCGAGGTTTTTGGGTTAGATCGTGTAAATATATGTGTCGTTAAAACCCGCCACCACCCGACACAGCCCACTATTAAGGGTTGTCACGTAACAAGAACATGCCAATTCGTCACTAGTACAGCACACCGGTGTGTTGGAGAGTACGACGTTTCGCCAGTAATTACAACTAGCTTCATCAGGTGACCGCCAGATTTGTGGAGAAATCTTGCTGTTTCGTTCCTTACATAGAGGGCGTAGATGAGTTGACCACACTTCTGCGCTCTTGCACAATGTGGGGGGGGGGGGGTAGGTTACTGAGCCAACGTACATTATTCATTATGCGAGCCCTCTGAACTTGTCCTTCCTGTCTATTGTGTTTATTAAAATAGCCCAACCAACGGTAATCCCTATTGAAGTACGCTGCCCTTTGTAGGCATGCATTTAAATAATGTATTATTTGATTATTCGCTTCCACGCAGCACTAAGGCGTTAATGCGCTGTTCACCGTAATGTGATACAACTCTGGTCGTACTTGTAAAACAGATGCTAGGCTCAATGGGCCTTACCAGATGTAATAATAAAGTTTAAAGTCTGAACTCTGGGTAAGGCGACTAAAATTATTTATTTTGTAAAAATGGGAGATCCCACTTAGCATTGTCTCCGCAAGTACAAAAAAAAATGACGAAGAGTTTGCCGCAGAGGAAATGTGGCTTGACCAGGACGCCCTAAGCAAAAGATAATTTAATCCCCGATTCGCATCTATAACATCAAGACCAAAAACATCCCAAGGAATTGCGCCAACACTTTCTGCACTGCATGAAAACCGGCAAAAAATCCTCGGACGGATCGGAACACGGGCGACATCTGTTTGCGGTGAACGCCATCGTTTCCCCACCGAGAATCGGCCACGAACGCCGGACGACCTCCACCCACCGCACTAGGTTCATGTCAATTCACAATGAGCCAGACATCATACATGTCGTGACTTGCGGTGGGGGGGGGACGACGACTTCAGGGCCGTATCAGGCCGATCACTCTCACAGGTCTGGCCGCATGCGAGACCGAGTTGACGCAACTTCACGCGGTGTCACAGAGCGAGGCCGAGTTGATGCGACCTCGTGCAGTGTCACGGAACTCTTATTTACACAGCCGCGTGTCGCCACGCGGGTGCTCCAACTGTATAGAAGGAAGAGATAGGGGCGGAAGTGGAAGCCGATCTGTGTGTGTCTGGACACAAAGGTGGCCAAAGGAGAAACATTAAGGAAGGGGTGGGTGATGGCGGGAAAGTGAAAGGGATGTGGTGGTGGGGAGTGTGTGCCAATCATCTTATTCAGGGTCCGTTCCGTGACCGGCCTACCAACGAGCCATCGACACTTCACGTGACCCCAAAGTGCACCTAGCCTGGCACAAGCGCCGTGGTAATGTTGTTGTTGTGTGAAGACTAGTTTCGAAAACACACTCGTGTTAAAGACGAGTTTAGAAGTGTATAGTGTACAGCCCTATTGCTGGATGAATGCCTCCCCACACTGTCGTTGATGGGGGTTGTTGACCTTACCTCACCACGACGGTCAGCGAGGGTTAGTGAATGGGGCTGGCCAACAACGGGTTAAGATATCACTTGCCACTGATTTGAGCCGTCGCCGGGAATCAAACCCAGGAGACCAGGTTCGTAGTGTAGCGAGAGAACCAGTGCGCCCGCTGGCCGGCGTGTATCGACATGAGAAGAGCCAAAAATGCGATATCCGCAAACTCCCAGCCCACTGTCAATTGGGACAAACTGGTGTGGAAATATGACTAGTTAAAACTGTCGCATTATAGCTACAAATTCAGAATTTACTTACTGCTGGTAGGCTTCGTAATGTTTTATTGGAATATTTAACCTGGATAATGCCTTGAGATGGAACACCTCGTTTGCAAGGGTGTCCAGAGTCATTGGCGACTTCAATGACTCACTGTCCGGAGAACCAGTTCAAGGAGGGCAGCTCATTGTCATGCAGGAGCAGTGCCCTAGGGTTTAAAGATGAGGAGCGGGTGGAGGGATGGGGTGTGGGGAGGGAGGGACCCCCATGTTTTTTTTTGGCTCGCCATCGGACAAAGACGGTCACCGCATCGCGCGCTTTCAGACGCGCCACTGCGGCCGTCTGGAACGCTCTTCCTTCCGATATTAGGAAACCACTGAAGCGATGCACTTTTAAATCTAGACTGAAAACTAATTTCTTTAGAACTGCTTTTCGTGTTTAGTTTGTTGACCTTTCCCCGCATCTACAATTAGCGCGGTTACCTAGGTATGGTGCTAAAGAAGTTCAACATACATACATGCTTGGGACTCAAGTTCCTTCTCCTGCACTGTCGATGGTGTAGGTTGTGATGGGTACAGCGAGGGGGTCTATGTGTGTGCGTGTGCCTGAATGGGGGTGGGTGCAAGTGTTTGAACAGTGCTGTTTGCACTCCCGTGTACAGTAGCTGCGCTCTCTGCCAACACTATTATATTATTATATATTATAAAATTCACTATTATATTTATAAGCACTCCAGGCATTGGCCACTGGAACAATGAAAACGAATTCACATTAGACTACCAGGTGGTCGACTAACACAATTTAGGAATTAAACGATCGAATTTCAGAACTAGGACGAACAGTGTTCAACTGCGACTTTGGGTCTCAGCATCATCAGCAGTGGAACGTCGACGAATGCCACTGCGTGGGATTGGATTGATTCGTATTCAAAGGAGTGCCTGGCGCAATGTGTAAACATCGCCACGAGGGAGATGAAGACGGCCAGGCGTGGTACTGGCCACCCACCCTCTTGTGTGCCGTGCCGGCCTTCATAGGGGGTGCTCACCAACAGCACTTGACCCAACAGTATGCTAAGGCCACACGGGGGACCTTTGTCGTGTGCTGTACGTGCGCTGGCCACGTACCACAGTGTTCCACATGGCACCGAGCTTGCTCTGCTGGTCGGCCGTGAGTCGCACGGCGTGGCCAATCACCACCGTGTTGCCCGTGATGTCCCACTGCGCACCTGGCGACGAGCCAACGCCTGTTGGAGGGCACACAAAGGTCCCCCCAAGTGCTGTTAGCGAGTGCCTATTAAGGCCAGCACGTCACACGAGGAGGTACAGGTCGGTGAAGCTTATGTATGTGTAGTGACATAGATTTGAAGCTTTCATGACTGCAGGAATCCATCCATACTCTTTGGTTCATTCGGTAAAGTGTTGTGTGAAGCAATTCAGGGGAAGTTTAAGGCTGAGTCAGCCTAGGTGGCCAGAGCCCACAGATATGGAGGAAACCCAAGGGGAAGGAAGCTTGCGGGATACAAAAGTCCTTGGAAGCATTCTATTTGAATCAGTCATCCTAAATAATTCCTGTAACCTTGTGCAAAGTTTGTAACCTTGTGCAATATTTGCATATTAGTGCTGTTTTTATTTGTGTCTGTATACATTTACATCCCCACGTCTCTGTTCCAGCAATCTGTTTTCTTAAGTCTCAATAAGCTCTATTCTGGCTTAAAGAAAATGTAAAAAGGTATTTTTGTACTTAATACAATGTGGATTTAAGTAGTGTCTAAATATGACATCTCAATTTGCTCTACAGAGACAGCATGTTTATTTTATAGTGGCAATTATGCGAGTCTGCGGGTCTCTGTGCGAGTCTATGGGTCTCTGTGTGAGCTAATGGGTCTGTACATTTCACAAACGCAGAGCGGGTACCACATGTGAGGTTACAACTCATACCCATGCAGGTGTGGGGCAGGAGCGGGATTTATGGGGAGCATTGAACAATCCATTTTTATTTCTGGGCCAGAACAGCAACATGTGGCACATTCAACAATACCAGTCTGTGCACATGGCTAATAAAAGCGAATGATGTGGTAACATACCGATGAAGTACGTATAAAAACTCAACGCATTCGTCAATAACAATGTGGCCTTAAAATAAAACATATATAATCGGTGACCTTTCAGGAAATAGCCTTTCTGAATAGCACATAAAACTTCATAGCATGTATCACTTATGGCACATCATGTATGTGCTGTGAAGAGGGGCCATTGTCTGAAACGTCTCCTATTACTGTATATTTGTTTCCTGTTGAGGCCACAGTCTTTTTAGTTGAATGCATTGAGTTTTTTTGTTAATTTAACTTGCGCACCACTGCGAACAAGACATCACCAAATAATGTACTATTAAATAAGGCTAGTGCAGGATGTTGGTGAAATTCCAGCGACGCCAGCTCAGGCGTTAGCAACAAGTCAGATTTTTCATCTGATACCATGGGACTGACCTATTTGGGCATGCTCGTCCCTACAATCACACATCAAACAAAGCTGAACACATTTTCAATCAATAAACGACCCTTGCTTATTCTGGCCCAGGAGTCAATGGCCCTCAGTGGTACGGTCAATCCCACTACTAAGGCATCGTAGCTGTTAGCAATGTTACTATTGGGATTTTGCTTCAGCAGACACTGTCCGGGGTTTGGCGACCCAGAAAAAAATTCCTGCATCCGGCACACCACCTCCAGTATACCTCTCCCGATGGCTGTGGCAACTATATATTTGTTTTATTTTACCAGGTAAGGCCACAGTGAGCTACAGTATATACATATTTTTCAGAAGCGAACTGGCCACAAATGATAGCTCAATGAAATGGCTTATCATGTGGAAATGTATAGCAGCCAAATAATCCAAATGCATGTTTTTAAATGTGGAGAGAAAAACCAGAGGACCCGGAGAAAAATCCACGCGACCACGGGGAGGATATGAAACTCCAAATATACAGGTGTCAGGGTAGAACCCACGACATCCTGCATACCAGGCGAGGTAGTTAGCAAGTGCCTAACCCAGCCTACAAGCCGATCCGGGAAATAATTGCTTACAATTGAAGCCATGATTAAAATACTCACTTGCACAAGTCTAAGGCCCACCGCATGATAAAGGTGTACATTAAAGTCAGAAATGTTCGTCATTATGTGCCACTCCAGCTAAACGAGATGCACTGGTCGTGGCGGTGGATAGTGGAAATGGGGCAAGCACCGCCAATATCCCCAATGTAAGTGCGTGCCGGCACGTCAACTGTACGTTCAGCCATACCGGCCACAAAACAAATAACGTGTTGACTCAGCCTATAACCAAATCACCCGGAATGCACCCGATCTCGTCAGATCTGGGAAGCTAAGCAGGTTTTTGACTCTGCACAGTGCTTGGAGATAGGTGACCACCATGCATTAATAATAATAGGTGTGATAGGCTGCTGTGGAGCTACGTTGTCAACAGAGGGCAGTGCACGAAAATCAGCGGTTGCAAGGTCTCTGCTGTGCATCCACGTCTATGTTCCTCGCCTTCAACCCAACCCGCACGCACCAGCGTGGTGAAGTATGGTCAAGTAACCCGGCGTGGGGAGGCTCTTATCCAGCAGTGACCTGACAAGAGGGTCTACCACACGTGCATTGTTAAGTCGGTGCGTCACCTGCATGTTAAGGCATACCCACACCTGTCAACCCCCTATCAGTGCCTACCTTATTAAAGACCAATGCAGATCTTATTGGTCACCCCCATACCCTTATAAATCCCAACGTTCATCCTACAAAGTCCCATCGCATGGGAGAAACACAAACAAATAGACACATTTTTTGCCCGTATTGAAACGGCTGTACGCCGTATGGACCTGAAATCTCAATTTCCCTGTTCAAGATCAAGGTTGTATGTGTTGACAGGTATGCATACCGATTAAAATACAAGTAGGTTAATTATTAATATACAGATGCAATATACTGGCTTTACGTACAGATAACAATCCAGTCGTTTATACGCAAGCAATAGCTAGCCTACCATATAACGTTGCATACTTGCTTCACACAAGAAATATGCAATTATGCAGTTCACATCCTGGCTTAACTGGGCACAATGTAAATTCACATGCGCAACTTGCTGCATTTAAATAAATGTTCTTTTCCATACATTTGTCTTACACATGCAGGTAGTGGCGGATTAGGTTGGCATACACGTGAACATACCGTGTTGAACAATAACATTAGGTTTTACGCCCCATGACATACTGTATTGACTTAACACACGTGCTGCCTATAAACTACACGTGCTTAAACATTACAGGTGCTGTACTCCAGCAACTTGAAGATTCAGTATTATCTATGTCCCCTATCCCAGCCCTTGTCACCAGGCTCTGCTCATTAACCTTATTATCCCAACCCCTCGCCCGATCTGCACGCCTCACCTCTAACCCTACACGCCTAACGTGACCCCGAACGCTGGCCCGAGACGACCACCGAAGCCCGACTCGCTCCCCCCCCCCAGACCCCCGTGGCCTCACCCTGATAAGGCTTCATGAGGCTGTGCTCCCTCTTGATGAAGTCCCCGTGGTCTCCGTCATCGCCGCGACACGGGGCGAGCAGCAGCAGCAGCAGCCCCAACACCATCGCCACCAGCGGCTCCATCGCCAGTCGGGCTTCTCTCGCTGTCGGGCGGGCTGACGGTGACTGCGAACGGGCAGCAGCTAGCCGAGTGTCTCTGCCCGTGCAGAGAGAGAGCTAAGCGACCGGTCGGGCAGCTTGTTAAGAGTGGTTGACTGGTTGGCAGTGAATCGAGTGAGCAGCTGGGCAGCAGAGACACGGACTGGGCAGTTATTCGAGTTACTGGCTGGGTAGGCGAGTGCCTTACAGAGCATCTGGGAACCAGAGATACTTAACGGACCGCAGACCTTTGTGCGTCTGCCCCAGGGATTGTCTGGCCGACTAATAAGGTAATTGAATGTCAGCCTTAGCAACCCAGAGTTTGGCTGCTATTTGGCTGTCTTGACACAGTGACGGCGGCTGACAGTAACTGCCCTTGTTGTGTCTGCCAGACTGAGTGCCTGTCTGACTTGCCCCTAGCACCTGACAGGCTGACTGGGTACTTGACAAACTGCCTGAAAGACTGCTTCTCCTGAGTGCCCGACGGACTGCCTGCCCTAAGGCACGACAGGTTGCATCTAAGACGACCTGCCCTAGTGACTGAGTAACCTGACACTGTCACGCTGCCCGACTGCCTAAGTGACTGACTGAATGGTGACTTGACACTATCATCACAGACTGACGGATTTCCCTGGTGACTGGCTACGCTGGTGGATGACTACCCTGGTAGCTGCCTGCCCTGGTGACTGATTGCCCCGGTGACTGACTGCCCCGGTGACTGACTGCCCCGGTGACTGACTGCCCCGGTGGATGACTACCCCGGTAGCTGCCTGCCCCGGTGACTGACTGCCCCGGTGACTGCCACACTGCCTAGTCCTGTGGGTCGCTCTTATTTCTGCTTACATCTCCAGCCCGGGTCCCCGACCACGTGGTACTTAAGCACGGCTTCACATTTCCCAGAGCGCATACGCGACCGGTCCCAACTCGGCGCTCTCCCAAGTGGTCCGCGCGTTTAAAGAATTGGCCAATCGGATACGAGGCCGTACGCATGAGCGGTGGGGAATCTAGAAGCACTCCTCAGCCAATCGGCGAGCCGTGATGCTAATCGGACGGAAAGAGGGCGAGGTCAAAAAAGAGAAAACAGCGCGGGTTTTTCTTGTTTATTAAATCGCGTTTCGTTACTTGATTAGCCACGTGGGTTAGGTATGATGAGTTGGCTTCCGATAACCGGTGAAGTTGGGCGTGATTGTTTTGCACGCCTGTAACCCGTCGATTTGGGGATAACGGTTGGTAAATAACGTCGACATTTGTGGGAAACTAAAAAAAAAGCTGAGCCACACGTCCGGGAGATGGTAGTACAGCAAGTAGGTTCGCGAACCCATCTGTGTGGGCATTTAAGTGTTGTCCAGGATCATTATTGTTGTTGTTTTTTCCTTCCGGATAGTCCAGTTTTCCTCCACACGAAGCAAACTACTTGCATGTTATTGAAATTGGCCAAACATCCCAATGCATGCCCCTTCTTTTAATCTTGAGACTCAGCGAGGCATTTCGGGAAGAAAAAAAGACGACAATATTGTATCTAAAACCATTGTCACATCCCAGCAGTGGATTGACCATGGCTGATTAATTTTAATTAACGACTTACACAAAGTGTTTGCCACAAATGAACCACAATACCTTGCTGATCTCAGTCAAGGACCATACACTGTCACGCACACTTCGGTCATCCTAGATGCGGCTTTTGGCTAACCATCGAACAAAGACGGTTACCGCATCGCGCACTCTCAGATGCGCTTCTGCGGCCGTCTGGAACGCTCTTCCTTCCGATATTAGGAAGCCACTGGAGCGATGCACTTTTACTGGTAGGAACGAAGTTGTAAACTGAGTGTACCAGCCTGCAATAGATTAATGTGTCCGTCCGTCCGTCCCCTTTCAATACTTTAACGAAGTGAAATCTCGTGCTGTTGGGGTGTAAAAATAAAATTGCGCAAAATTCCAATGTTCCTAACAGCCCACCCTGCAGGGACCTGTTAAATCTAGATCGAAAACTAATTTCGTTAGAACTGCTTTTTGTGTTCAGTTTGTCCTTCCCCCGCACCTCCGATTAGTGCGGTTTTTGGCGACGTATAGTGCGAAATAAGTTCAACATACATTAATACTGTATTTTAGAAAAGGCTTGCACGCCAAGCTAGCAAAACTCGTGTTTCATGCAGGATGGCGCAGTGGTAATCCGAGTGCCTCAGAGTAAGAAATAAGGTTCAGGATTCGATTCCAGACTTGGGTGCCTTTATATGTGGCGGTTGTGTGTTCTCCCTCGGTTCTACATTGGTTTCCACCTAGAGCTAAACAAAACGCAACGTAACTGATAGTATGGCAGGATTGGCAAAACATCCCAATGTTATGTTAAGCCACTCCTATTGCTCTCTGCCCCCTGTACCGTTCCAGTTCTGTTGTAATGTGCACCGATGCCTACTTTATTGAGGGCGATATTTGGCACGTAAAATAAAGATTGGTTTATTAAAAAAAAATACCTGCAAATTACGCATGAAGGATTACGCATATCAGCACCCAGGAGTGTTCTAGACAGGACCCCCCTGGACAAGAGTTGATACTCAGTGAGTAACACAAAACAAGCGTAATAACAACAGAAATGATAATCATGAAGCCTGATCTTCCAATTTAGCACAAACCAAGGGCTTACTTATAAACCAGTTATGAAAACCATTGATGAAGATGGGACCAGCTGCACTGAGACTGCACGTATACAAAGTCACGTAGCAAAATATAAGCGTGCGACTGTGGTCATCCAGAACAGACCGCACAACATATAACGACGAAATGCCTGATCCACAAATACGAAGGAGACATCACAGCGATTACACTCCGCTGTTCCTAATGCGGTTGTCTGGCTTGACCGCCTGAATGTAAAATTGTAGTCGTTGCTCTGCATCCACATCAGCCATGTGAAAGGAGAAGTGAGAACGTGAGTCAGGCACAGAGACAGGCTCTCAGCGAGGTATTTATCAACACAATGACACGAGAAGTTTCTTCAGATAGGACGAACACGTCGCCTGATTCTGATCAACATTTGCCCAGGCAGTCCAATGAACCACACCGTGGACGGTTTCATAACGGTCCACAGGTATTTCAAGGTGAGCCAATGGGCCTCAATCGATCTGAATATTGGTTTAAAAACATGCGTGCACAACATTCGCAAGGTAAGGTGGGCTGTAGTAGTTATGCCTGCCTGTATCCCAGCACTGTGGAGGTGAGGGTCGGTGGATCGCCGCAAAAATGTTATGAAACTCTTTCCGTTGGGCGTCGAGAAGGCAGTACAGCAAGTAGACGAATCCCCATCTGTTTCCATCTGTACGGGGATTGAGTGTTGCCCCCTCGCGCACGTGGGTTTTCTACGGGTGCTCCAGTTTCCTCCCACTTGTATAAATAACACTCGTCGTTAGTTGTCTGAAAACATCTTAATAAAAAAACTCAAATGCAGGACCCTCCTGAAAAAAATGGTCAGTGTGCCTAGCCTGGATTAATAACGCACTTTTGTCGTATTATCTTACAGCTAAGGATACATTGTATACGAGTCGTTGGGGTCCTCCATTTAATTAGAAACATGCCTTTAAATAATTTAGATTTTTTTCTGCAATAAATGTCCATAAATTATAAGCCTTGAGCTATCATTTGTGGTCGGGTCGCTTCTGAAAAATAAGTGGGATTTACCTGGTAAGATAAAAATAGATAGTTTTCTTTGTATATATGTTTAAGTGATTTCTTACCTTTCCTATACTTTCCACTTCTCTCGTGTTTTTGTATTGTTTTTTTGTTGTAACGTTCTAACCCGCCCCTACTGGGCATCTGTGAAAAATATCTTTATAGCTCATCGGATTCCTCCATTATAAATAAAGATTCTGAATTATGCGTAATTATAATGTGTTCCATGACGGGGTAAGGTATTTACTCTAAAAATGCACGCTGCATTAGTTATAGATGTAAAATACCAATACATGTGTCATTACATGTGCTATGCACGTGTCACTGGGCACTCTGGACACCATTCGAAACGAGATAATTTGTAATAACAATGGTATTAGATAAAATATTGTTGGCTCCCCCCCGAAATGCCCCACTGAGTCTCAAGACTAGTTAATTTAAATTTCCTGCAAGTGTGTTTTACTTCGTGTGGAGGAAAACCGGACTATCCGGAGGAAAACAATAACAACCAAGAATTATCCTGGACAACACTCAAATGCCCACACAGATGGGTTCGCGAACCCACTTGTTGTGCTTCCATCTCCCGGACTTGTGGCTCAACGCTTTTCTTTTGGAGTTTCCCATGGTTGTTTTCCCGTTGAAATAGTTCAGTAAAACTACACCGCTTACATCAGTTCGACCAGAAGAAAAACCCGGACTGATGTATCATCACAGCCGGCAGAGACACTTCCTCAATTGCACTGCCAATTGGTGAAGACGAAGAGCATAGACGTGGGAGTACGGTATAGAAGAAATACAATCCCAGAACGTTGGGCCAACGTTGCATGTTTACTGGCATACGACGTCTGATTTTTCTGCACTGCCCTATGTTGCTCACAACGTAACCCTCTGCTCTGCCCCCATCCTCGATTAAAAAAAAGTGTGGTAATGATGATAATGATGTCTGGTGCTACGAAGATAACCACTCAAGGACCCGCCGGTCACACGAGGTCACGGCGGACTTTGCTGATGGAAAATGCGATTGCGTGTGAGAGAACAGGAAGTCCTGTTAGATTCCCCGCCAAGGCTAGCATCAGTGTTGGGCTTATATCAGGACTAGGATGAATAGCATTGAGAACGGTACCGTTATCGGTGCGGTGTGTAAACATATTGGGGGAGACAAAGGCGGTCGGACGTGATCCTGGCCACACAACACCCTCGTGTGCCGTTCCGGCCTTCATAGGTGCTCGCTATCAGAACTTGCCCCTACAGTCCGTTAAGGCGATACGGAGGATCTTTGTCTTTGTGTGTGGAGTGGCACAGCGGGGAGCATAGGTTGGTGCGTCTGTCAGTCATTAACCGGTCAACCCACGGCACTTGGGTCTGTCCCGTGATCTTCTGCCTGCGGCGAATCTTCAACGCTTCACGTGGACCGTCATCAAAGTCCACAAACGCCGTGACGATGTCACCGCCGCTTAGTGACGAATCTCGAGTTTCTTGGTTGTGAATGAGCGTGCCCAGTGCGTCGGTGCAAGAGCCGGCGTGTGGGTAGTGTGAGTGCGTGACAATAACAGTGTGTCAATACAGGTGTGTGTTGGCTCTGTGTGGGGAGCGGTGGTGCAGCGGTTAGCGCTCTGCGCCACGAACCTGGCTCACCCCGAGTTCGATTCCCGCTCACGGCCAACACCGGTGACGATTGTCTGAACCGGTCCTGGGCCTCCCCGCCTAGATCGACTCAGCCTCAAATGAGTACCTGGTGCTGTGTGTACAAATAATTGCCACGAAGGAGACAAAGGCGGTCGGGCGTGGTGTTGGCAAGGCCACCCACCCCCCTCGTGTGCCGTGCCGGCCTTCATAGGTGCTCGCTAACAGCACTTGCCCGTACAGTCTGTTGCAGGCTATACGGGGGATCTTTGTCTTTGTTGTTGCGTTTGTGGGAGTGGTGGCGCAGTAGTTAGCGCACCGCGCTACGAGCCAAGCTCTGTGGTGAGCATTTGAACCGGTTCTGGGCTTCCCCTAGGTCAGCTCAGCCTTAAATGGGCACCTGGCGAAGGGCGTGTATACAACAAGAGCACTGGGGGAGACAAAGGCGGCCGGGCGTGGTGTTCGCCGTGCGATCTTAATGGATAGAGAACTCGCTAACAGCACTTGCCCCTACAGGCTGCGTTAGGCTACACGGGGGTGGATCTTTGTGATTGAATGCAGCTGTGTGGGTTTTTCTTGTTTTCGGGTCTTACCGACTCAAACACGATTCCGCATTTTTTCCCAAAGACCTCACGGCTCAAAACTTGCCACAAACCTACCCCCCCCCCCCCCGGCTTACTCAAACAGTAAAGCGAAACCATATGGTGGTGGTGGTGACGGTGATGCACCAGCCAGTCGTCTCAGTCGGTCAACCCATGGCACCTGGGTCTGTCCCGTGACCTCCTGCCAGCGGGCGTTCCGACATTGAACGTGGCCTTAAAGTGCACCTAGCCTGGCACAAGCGCCGCGGTGTCATCACCGCAACTTAGTGACGAATGGCAGGTGTTGTTGTTGTGGTGGAATGCGAGGTGGCGCTGATGATGCTGCTGCTGATGTTACGCACCCAAAATTTGTTTTCTTAGTGAATTTATTTTTTTCTTTCCGGGTCGCTGGTACAGACGGGAAGCTGTTCAGGTTTGGCACTCGACTATAACAGCCACCACAGCCATAGCGTGAGAGAGAGAGGTACTATACTAGATGTTGTGTGCCGCATACGGAAGTATGCTATTCCGGTTTAAAGCTTTCGTGCTGCAGGGATTCATATTCTTGGTTCTTTCGGTAAAGTCACGTAGAAGGGAAACAATTAAATAATAAAAATATAAAACAATACAATTATCACGACGTTTCGACTGCAGTCACGACGTTCAGACTGCAGTCGTAAACGTCGTGAGAATTGTATTGTTTTATATATTAATTATTTTATTCTTTCCCTTCTACTTGACTTTACCGAAAGAACCAAGAATATGCTTTTCCGGTTTGCCAACGCCCACAGACTCGGCTGGAACCAAACCCGACCGGTCTTGGGCAATCATCAAACCAAGCCGAGAGACAGCCTCACCCACTGCTAAATCCCATGACCGACAGCCCACGTGGGAGCCGCTCGTGTGCCCTCTCATCGGCGCACTCGATCTTCATCCGCCCGCACACCGCTCCGCTGCTGCTGTCCGAGGTAGAGGCTCACTCCGGTGTTGCTCTCGGTAGCGAGGGCTGAGGCTGGTGCTAAGAGTCAAGGGAGAGGGGGTTTGCTTGGAGATTGCCCTTCTTTGACCGTGGGGAATTGGAGGCGAGTGAGAGACCCTGGCATCGGGGCCCCGACAATTGTTGTCACAGCTCGAGCTGGGCTCGAGGGGTCTGGGAGGAGGAAGGGGAGGAGGCGATCACCGAGATTGGTTTTGTTCTGCGCAAGGAGAGGGATGTGCGTGCGTCCTTATCATCGTAGTCGTCGTTCATTAACTCGTCGTCACCGCCATCGGAATCATCATCCTACTGACCAACCTCCATCACCATCGTCAATAACCATCACTGCCATCGTCAAGTAACAATTATCATCACGATTCTAATTACGGTACCTTGTTTGTCTTGGCGTGCGTCTCGCTCGGTGTGTCTTTGTGTGTGCCTCTCTCTGCACGTGCGTCTGCCTATGTTGTTTCCGTGTCTGTGTTTCATCATTCATTCTTACCTGATGACGGTCGCTTGAGTTGCAACCGAAACGTCGTATTCCATTACGATTTTATTTTCTGCGTGACTTTACCCAAAGAGCCAAAGAGCAATTCCAATTGATCATCACCGCAGTTATAACGGATAACCATCACTATCCACCACCATCATCAATTACCACCACCGGGCACAACCATCACCATCATCGCTGAAACCATTGCCTCTTCCCCACCCTCCCCCACCCCCAGAGTGATGGAGGGAGCTACGCTCCGCGTTCTCGTCTGTTTTGTGTGCGCCTTCACGGCGGCGGCGTGGCGAGACGGGGAGAGCCACGGGGAGAGTCGGAGCGCTCCCGTGAGAGTCGCTCTCAACGTGGACACGAGCGAGGCGCTGCACGCCCTCAGCCCCGAGTTCCTCTCATTCGCCATCGACGCCTCGGTGGTGGAGAACGGATGGATCGACTTCCTGAGGTGAGGGTGAACGAGTGATGGTCTCCACGCGTCAACCCGGCGAACGGCGTTTAGCCGCTCCCGTTGCAGGGGGGGGGGGGGCGTAGGTGGGTTCCGACACCCCGCCACGGATGGCGTCCCCCCCTGGTCGACACTGCGGCTGTGTGTGCGCTACTTGAGGAGGAGGCTCGTGAAGGAAGCTCGTGAAGGACGCTGCTGCTGCTGGGCAGTTGGAAGGCAGTCGCCCTCCAACAACAACAACAACAGAGGGCGGAGGAGCGACGCTCACAACAACGAGCGGAGCGCCGGGTGGCTAAAGCACAGTAGGGGGCACAGGTGGTGTGCATCAGTCAGTCATCTCAGTCAGTCGACCCGTGGCACAATTTCTCGACCCACACGCACAGACGCACCGGCATGTAAACAAGTTGCACGGACTGTACTGTGCGCACACGCATATGCCCATATATAGTATACACACACACAGACTTAATAGACTTTTGGGGCAAGCGCTGTTAGCGAGCACTTTTGAAGGCGGACACGGCACGTGAGATGGTGGGTGGCCAGCACCACGCCCGGCCGTCTTTGTCTCCCCAGTGGCAAAGTTTACACACCGCACCAGGTACCAATTTTAGGCTGGGTCGACCTAGGGGAGGCCAAGGACCGGTTTCAAATATTCGATGTTGGCCGTGAGCGCAGCACGGCACGGGTTGGGCCTCATCCCTCATTCAGCAGTGGATTGACGAATGGGCTGTACGTGGTGGTGGTGGTGACGGTGATGCATCTGCCAGTCATCTCAGACTGCACCTCGCCCTCCCTCTGCTCCACCAGACACGTTCGCCTCGTCACCCTGGCCAAGGCCCTGACCCCAGCGTTCCTGCGCTTTGGGGGCACGAGGCAGGACTTCCTGATCTTCCAGCCGGAATCTGGGAGCCCCTCGTGGGTTTCCGGCTTGACCCCCTCGTGGGAGAACAACGGTAATTATTGCCTTGCCCGAGTCTCAACGCTTCTGTTTCAGGAGGATCCTGCTACAGTGGGATGTTTGGTCAATTCTACATGCGAGAAAAAAACTTGATTCGAAGCTTTCGTGATTGCAGGAATTACTCTTTGGTTCTTTCGGTAAAGTCACGTAGAAAGAAAATAAATTAAATAATAGAGTACGACGTTTCGATTGCAACACAAGCAACCGTCATCAGGTAGAACTAAATTTGAGAGAGAGACAAAACACAGACACGGAGACACACAGACACACAAGCAGAGAGAGACAACACAGACACAGAGAGAGACACACAACATAGACACACAGAGACCCAATGCCTCTGTGTCGAGGCCTCTCTCTGTGTGTCTGTGTTGTCTCTTTCTCTGCTTGTGTGTCTGTCTGTGTGTCTCCGTGTCTGTGTTTTGTCTCTCTTTCAAATTTAGTTCTACCTGATGACGGTTGCATGTGTTGCAATCGAAACGTCGTACTCTATTATTGAATTAATTTTCTTTCTACATGCGAGCTTTTTGGCATTGTGCGTGCGGGAGGAAAGTGGAGTCCCCGGAGAAAACCCACCAGCAATTGAGGCGATAACACCGACATCTTCACCAGTCTATCGCTGTGCTCTCATCTTGCGGCCCCCTCGTTGCACACGCTAACGACACTCGTTATTCAACCGCGGTTAGCTTGGGCAGCGTCACTGCCGGGCGTGGTTTCTCCGTGGCTTGTGGCCATCATCATCATTGTCGTCCCGTAGAACAATTACAGCAGCAACGTTCAATCTACACTGTTCAATCTATACTGGCTTAAAGAGACACTTAAATGGCCCCACCTCTCTCTTAAAGGAACCATTTTCTCGCGCGGCATTCGAGCGATACTCAGCACGGCTCCGTGCCTCAGAGTCACAGTCGTTTATATCCGTGAAATATTCTGTGTGCATTACAAATTGATTTACAGTAATTATTGTGATTATTGCCAGGCAGTTTCCCATCAAACTACGAACTGGGTTTCCAACGAGATCGGGTGCATTAAAGGTGGATGATTTGGATTGCTGGAGGCGAGGAGACGACGTTGAGGATGAGAAGGAGAAACGCCAGAGTCTTGCATTGGGAAGTTTGGCCAAATCCTCTATTGAATGAAAAAAATAGTGTTTTTATTTACTTGACAAAGCCTCACCGAGCCTCAAGTTTCAGTTTCAAAAGCATGCCACTTTAGATCATTGGCCAACATACTTTGTATTAAAAATAAAGGCACCAACGCTTTATTCGATGGCAGTGGCTCCGTGGAGTGATCAGTGGCTGTCGCCAGCCACAGAAGGAGACAGAGAGCCTCTGAACGTAGCTCAGGGATAAGTTTCCTGGCTCTATTCCGGACCTCAATCCCGTCGTCCCGAGCTCCCACTTCTTCGTCGTTCAATGTCTCTCCGCGTTTCAGGAAAATGTTTTGAAAGGAGATCCTACTTTCAACAAATGGCCAATTCCTTTACCTAAGGACTATAACATTTATTAGCTATAAGGCGTTTGTGAATTTCGAGGCCTTTTTTTTGCAAAAGCCTGTTTTGGATGTTTGACCATTTTTTTTTTAATCCAATAATTTATTTCGGAATGTCTTTCTGAGTCTCACGGCTTCTATATCAGGAGGATCCTGCCCTGGGATGTTTGGCCAGTACCTTATTGAGCGTATTTGTTTCTGTAATTATTTGTTTGGTGTGGAAAGAAGCGGGAGATGCCGGAGAAAACCCCACACATACAGTGAGGGGACACCACTAAAACACGTCTGCACACAGCAGAGAATAAACACAGCAGATTAGCACCCCTTTGGGGAGATAAAAGCTTGGAATGACAATCGTGGAATGACACTACGGAAGAAGAGGTACACAGGGCAGAGGGAGACGTTCGCAAAGTCGGAGACATCACAGTGACTGTAAAAGAAAAGTGAGCGGGCTTGGGGCAGGACAGGTTGTCGCTCGCAGGGACGGCGGCGCGAGACTCGTCACGGTTACGAACACGTCCACAACGAGAGACCGGAGCGATGAAGTCTGCTTAAGCGCGCGGGAGCTCGGTACACCGTCACATCGCGCATCGCTGAGGGACGGCAGCGGCTTGGGGGAGGTCTCCATCCAAAAGTGGATATATATCGTGGCTGATGACGATGACGTTGATGACCGGCAACCCTGCTCGCTGCACCGCCTCGCTGCCTCTGTGGCTGCAGATTGATTTCTGCACTGTGATCTGGGCACGTGGCTCATCGTGCCTGACTCATCTGACCACCTAATCGGTTGGCGCTTTGCGGTGTCAGGTGTCTGTATGTGTCGGTGATGCACCGGCGCGCCAAGTCTGTCTATCGCGCTCCTGGCAGGCGGCTTGGATGGGGGGGGGGGGGGGACGAGGGTTTGATGAGGACTCTACGACAAGCCGCGGGCCGTCCCGTCACAGCCAGAGTCGCGAAAAGGGAGCACGCCTGGGCAAAGAGCAAAAAAAATGGGTTGTGTCTCCGTGGCCGACCATGAGCATGATGATGCATGTACACGTGCGTCTGTGTGTGTGTGCCCAGGGAGCGATCGTTTTTCGGTGAGTGCGCTGCATTGCGACCCCGGTGACCTAAGTTCGATTCTCGCTCGTGGCCAACACCAGTGACGATTATCTGAACCGGTCCTGAGCATCGCCTAGGTCGACTCAGCCTCAAATGAGTACCTGGTGCAGTGGGTAACCATCGCCGCCGGGGAGACAAAGGTGGCTGGGCATGGTGTTGGCCACCCACCCCTTTGTGCGCCGTGCCGGCATTCCATAGGTGCTACTCGCTAACGGCACTTGCCCCAACAGTCTGTTAAGGCTACACGGAGGACCTTTGTCTCTCTGTATGTGTGGGTGTGTGCAGAGGTGCGGATGGAGCCCCGCGTCTCATGTCGCCCCCCGCTCTTCTCGGAGGCGAAGATCCGGAGGCAGAGGCAGAGGGCAGAGGGACTCCTGCCAGGGATGCTCCGAGATGAACGGAGAAAAACCTTGAAGAACATCACCATGACAGGTCCCAGCAGCATCACGCACCGCCACAACAATGAGCAGCATCACATACAGCACCATCTCATTCAGCGTCCAGCATTGGATTGATGAAGCTTGGCACATTGAGTTTTTCATCACATTGTAGAGCACATTAGCATCACACGGCAGCATCACACGGCTGCATCACCATCATCTCCATATATCCTAGAGCACTATCGCTCAGGTCCATCATAATCATCATCGTCATCATCTCAAGTGCCATTATCATCACCATTTCCATCACACATTACAGCCCCATCACACGGCTCAATTGACCATCACAAGGCCCAAGCAACGGTTGCACACCACCACCGCCACCATCGCACGGCAACATCACATGTCAAAAAAGCATCACATCGGTCCTGATTAGGACTTAATACTGAACAGTGTCCTGGCCGTCGGTGAACTGGTGGAACTTGACCAATAGCCGTAGCCAGAGTGAGAGAGAGTGAGGTATACTGGATGTGGTGTACTGGGTGTGAAAGTAATTTTCCGTTTACCAACCTCGACAGACCTGGCTGAAACTAAGCCCTGGTCTTGATCCTTTTCTCAATTTTCGTTCCTTCTCCTGCCCCTTGCGCCTGTCCTTCTTTTCGACTGTAATTCTCCTCTTGCTTTCTTAGTCCTAATTCTCCTCCTGATCCGGCTCCCGCTCTCGAACCTGATCTTTTCCCTGCTCCGGGTTGCGGGCGTCACAGGTGCCTCGCTGGACGAGCTGCTGGGCTTCTCCTCGTGCTCGGGCCTGCGCCTCGTCTTCGGGCTGAACGCGCTGCTGCGCGGCCCGGCCGGCGCGTGGGACCACGGCAACGCGTGGCTCATCCTGCGCCACGTCCACGCGCGCGGCCAGGACCGCGTCTCCTGGGAGCTCGGCAACGGTGAGGGATGCGCCGCACCACGCCGCACCGTGCGGCCCGGCCGCTGTCGAGTTGCCGCAGGCAGTGCAACCGCACTGGGGCCCTGGACCTCTGGTGGGAGGGGGCGGGGGGGGCGGGGGGGGGGCGGGGGGGGCGGGGGGGGGGGGGGGGGGCGGTTGACGCGGCCCGGCGGCGGCGCGTTCGACTCTTGTTGTGGGGAGGTTCGCGGTTGGAGTCGTGCCGTGCCTAAATCCGCCGCACGCAGCGGCTGCCGTCTCGCCTCGCCCGAGCGGCAATGCCCGCGGGGGGGGGGGGGGGGGGGGGGGGGGGGGGGGGGGGGGGAGGGGGCCTCAAGGGACGCTCGCGGTAAAGTACGGTGCGCACGTTGGACCCAGTGGGCCAGCGTTCGTCGACGGCGTCCGCACGATCGCCGCGCGCACGGCGTTTGCTTCCTGCGCTCAGAACCCAACAGCTACCCTCACGTGGCGGGGAGGCAGCTGAGCGGAGCGCAGCTCGGGGCGGACTTCCTGGCGCTGCGGACGCTGCTCAGGTCGGGCCACCCCGCGTTCCCCGGTGCGAAGCTCTACGGCCCCGACATCACCCGGCCGCGGCGCAGCGCCCTCACCCTGCTCACGGGGTAGGAGGGGGGCCCCGCGGGTGGCCGCATCCACATCCCTGGGCCTCTGCGGTAGGTCATGTCTATTGGTCACATGACCCTAGGTCACAATCCTCCAGTGACGTGACTCTGCCTCCTGAGTGATTGTAACACATGGCACTGGGTCAACAGTTTGTTTTTTTATCACACATCTGGGTTACGTTTCTGTGTCACGTGACCTTGGGTCACATCTCTTGGTGACCTCTCCCCTCTGTTTCCTCCCCTAACTGGCGCAGGTTTCTGGACTCGGCCAAGGATGCCATTGAGGCTGTTACGTGGCACCAGTAAGTGGATGAGCATGGGAGCTGCTCCCATTATCCTGCAACTCCTCCGTTTGTTCTGGTTCTTTCCTCTTAATCGCTACCATTTGATAGGGGGGGGGGGGCGATTGTGCAAGGGGGCTATTGTGCACTGGCGTTACTTCATATCTTTGCTTACGAGTCGATCAACACAGTAGCGACACAGACTTTTCATTATAAGCGGTTTGCATGGCTACGTCCAATGCCATTTTTTGCCACTGTGACCTTTGACCTGTGCCCTCGCAGGTATTACATGAACGGACGCACAGCCACGCTCGACAACTTCATGGACCCCCAGATCCTGGACTCTTTAGCGGCAGAGATCAGCGCCGTGCAGGAGGTGAGACCCCCGTCCGCCTACTACCCCCTGCCCCGTATTCCAAACCCCATGCCATGTGCCCCCTATAGCACTCCTTTGTCTCATGCCCCTATCACATATTCCTCAACCCCCGGGCCGCGGACCGGTATCGGTCCGCGGCCTGTTAGGAACCGGGCCGCACAGCAGGAGGTGAGAGCGGTGAGTCCGTGCGTGGCCCGCCCCCATTATTTTATTATTCACCACTTCCGTCCGCGCCTCTTTCCCGCACTGCTCACTTGTCTCAGTCACAGGTTTGGTAAGCCCACAAGCTAACCCCGAGTAGCCGAAATGAGTAAAAAAACAGACGTCGCTGAAGAGCTTTGAAAAGGGGGAAAGACCCAATGATGAACCCCCCCCCTCCGGTCCACGACACCGGTCCCTGGTGCCAAAAAGGTTGGGGACCGCTGTCTTCAATCACTGTGCACTGCGCCTCTTGTCTGTCTGTGCCTACCTGTCTGTTCACCTGTATGTACTCATCTGTGCTAACGTGTGTGCGGTCACCTGTCTGTACTCACCTGTATATACTTACCTGTGCTCAACTGTCCATGCTCACCTGTCCGCACTCACCGGTCCTTGCTAACCTTTCACACTCAGCTGTCCGTGCTTAACTGTCAGTGTTCAACTGTTCGTGTTCACCTTCCTGTGCTCGCCTGCCCGTGCTCGCGTGTCCGTGCTCGCCTGTTCGCGCTCACCTGTCTGCGCTCACCTGTCTGTGCTCACCTGTCCACGCTCACCTGTCCGCGCTCACCTGCCCGTAGGTGGTTAACAAGGAGGCCCCGGGAAAGGCCATCTGGCTCGGCGAGACGAGCTCGGCATGGGGGGGCGGAGCGCCGGGGCTATCGGACACCTTCGTGGCTGGGTTCATGTGCGTGAACCCCGACCCTGACCTCAGGCGTGACCATCACCCCACGCCGGACTCTGACCTGAACAGTCATGGCCCTAACCTTGACTATCACCATAACCCGGGCTCTCACCCTGACCCTAATGCTGATGACCTCAATGCACTCAATTCTTGCATTCCAGGCCCAAAACGGCTTCACAGCCTCCACACCACCTCTTACCATTACTACCACCAGAATCACCACCACTTCCACCATCATCACCACCACCACCTTGAAAATTCACCACCGCCATCATCACCTACTCACCACTACCACCTTGAAAATCTGACATTGACTTTGAGGTGTCAAGTGACAATGAGTGCCATTGTAACCCCCGATCCCTCCACACGCTCCCCCCCCCCCCCACCCCCTCCCGAACCCCCCGCAGGTGGCTGGACAAGCTGGGTATGGCGGCACGCATGGGAGTGGACGTGGTCGTGCGTCAGGCGTTCTTCGGACACGGATCCTATAATCTCGTGGACGACCACCTAAACCCTCTGCCGGTTAGAGAGCGGGGAAAGGGTGGGGATGGGGGGGGGGGACTTAGGGGTGGGGGGATGTGCGGGAATGGAGACTGGGGATTACACCTTTGCAAGGCGAAGTGAGTGTTCGCAGATCAGCTTCGTCCTTGTTTGGGTTCATCAGTTGGCAGTGCAAAGATAACATCAAAGGCTGGTGATCGTTTAACCGGTCCTGGACCTACGCTTCAGCAACCCGCACTGACCAGTGTGAAGTATGGTCAAACATTCGACATGACGTGGAGGAAGCCGCCATCCTGCAGTGGACTGAAACACAGCAACAACTCTAAGTCGTAAAATGATCGCTTAATTATCGCAGCAGGGGAAGAGTAATGTTGGTGGCGTAGATGGGAGAAGTGGAGTGTTGCAAACAGTGACAGGTGCCCCCCCTCACCCCGGTATGGCTCGATAGACCGTTAGGCAGTGGGGGCTCGTGACATCCCCACTAGGTGGGGCTGCTGTGAGTGACCTCTGAACTGACGGTGTTCTAATTAAGAAGAACCTCGTCGTGTTATTGGCCTCCTCGTGAAAGTGATATAACTGTGTTTTCTACCAACGGTGAGGCATTTATAAACAACACGAAGCAAAACAACACAGCGCTCAAATGCTGTCCCCATGACCCTCAAGTCCACGTTACACAACCCATTTGACACTGCTAAAAGCCTAAAGAACAATTAAAGATCAGCTGACACGATTCAACAAATTAGCCAAGGCAACCAAGACACCGCACACTGTACAACAGCAGTCACGTGTCGTCGTGAGCTGCTACATCTTCACAGTGCAACCTCGCGCCGTGACATCGTCTCTCATCACAGCCACGGCCGCCGTTCTCACCGCCCTGAATTGGGTCTCAAGCGGCGTGGCTGCAGTGTGAGAAGCTCGTCGCGATGAAAGGGAATTGTCTCGCTCGGACGCCTTCATAGGTGCCCCGAGACCTCCCCGAGGCAAAAAATCAAGAAGACTGCGGTGTTGCAGCGGTTTCTCATATGAACAACTTAAAATGTTATCTTCACTAGGCGATTCACGTTGAAATAAGAATTATATATTTTGTTAAAAAACGTAAACGCAAAACAATTTACGGAAAAATTATTTCTCATCTCCGGCTGCCTGGTGGAGCGGCGCCCCAACGCCCCGAGCGAACGAACCGCGGCTGCCGTTCGGGCGAGAACAAGTTGAGGCCTCACGAGGGGGGCGATGTGGCCCACACTGCCGCCGGCCGTCTTCGTCTCCACAGTGCTGATGTTTACACACCTCACCAGGTGCTCTATTGAGGACCCAGGGGAGGCCCAGGTCGTACACACGTTGACCGCGTCCTCCGCCCCACAGGACTACTGGCTCTCCCTTCTGCACAAGCGACTCGTGGGGGCGCACGTGCTGCGCGTGGAGGCCAACGGGGGCGCGCCTTCGGTGCGCGTTTACGGGCACTGCTCCAGGTGAGGGGAGGGGCACACCACCCCTGTTTTACATCCCTCCCCTCCACCACCACCCCTCCCCTCCACCACCACCTTCCCCTCCACCACCCACCCCTCTCCTCCACCCCTCCCCTCTACCCCTGCCCTCCACGACACCCCTCTTCCTCTTCTACCCCTCCCCTCCACCCACACCCCTCCCCTCCACCACCCCACCCCTCCAACACCCCTCCCCTCCAGTTATACCCCTCCCCTCCACCATTTCCCTCTACAACCACCACTCACCTCCACCCCCACCCCTCCTGTTCACCACCACCCCTCCCCTCCACCCACACCACCCATCCCCTCCACTACTCCCCTCCACCTCTACCCCACCTCTACCCCACCTCTTCATCACCCCCTCCACCATATTATAATGACCCTCCTTCATGGCATATAAATAGAGAGGCCAGTAGAGAGAGTGGACAATAAGAGTTGTGGAGACTGCACTGGTTTACACGATGAGCATGAATCGTTAAAACATTTCCTGACGAATAGTTTTTTTTTCAATTGGCGTGTGAACAGTTACACTTTTAACAGCAGATCTTGCGATCAAATTCGTAAAACACTTTGTGCACTGATGATGGTGACGGTGGTGGTGGTGGTGGTGATGCCTTTCACACAGGACAGCCTCATCGATTCTGAAAACTTTCCGTTGGCCCCTGCATTGGGATCGTTGACGATCTCCACGAATGCAGGTTTAAAAAAAAAAGTGGCGGCAAGTGGTCAAGTTGATGGTGACATCGCCGATGATGACGGTGGACTCTAAACCCAACCCCCCACCCCTCCCCCCCCCCCCCAGTACGTCCTTCCCCGCGGGCTCCGTGACGCTGTTCGCGCTGAACCTGGGGTCGAACCCGGCGTCTCTCTCCCTGCGGGTCCCGCTCAGCGAGGGCCCCGCCCAGGGCTTCCTGCTGCTCCCCGCAGACCCCGGCGCGGGCCTGCGCTCAAGGTAGGTGCACACGATCCGATTAACTGCGCTCGCGATCCTATTAACCGCAATCATGATCATTTTAACCAACATCAGGATCCTATTGCTCGTTTCCACAAACCAATTCATTGCACTCGTGATCCTATTAACGATAACGATGGGTTAAACCACGTAGCAACATCGCCTTACTCCCCCCCCCCCCCCACCCCCCCCCCCCCCCCCCCCCCCCCCCCCCCCCCCCCCCCCCCCCCCCCCCCCCCCCCCCCCCCCCCCCCCCCCCCCCACTATGAAGCGTTGAGCCTTCTCGATAACCTCGTGCTATGCGAGTGCCGCGAATTTTACGAAAGCACCAAGCTGCTGCGAAACCATCACTGTCATCCCCGCACATCCCGATCCCGCCCGCCGCCCCACAGGACCGTGATGCTGAACGGGACCCCCCTGTGGACGCAGGCTCACGGCTCGGTCCCCGAGACCCCGGGGGTCCCCCTCCCGCCAGGGTCCCCCCTCGCGCTGCCTGCCCGAGCCCTGGCGTTCTTCGTGCTGCCGGACGCGGGGGCCCCAGCGTGCCTCCAGCGCGGGCGGAACGCGCAGGGGCCGTGACGGTCACGCGGGATCGGCGACGATAACCGCAATGATAATAATTGTGAATTATAATTCTGATGGTATGATCATAACAATTATTCATGGTAAGGTCATTATTATTATTGGTCAAATAGTGGAACAGAGGTGTATAGGGTCATCGTCTCAATATCAGCAGGGTCCCGCTACATTGGGATGTTTTGGCCAATTCCAATAATGAGCATGTGGGAAGTTCTGTTCATTTTTTTTCAGTTCATTTATTTTGGTATAGCCCTGTGAGCCATTCGGCTCTTGAATCGGGTGCAACCACAACAAACAAAAAAAACAAAAACACGAACAAGAAAAACATCTTAAAGTGACCATACTCTCTGGTTCTATTCGGTAAAGTCACGTAGGTAAAAAATAAAACAACAAAAATCACGACGTTTCGGCTACAACACAAGCGGCCTTCATCAGGTGAAGGGATCAGGCTGTCTCGAGGACAGCGCTGGAGTGAAACACAGCCACGCTTAGACCGTGGACCTTTAAGCTGTGTGCGAGGAAACAAGGTGCCTTGACAAAGGAATTAGCATAAAAAATAGCATTTGATTGGCCGACTTAGCATAGGTTCTAAATCTAGAATCTTAAAGTGACTATGTGAGTAACTGAAGTGCCTGGAGAAAAACCAACCGTGCACATACAAGGGGCAGCATTTATTATTTAAAGCACCGCACAGATAGATTCAGTAATCCCTGATTTTATTGCCATATCCTGATCAACGTCGTAGCCCAAGCCTATGACACATTGTATTTTCAGGCAGTCTCCCATCCAGGTACTATCTAGGCTGAAACCTGCTTAGCTTCCGAGATTCAATTAAATCGGGAGAACGCAGAGCCATTTGGCCACTGGAATGTGCATATCGCGTTACGGTACCGCGATTGCCATCGTCACGGCACGGACGCCCGCGGTAATGGGAAGGGTTTGTGCTGAAGGAAAGCACGCTTGCTTGATCCACATTTTCGTTTTAAGGTCTATCATGTTTATTAGCGACAGATTGATTCAATTTCCTTTTTTATTCCTTAAATAAAACACTCGTCTAAATGTGAAAATTTTTGATTCAAGCAAATTATGTGGATTTCCAGAGAAATCTGGGAGAAATTCCGTGGGAAGCCTTGAGAAATTTCGAGGAAAGTTTGAGAAATTTGGAGAAACCCCAAATTCCCCGTGCCTTCCGCACATCTTCCAGAAGGAGACTCCAGGGGAGAAGAGAGCGACGTGAACCGTGAGCTACGAGTGGTTCGAGAGGCCAGACTTGGAGATCGTTGAGGTGGAGATTAAAGCCGTAGGACATCGATGACCACGATGATGACGTTGTTGGCCCAAGTGTCCTGCACGACAAAGGAAACCTTCTAAGGACACAATGCCGCTTTGTAAAAGTCACCCACTGCCCTCTGTGGGTGACTTAATTTCCCGTCGCCGATTATATACGTTTCTTTTTAGGCCTCGAGTTTTACTGACAAATCTGTTGCCAGAAACATCGTGTTATTGACACAGAATGTGTTGAGATTGTTTTGTTTGTTAATTGTGCTTGTGCAGCACTCAACGCAGAAACAGCGGCATCGGCAGCATCGCTAAATATTGTGTTATTCTGAACGTGATCCACGTGTTGGCGGATAACCCGCTTGTCCGACGGCTGAGCGATCCCTGTCGGAGTTTAATCTGGCCAGATGAGCACCAACCTTCCGCCAACACGTGCGTCGCACAACTCTTTCTGGTTATCCACCACATGGGGCTGTATGTATTAACTGTATGTTGAACTTCTTTCGAACCATACGTAAACAACCATGCTAATCGGAGGCGCGGGGAAAGAACAACCAACTAAAAACAAAAGCAGTTCTAAAGAAATTCGTTTTCAATGTAGACGATTTAAGGAAAAGAAGATCGTTTAACGAAAGGAAGAGCGTTCCAGACGGCCGCAGAAGCGCATCTGAGAGCGCGTGATGCGATGACCCCTCTCTGTCCAACGGTTATCCATAAGTCACTGCAAGGATGAACGGAGCTCGCGCGATGGTTTATGCTCCTTGACGAGATGTGTGGCAAGCACTTTGTGTAATGATGAGTGCCCCCTTTACGATTTACTATGAACATTAAGCACGATTTAAAGCTTTCGTGACTGCAAGGATTAATCTTCTTTGGTTCTTTCGGTAAAGTCACGTAGAATGAGAATAAATTAATAAAATAAAATAACTCAATAAAATTCTCACGACGTTTCGGCCACAACACAAGTGGCATTCATCAGGTGAAAGGACGAGACTGTCTCGTCCTTTCACCTGTTGAAGGCCGCTTGTGTTGTGGCCGAAAACGTCGTGAGAATTTTGTGTTATTTTATTTTATTAATTTATTCTTTTATTCTCAAAACATTAAGCACGGCAAGATTAAACGACATCGCGCCGTCATGCTGTGTAGTTTACGTGCAACATACAGTACCGAGCGACATTCATTTGCTGGACGAGCTTTCTCACGCTGCTACACTGCTCGGAGCGGGCAGCAGCCACGGAATGTAACTCAACCAAGGGGCAGCCCGCCGTGGAGTGTGGCAAATCAGCTCGTGTGTTCGCGCCAGGTGATGACATGGCAATATCGATGAGCACGGTTGGGCACGTACGATGCGAAAGAAGTTCAACATACATCCGTGAGAGATGGCAATGGCTTGTGGAGGCCTTCATCCAGCAGTGGATTTGACATGGCCGATGGTGATGATTAGCACAGTGTGATTTATCATCATCACGCCCTTTGCAAGGGAGAGCTGGAAAATATATATGGTGACTGGGAATTTGGATGGTGCTTTATATACAGTACTAGCTTTACTACCCGGCTTCGCCCGGGACTTGGATTCAGCACACCCGGCCGCCTTTGTCTCCCCAGTGGCGATGTTCACACGCCACAGCAGTTACTCGTTTGAGGCTGAGTCGACCTAGGGGAGACCCAGGACCGGTTCAAATAATTGTCACCGGTGGAGGCCGTGAGCGGGAATCGAACTCGGGTGGCCGGGTTCGGCGCGCTAACCACTACACTACAATGCGTTACGCTTCCACGTGCGCGGGTCACGTGACAGTTTTGACGTCACAGCTCACTTGCCGTGAAAAAAAGATGCATTATTGAGCTCCCCCCCCCCCAAAAAAAAAGTGTATTTTTATAATTTTTGCATGGTGTACAGTCTGGAAAGTACCCACATGGCAAATTTCAAGTTTGTATGTCGAGAAGTACACTAAACATTTTGAACAGACACATTCACAACTTTGCCTTTTATACATTTGGAGATATAACAGTACACACAATATATTCAATCAAGTTGCCCCCTGCTAAAAGAGCTATGAAGCGGCACTGAATCTTCGTCGATGGCCCAGTGCCAATGGCATAAATTCTACATTCCTACGGCAGGGTCAGTTTTTGCACAGGACAACTACTGTTGGCTTCCCTTAAGATGATGATCATACGGTCAGTTGCATCAACACCGTAGGGGGCGATGACGAATCACACAGATGGACGCTGATTCACAGATGGTTGGTGACGAGTCACATGCTGATGATGGCGATGATCGTCGATTGGTTCAACTCGCGGTTTGCCAACCGTGAGCCGAGGGCGCTGACTAAAGCGCCCAGCGGCGTGACGCCGGACGCACCGCAACGTCTGCTCCAAATGCGTGGGAAGGGATCTGTGCGGGGGGGGGGGGGTGAATGATGGAAACCACGCAAGGGAAATGCCAAGAAGGGACATTTTTTTTCCTTCTGTAAAAATAACTTTTGATTTAAAGCTTTCGTGACTGCAGGGATTCATATTCTTGGTTCTTTCGGTAAAGTCACATAGGTAAAAAATAAAATAACAAAAATCACGACGTTTCGGCTACAACACAAGATTCTAGATTTAGAATCTATGCTAAGTCGGCCAATCAAATGCTAATTTTATGCTAATTCCTTTGTCAAGGCACCTTGTTTCCTCGCACACAGCTTAAAGGTCCACGGTCTAAGCGTGGCTGTGTTTCACTCCAATGCTGTCCTCATGACAGCACGGTCCCTTCACCTGATGAAGGCCACTTGTGTTGTGGCCGAAAGGTCGTGATTCTTGTTATTTTATTTTTTACATACGTGACTTTACCGAATAGAACCAAAGAGCATGGCGCAGCAGTTGGAGTATGGGCGTCCTCCCACCGAGCAAAGGCTACCTGGGGGCTTCCACAGAGAGCCTTGATTTGATGGAGCTGAGACGACGTGGAGGGGAGTAGAGTGAGATGAGAGGGGAGAGGTAGGAGAGTGCGTGGAGGGGAGTAGAGTGGGATGGTAGGGGAGAGGTAGGAGAGTGCGTGGAGGGGAGTAGAGTGAGATGAGAGGGGAGAGGTAGGAGAGTGCGTGGAGGGGAGTGGAGTGAGATGGTAGGGGAGAGGTAGGAGAGTGTGGAGGGGAGTGGAGTGAGATGAGAGGGGAGAGGCAGGAGAGTGCGTGGAGGGGAGTGGAGTGAGATGAGAGAGGAGAGGTAGGAGAGTGCGTGGAGGGGAGTAGAGTGAGATGAGAGGGGAGTGGTGGGACAGTGCGTGGAGGGGAGTAGAGTGAGATGAGAGGGGAGAGGTAGGAGAGTGCGTGGAGGGGAGTAGAGTGAGATGAGAGGGGAGGATGGACAACGGGGTGACGTGGGGGGCACACGTGGAGATGATGGAGCGGCGGGTGTGGGGCGGTGCTGTAGGAAGCCGCTGTTGTACCCCCCCCCCCCCCCCCGCGGGCCGGTGTCACGCGTTCCGCATTTGTGAGTGGTCACGCCGAGGAGTCATGCATGGAGAGTCATGTGACGGAGCTCTGCGTCCCCAGCCCAGAGCGAGCGCGCAGTCGGTCGGAGGAGAGCTGTGGAGTCGTGCTCCGGACAGGAGCGTGCGGGCATCCCAGGTGCGTGCGTGAGGGTGTGTGGGGAGCGGTGGTGCAGTGATTAGCGTTGCGCTGACCCACGAAGCCGGCGTCGCGAGTTCGATTCCCGTTCAAGGTCACCACCGGTGGCAATGATCTGAATCGGTCCTGGGCCTCCCTTAGGTCGACTTGGCCTCAAATGAGTACCTGGTTCAGTGTGTAAAAGATCGCACACTAGGGAGACAAAGGCGGTCGGGCGTGGTGCTGGTCACTCACGCCCTCGTGTACGGTACCGGCCTTCATAGGTGCTCGCTAACAGCACTTGCCCCTACAGTCTGTTCAGCCTATACGGGGGGATCTTTGTTTTGTGTGCGTGCGGTCAGTCAAAACCCATGGCACCTGGGCCTGTCCCGTGACCTCCTGCCAGCGGACGTTCGATACTTCACGTGGCCTTAAAGTGCACCTAGCCTGGCACAAGCGCCGTGGTGACGTCACCGCCACTTCGTGGCTAATGACGGTTGTGGTTGTTCCACGTGTGTGTCACATGTGTGTGTGTGTTACATGTGTGTGTGTGTCACACGTGTGTGTGTGTCACACGTGTGTGTGTGTGTGTCACGTGCTTGCTAACAGCACTTGCCCCCAACAGCTTTTTAATAGGTCAATGGAGCGGCAGCGTAGTTGTAGTTAAGGGCACTGCACGCTCCTAACCCGGTCCCTTGAGTTCGAGTCCTGGCCACGGGTAACATCACATCTGAATCGGTCCTGGGACTCCAACTCTGTCGACTCAGCCTTAAGAAATGAGTGCCTGTCTTTAATATTGTGTGATATATGCTCGTTAACAGCATGATGACCCAACATTCTATGTAGGCTATCCGAGGCGGGGGGGTAGGGGGTTTATGTTTGTGTTCATCGTCATCATGATTGACGGTCACTTATCCACTGCTGGATGAACGTCTCTCCCGACTCGGTGCCATCCCTCACGGCCATGTGAGGCCATCGCCTGTCTCGTTGTTGCTGAAGAGTCGATGTCATCGCTCCGTATCCTGCTGTGGTCGCTATCCTTAGGCGCGTTTCCTCGCAAGACGCCACGGTGGCTAGGAGATGTTAACTACCTCGCCTCGTATACAGGACGACGTGGGTTCGATCCCGACTTTGACGCCTGTTGTGTATTTGAAGTTTGCGTGTTGTCTCTCTCCCCGTGGTCGCGTGGATTTTTTTTTTCCCCGAGTCCTCCGGTTTTCCCCTCCACATTTAGAAACACGCGTTTTGAGTGTTTAGCTGCTGCTAGACATCTCCACGTGATAAGCCAATTCGTTGAGCGATTTGTGGCTATGTCGCTTCTGATGAAGAGCTAAATATCTCAGTGGGCATTATCTGATAAAAAAAAAATATAAAATAGGAAACAGTTTAAAATGACTTCCATGTCATCACCGGTCTCCTCCATCATCCATCATGCCTTCCTGCTCTTGCCCACTTAACCTTCCCAAACAGTCAACATGATATTCTTTGGTTCTTTCGGTGAAAGTCACGTAGATATATCGATGAATTCACGTATATATATCTACGTGACTTAGATAGATATCTACGTGACTTTACCGAAATAACCAAAGAATATGAATTCCTGCAATCACGAAAGTGTTAAGTCAAAAGTCTCGTTGCACTCAGCGCCATTCACAGCATCGCTCCCTCGACGAATCTTCACTTATCAGCAACGTTTTATCTCCGCGTCTCTTTCAGTGTCCGTCTTTGCGGTACGTACGTCGTGGAAAGTCGTGCGCGCCTCATTCAATGGCACGCTGCGTTTCCATCATCAAATGTAACCCCCTCCCCCCCCCCCCCCCCCCAAAAGAACCACTTCCAGCCTGCTCTGGAACATCTCTTGATGTCGGCGTTCTTCACAAATGTTCAGAGGGGGCCACACTTTCGCCCGATAACACATCAGCAGCATGAGGGCCGCCACGCATTTGAAACCACTGGGGTTTGACAGCAGCACGATGATTATGATGATGGGAGTTGTTTTCACGCGTTGTGTATTGTCGGGGGCCGTCAGTGACCCGAGGGCCTTGCAATGAAGAGCGCTGCTCTTTGTTCATCATTTTGATCCGGGTCCGCCTTCTATAATTGCCCAAGATGCGTTTCACGCGCGTGTCGCTCCAACCATCACTTCGTCGTGTTCAGGGAAACCTGCGGTGTGGTTTAACACGAAGGCATTAATCTCGAGACCCGCTTTGCAGTCTTATATTTTTTTAATTCATTAGTTTATCCCTCGAGTTTGTTTTACGTGAGCGGTTGTGATGACTTACACCGCCGACGAATCTGAGGCGTAATTTTATTTTGGTACGGGTACCATAGTACCCCGGCTTTTGCATAATGTCCGTGATGCAGTCACTTTACACGCTTTCTATTAACTCAATCTGTCTCTTGTTGTCGTTGTAGCCTCAAATCTTGTAACTCAATTTTAACCCACTTCCCAAAGTGGTATCGACTGCAAACTTGGTATACTTATGTCATACTGATGACAATACTATATTCTATCATTAAAAATATATATTTTTAAACATTATTTTGTATATGTTATGTTTCGGCTTGGGTCTAATTGTCCACGCTCAACTGACGTTGGCTGTAAATCACCACGGTCCCCTTACGTTGTGGCAAGCTTCGGGGCCACTTCCTGGAGTCGTGGAGTTCTTCCATTACTAGTAGGGTACATTTAATAAAAGCGTGTTTAAAAAAATATGTTTTATATATATTACTTATTTAGTCTGATGGTCGACGAGCTGTACACTACGATGCACCACTAGGGTGCGTACCGCGAGCGTTCAGGGTTTCAGGGCAATCATCATCGCTGCGTTTAGACATCGCGGAGTAGCACTGATGTAGGATTGATTGGCACCCCAGTCGCGGGGTGAAGTAACACCCCTGGACAAAAAAAGTGTCCCAGAAATAAAATATTTAATTGCCTCGACCATTTTGTGTTATTTGGGTACCCGGAGTACCGCCATAAAGGTCATATAGCTCTTCTTCAAAAGCTGTGTAAAGTTTATGGGCACGCGCCAAGGAGCGAATGGGGCATGTAATTACTAAAATCAGGCCGGTTCCGCTTTCATAAAGAAGCGTTATCGAGCCCAGCATCGCACAATCGAGCCGTTTCATTCTTGCATAAAAGTTGAGTTGAGTTTGATCCAAGCGCGCTGGTGGGGTCCCCCTGCTCTCTGGCGATGTCCCTACAGTTGTGCGACCGGCCGAGGTGTTTTTGCCTTGTTCAATAACACCGTAATGTCCACGGAAATGCTGGCCCAACTAGCCATCAGTGGGGGTCAGCAGAGAAGCAGATGCCGCCCAGAGTCGCTGGGTATGGATGAATAAGACTGTGGCTTTGGCCACAGCTATGTACAACAAGCAGACTCTGGCAGGACGGAGAGGGGGAGGCTAAACGGGTGCGGCATGGGCTGCAGAAGAGAGGTGCTGATGGAGGATTTGCAGCTGAGTGGATTTGCCGTCGACTGATACCGGCGGTGTTAAGTTCGGCCTCTGTATAAGAGACTTGTGAAGGACGCTACTGGGCAGCAGTCGGAGGCAGTCGCCCTCCAACGATGGAGAGCAGAGGAGTGACACAACAACGGGCAGAGCGCCGGGCGGCTACAACGCAGTCAGCAAGCTGGCGTAAAGGAGAGCACACAGGTGGTGCATCTGCCAGTCATCTCAGACTGTCAACCCATAGCACCTGAACCTGCCCCGTGACTTCCTGCCAGCAGCGAGACTTCTACACTTCACGTGACAGCCTTAAAATTCATCTCGCCTGCGTGTGTTGCTGGGGCAGAGCACACTGCACGACAAACCGGCGAACCTTATTCGATTCCCTCTCACGGCCATTGGTGACGAAAATATGAACCGGTCCTGGACCTCCCCTAGATCAACTCAGCCTCAAATGAGTACCTGGTGCGATGTGTAAACATCGCCACTAGGGAGACAAAGGCGGCCGGGCGTGATGTTGGCCACCCACCCACTCGTATGCCATGTTGGTCTTCATCGGCACTCCCTAACGTCACTTGCCCCGACAGTCTTTAAAGGCTATATGGGGGAACTTTGTCATTACGTGTGTCTAATATTTTTTCTGCAACTCAATCTAATTGTGCGATGATGAGTCAGATATGACAGTTGTTTTTGGCCGATTCCTGTTGGTTATTTTTGTTGAACTTTCGCACCGTACGTAGCCAGCCGTCCTAATCCAAGTTCGGTCATTGCTGTGCATGACCTTTGTTTGTTTGTTCTTTGGTCACGTTTGTGGCAGCTCGCGGTCACTCTTGCAAACTAATCTCTATCCTGATCTCTTGAGTTCTCACCCGGTTCAACAGCAAAAATGTTGAATGTGAAACTCGTGACACCGCGTGCAGGAAAGAGCTGAGTGGGCAATGCGCGGTGCCGAACCATGAGGGTCTTGTGCAGCATCCCCACTCCTCACCCGGCTCGATGCTGCCTCCTCCACCGCCTCCTTTTCAGCACCCTCCTCGTGCTGCTGTTGCTATGTTGCTCCGCGCCACGTGAGTAACACCTTTTTTACCCAGAGGCACCTCAGCTTCACAGATTCTTACTCGGCAAGCTGATCGCCTGGGCAGCTGATAATCTGGGTAGCAGATCACTCAGTTATTTGGTCACCTGGGATCATCATGCACGCAGCTGGTCACCAGGACAGCTGATCACCGGGGCAGCTGATCAACTGATCAACTGGACAGCTGATCACTCAGTTAGTTGGTCACCTGGGCTAATCATGCAGGCAGCTGGTCACCAGGACAGCTGATCACCGGGGCAGCTGATCAACTGGACAGCTGATCACTCAGTTAGTTGGTCACCTGGGCCATCATGCAGGCAGCTGGTCACCAGGACAGCTGATCACCGGGGCAGCTGATCACCCAGACCGCTGATCAACTGGACAGCTTATCACACACACCCGGGCAGCTGATCACTCGAGCAGCTGATCACCCGGGCAGCTGATCACCCGGACAGCTGATCACTTGGGCAGCTGATCACTTGGGCAGCTGATCACCTGGACAGCTGGTCACTCGGGTAGCTGATCACCTGGACACTGATTACTCGGGCAGCTGATCACCCGGGCAGTCGATGTTTGAATGAGTAATTCATTGTCCATCAACGTAATCGCTTGGCATGACCTCGTGCTGGGCATTAGGGGTCAGGGCGCCGTCGTCACAGCAACGCGCGCGGCTTTAGCGACCACACGTGGCCCCGAGAAACAAACTCACTGAGATCACGTTCTGGATAGATAATGACTGATGATGATGATGACATGGCTGATGGTGATAGTAATAATATGCATGTATTCTGTGTGTGTGTGTGTACGGACAGGTGTGGTTTTGGCTCAGGCCTTGAGCGAGGAGGGGGGCCGCCCGCCCCCCTTGGAAGCCCTCGTCCTAAGCCTCGTCCCCGTGAACTGCACCGGTCGCGACAACTCCACGTGCGAGCCCTGCCCCCCAGGGTCATTCTCCAACGCCAGTGCGTGTCCCCCCCCCCCCGCCCATACACTGTGTGCACACCTGCGAGCACAGGTGTACTTGTGTGTCACATCACATAGGCGTGTGTGTCGCACACAGGTATGTCTGTGTGTGTGTGTCTGTATCACAAAGATGCATGTACCTGTGTTACACAGGTGTGTGTACCTAGGTGTGTGTGTGTGCACCCGTGTCACACACAGGTGTGCCCACGTGCGCGTGTTGCTCCATGGGGGGCTGCCAGTCCCCGGTGAGTTGCCGCCCGTGCAGCCCGGGGTCTCACCAGCCCGCGGGGGGCCAGGCGCAGTGTCTCCCGTGCACGCCGGGCTCCTACTCACAGTGGGTTTTCCCGACTCTCACCGCACGTAGCGCGCAGGAAACACGCACAACTGAAAACCTTTTTGTTACACGTAGGGGATCACCGGAGCTCGGGTAATTGTTGCAAGAGCTGGCTCACCGCCCAGCTGCCACCTGCCAGCTCCGTCTGTGGTTCCTCTGCGATTGTGTGAGATGCAATTTGCATGAACAACCACGACCCTGTATATGAAACTAAACATGATTGTGTGTATATATATACTTGCGGTAGATGTAAAAGGCATAGCAAAGATCGTAAATGACACAAAAATTACAATCGTGTTGTGACAGGCTCGTCACTTGCTATGACAGTGGTTATGATGATTGTAATCGTCGATCATATTAGGAGCGTCATTGTTGCCATCGTTAATCTGTCGCTTTTAGCGCTTTCTTGTTCCGAGACGTCTGCAAGTTGCAGGGTGGGTGTCCCGTTCACTGCTGAATCTCGGAAACGCGGAAGTGGCTCGGCGTTCATCTTATTTAGAGAGGCATAGAGCCGTTGTTTTTAAAGACATTGTACTCACCGCAGAGAACCGTAGCGACACGACTGCTCTCTATGATAGCTGGCGCCAAACTGTGCAACATGCCCTCCTGAATGGTCTTGTGGGAACCTCGGTACGTCTTCCGGCCTGAAGACGTACCGATAAAGTAATTTTATTTGAGTTTTTCTTCAGATTCCGTTCTCGTGACGAACATGTACGCACACGTACGTCATTGGAACAAAATCAGAAGAATCATTAGAAAGGGAAATGCGTATTAAAGGTAATGCGTTACGACAGGACACATTAATCGTTCTGTCGTCACAACGATTAAAGCGAGCGACTCGCAGGCGCAAGGTTGGGAGTTTAAATCCTGGTTGGGGTGGGAGAGGGGCTTGACTTGGCCTGCCATCCCTTCAGGGTTGATAACATGAGTAGCAACATCACGGCGAAGTCAAGAGGTTTGTCCTATTTGTAAACTCGTCCTTGCCGTAGGAATACTTAATTTACAACACTGCCTCCTGTGAATAGGAGATGAACACCAACGCTTAAACGCTCATCTGAGCAGGAAATTAAGTTGACATTTGTTGCATTATAAAAGCAAAACCCTCTTACAATACGTATGACTCAATCAGTCAATCAATCATTAATCGATAAATGAGTGAAATTAAAACTTATCATCTCCGTATGACAATTATCATCACCATCATCACTCACTCTAAAAATCGCTAAAATAATCACCGCTTCGCGCATCAACTGCCGCGGCGGGCCATCAAAACCCTCGAACCCGACGCGTTTAAACCGCTGCGGCAAAAAAAAAAAATCTCACGGAGGTCCCGCCACAAGAACGTGGAATGACACCTGGACCGGCTCATGTCCGTGGCAGGGAGCCGGCTCAGCGGCTCTGCTTGGCGTGCGCCCCCGGGAGCTTCGCATCGCAGCACGGGGCCTCGAGCTGCCTCCCGTGTCCCAGAGGCGAGTCCCGCGGGGACAGCGTCGAGACCACTCGCGTGTCGTCATCTCCTCGCCCTCGTCTGCATCCACCCACCCACCCACCTGCTCGTTACCGTTACCCATTACCCGTTACCCATTACCCGTTACCCATTACCCGTTACCCGCATTCCGGGTTCGTTGTCGGACTATTTGGCGCCGTCCATATTTTTCCGTGTTTGTCCGTCCGTCTTTGTGTTTTTTTTTCCTGTGTCTCTCTTTAGCTTGAAGCCGAGTAGTTGCCTCCTAATGGACGTGGGGGGGGGGGGTGCATAGAATTATGGAGGAACAATTATTCATTAAGGGGGGGTCGGAGGGGTGCAGCCCTAAAAAGTCTTGAAACTCAGTGAGGTTTTAATGGAAGAATAAATGGAATGAGGAGTGGCTCCGGTGAACCTGTGGGCGATGATACTTTGGGGGGGGGGCTCATTTCACAGGAAGCTTCATGCCGGGATCGAACTCATCCACGTGTCTCCCCTGCGCACCAGGGTCGTACAGCTCGGAGCCCGGCTGGTCCGTGTGCCTGCCGTGCGAGACGGGATTCAACTGCAGGTGCCTGAGTGCCTAGTGTATGGGGTCTGATTGAGCCTCTGTGTATGTCCGAGTGCGTACCTGTCCGTCTGTCATGCTTCATGGGATTCAACTGCAAGCACCCGTCTGTACGTCTTTAAGTGTGTCCGTGTTTCTCTGGTTGTATCTGAATATGCGTCCGTCTGCCTGTGTGTCCGAATGTCTGTCTTGCCTACCTTGGTGGTTTCAGCCCAGTCACCAATGAGCGCTGCTCCCTACTGTGTGGATTAGAGACAACCTGAAATTATTTCAGAAGTAGCTCTGTGACATCCGTTTAATGGACCATTCTTTAACGACGGAGATTTTAGACTGCCGTGAGATTTCCTAAAATATTTTCATCACCATGTGACCCAGATAGAGCACGCTTTTGCGTAAAAATTGGAGAGAGAAAAAAACAGAAAAGTTTAATATTTATAATTTTTTTAAAAAATGGGATGCAACGAGCGTGTGTTATGGCGCGCAGTCGAGAACGCTGCACGGAGTGCGAGCTGTGTCCGGGCGGGTGGCAAACGGCAGGGCGCGGCGCCCAGCAGTGCCAACCCTGCCCTGCAGGTAACGCTCACCTGCACGCAGAAAGCACTCGCCCCCTCCCCTGCATGAAGAGGCACAATTTTTTTTTACGAATGTTCACCTGTAATGTGAGAAGAAAAACGAACGTCCTAAATTCATTTCAAACCAAGAATCCATGCATGTGTAGTGGGTCAATAACTAGAGGGGAGTCTCTCTTAGGCAACACGTATTTTTATTAACAATAAATCCTTAACACAAAGGGGTAACGGCTCCTTACACCCGATACACCAAGGAGGTAGCCCCTCCGGGCTAATACGCCTCTCACTGGTTAATCTACACCCTTCTTGAGTGAAGCTGGGTCTTCACTGGTATAAGCTGGAGCCGACCCTAGCCAGCAGTACGGCTCTGCCCACTGGGCTCTTCACCTTCAGTAGGCTCTTTGGTCTTCGGGTGGACGACGACTGCTGGGACCGTTCAGAGGTCCGGCTTTTATACAGCTCCGTGGCATGGGGAGTGCACAATAATACCTCTACACATGCATTGATGTTAATGGGAGTCAGTTTGAACCATTTGTTCAAATAAATACAATAACCCTATCTCTCCAAATTTGATTGTATATCAATGTGGAGAGACAAGAGGGAGGCCTACCTGTCCTACCCACGATACAACCTCTGCCCTGGGGCCGTGTGGCTCAGGGGCCAGAGGGTTGAGTCTGCGCTGCAAGCTGGACTCTCGAGTTTAAACGCGGGTCAACGACCGCCCGTGATGAACTGGACTAAAAAAAACCCGTGGAATTTTGCAGTCTCCTCAAGCTGGAGCCACGAGGCTGCCACCGACTGCGAACTAAACGGGTGGTGGGGAAAAAAAAAGAACGAGAAGCGACCGATGAATAAACCAAACGCCACTCTGCCTTGTGAATGACCAAGTTCGATTCCTGGTCCGTGATCAGGGCAGCAGAAGTGGGAGGGCGTCGTGTACTGCACTCCATGCCCCGGTGGCTACTACCAGCCCCAAGAGGGACAGCAGGGATGCCTGATGTGTCCTGAAGACAACTACTGCCCGGTGCGACCGCCTGTCCTCTGCTGTGCCCGCTGTCGCCGTCTCATGCTATTTCCGTGTGCTGTACCTGCCACCGAGTTGACAGATTTGGGTTTACTCTTTGTTTTTTTCGGTAAAGTCACGTATAAATAAGAAATAATAAAATAACATAATAGCGTACGAAGTTTCGGTTGCAACACAAGCAGCCATCACCAGGTACAGAAGAGCTAAATTTACGAGAGAGGGGAAACACATAACCTCAGATGTATATACAGACACCCAAGTAGGGGGAACTAACACAGATACAACAGGGGGACACAGAGAGAGAAGCATACCAGACAAACAGTGTTTAGCAATATTTTGGAAACTATATAAAGCAACACAGACGGTCGGTCAAAACACGATTAACGCATAGTCCGGTTGATCACGCTATTTCAAAGATTGCTAAATTGCAAGTTAAGTATGAAACTCAAAATACAGACCGCACACACACACAGACATCCAAGTAGAGCGAACCAGCACAGAGACAAGCACACAGTGAAGTCGCCTTAAATAGGCAGAGAAGGTAAGGCTGAGAGACAATGGGAGAAATCAGCACGAGGTATGCATGGAGCAAAGTGGGGCGCGGCAGCACCCACTCGGAAGCAACAAGGCCCACACACAGGCAGAAACAGCACAGAGACACAAATCCAAGCCAAGACACAACGGCAGATACACAAGCAGAGACAACACAAATACACAGAACTCATACCTCCCCGAAGGTGGTTCAGACTTGATTTGAAGCTTTTGTGACTGCAGGAATTACTCTTTGGTTTTCACACTCTGGGGGCTCTTGCATTGCGCTGTAGCCTTCAACGTGCTATCTCAGCCTCGAGTTACATCGGCATGTGCTGTGCTGGCTTTGCTGTCTCCCCCAGTTCAATTGTGTACAATGTGCGCCAGTTGCTCAGCTTATGGAATGTATTGTAAGTTGCTGTACGGTCACTGCATCGACCGCTTCGAGATGCGTCTCTTCGGCCGTCTGGAACGCTCTTCCGATATTAAGAAGCCACTGGAGTTATGCACTGTTAAATTATATAGGTTGAAAAAAACCCAACTTCTTTAGAACAGCTTTGTGGCTTTATTTTTGTATGCACGCAAACACTGCAATTTCCCATCGACGGCTATGTTCTTTTCAGTGAACCCATTCTAGGGACTAGCGATTTACGAAACCAAACTTCACTGTGGCATCTTATGAAGACACCCAAGTGCCTACTCGCCAAGAGAAAACAATACAATATAACAAAAGACTGTCGGATTTCGACTGGAATTATGCCTCGGGTACATGGCTCACGTGGGGCCAAGACAAAAGTGACATCTGCCCCGACAGGGCGTCCGTGTGTATGCAGAGAAGTGATGGGAGGTGCCTGCTCCATCACTTCTCCGCTCCGATTCTCTAACTCATGGGAGCCTGTTCTGGGGAGAATGCAATCCTTATTATGGATAAAAATACATCGCATATTTTGAGTTTTGCACGGTTGGCTACGTACGGTGCAAAAGAGGTTCAACATACACACATACGTTCTATCAGTTTCTGGGTTCCCTCGTCTGTATAACGGCATTGCTATTGTTCACGTGTTTTGTTCCATTGTCCAACAACGCTATAACACAGCGTGGCCACGCCATGCTTTTCCCATTCTCTCGCTTGCATTGTCTTGTCGTGTTCAGAAACCACACACCATCGCTATCTCCCACCTAACTTCGCACCAATAATGCTGTAACACCGGCACGTTCCTATCTTACTGCGTGGTTTCCATGTTTTGGTTCCCGTTTGGTCCCCACGTGGTCCCCGTGAGTGATCCCCGTTTGGGCCCGGATTTGGACCCCTCGTGAGCCCGGTTTTGGTTCCCGTCTGGTCCCCACGTGGTCCCCCGAGTGATCCCAATTCGTCCCCTTTTTTTTGGGTTCCCCAGAGTCCCGAAAAGGCGCCGCTCCCGTGCCCCGTCGGCGCCTTCTGCCCCGCGGGGAGCCAAGAGCCGTCGCTGTGCGTGCCGCCGTTCCTGCGCTGGGGCGGAGACCACTGCTCGCCGAGTCCCCTGCTCATCGGCCTCGTGGCGGGCAGCACGCTGGGTGGGAACACGCAGGCACAGGGGCAAAGACCACCCCCCACCGCCGCCTCGTATAGTTTAAAGAGACCGCTGGGGCAAGTATTGTTAGCGAGCACCTATCAAGGATGGCACAGCCCACGACGGGGTGGGTGACCAACAACACCACCACGCCCGGCCACCTTTGTCTCCCCAGCGGCGATGTTTACCCACCGCCCCAGGTATTTATTTCAGGCCGAGTTAACCTAGGGGAAACCCAAGACGGGTTCAGATAATCGTGACTGTTGTTGGGCCACGAGCGAGAATCGAACTCGGGTCACCAGGTTCTTAGCGCAGCATGCTAACCGCTAGGCTACCGCTCCCCACTCAGTAGAGGGAAGACACACACAGAACATGCAGGCACAGAAGACCGAACACACACAAAGGATAGGTAACACAGAGCTAACCTTGACAATTCGCCCCATTGTGGCACATTTCCAACAGAAACTCAGAATTCGCAAAGCAGAAAATCCTTCACTTGATGCTGGAAGTAATTTGAGCCACGGACTGTCTAGAATGATGCCCAACAATGCTTGTGCAACAATGCGGGCACGTGACCATCCTGTCGCCGCCATCCCCTGCAGTTGCTGTTGCAGCTACTGTTGTTTGCTTCTGCTGCTGACTTGCTGCTGCCTTGTCATGCTGCCTGCTGCTGCTGCTTGGCCCAGCTCTGCTGCTGTTGCTGTTCCTAGCTCTCAACCACTGCAATCAGCGACTCCGCGACGAGCCCGGCGCCCGCACGCCACTGCTGTGGCACTCGAGGCAAAGACGCGGCGACAGGGTCCAGGACCAGGAGCCCATGTACACAGGGTGGTGACCCAGGACGCGGCAGCCCTCGTCGACAAACCCACCAGGCCAGCCGCCCAGTGGTCAATACCCAGCATTCATCGAGCCACAGGGCGGTGAAGCAGCATCCGGCGCTTGGCACCGTTAACACACCTGACGATGGAGCACCTAGAACCGAGCGTCCAGCACTCAACGCCCGTTATCATCGACAACACGTGCTGGTGACACAGCACCAATCGGCACCCAGCGTCATCGGCACACCGTTCACGCAGTATTGGTGAAGGGAGCATCAGGCATCGGCAACACGCAAGCTGGCGTAGGGACATTGAGCAGCCAGCATCATCGGCGGATTTTCTGCACCACGGGCAAATGAAGCTCCCTGTATCAAGGCACTTGGGCTTGTAGTCGAGCAGCCAATGCCACCAGAACTCAGCGCAACCAACACGGAGCTTAGCGTCTCCATTCAACGACGCACCTTGCGTCGATGTAACAAGGTTGCAAAAACTGAAGGCGTCAGCTTCTGATCTGCACGACCCAGGGGAAGACCCTGCGACTGCCTGCTGGTAACAAGGTCAAATACGCGCTTTGCTCCTGGCTTATAACGTTCCAAGATTGTGTTGTGTTGTTGATGACACTGATGAAGTATGTGCTGCTTAGGTCAGAGACCCAGGCTTTCCAGTCGACGAATTATGACGACCCGTAATGGGCCCCCCCTCTCCCGTCAATGTCTTGGTCCACAAAACAGGAGACAAAGTCATAGTGCTTAAGGCTACTTTGTGTAAATACATGCAATGCAAATGCAACTACTCTATACACCTGTCAGGCATTTCACACAGGCGGTGGGGGGGGGAGAGATAGCCGAGTCTCAAGGGACAGCGGAGCGGTCAGATCGAGAAAGCCCCGAGGTTGCATGCGTTCACATTTCGCAAAGACCACGCTGCTACCCGTCGGTGCCCATGTTTGGACCGCGTTATACTTTTGCTACTGCACAATAAAGTTTAATCACAAATTATGCCTTCACGTTTTTTCTTGAATAGGTTGGTCATAATAACGGTTGGTCGATGACAAAACATTCTTCTCGAAGGGCACTGGCTTTGTTTCTTTTCCATTAAGTTATCAAGTTGTTTATTATTACATCATGCCTTTTTTAAATACTCCAAAACTTGCTCCTGCTTGCTTCAATTTCATCATTTTGATCTCAAACTGGCTTCAACAGTTGCACACAAACACTCGTGTGATTTTCAGTTGTGTTCCTCCGACGGTTATGTCCTTGTCAGTGAACCTATTCCAGGGACTTGCGAAGCCACGCGTTGCTGTGGCGTCTCATTAAGACACCAAGTGCCTACTCGCCGAGAAAAAACAACACAATATAACAAAGGACTTTAGAACATACACCGGAATTAGGTCTCGCGTGCATGGCTCGTGGTGCCGAGACAAAAGTGACATCTTCCTGACAGGGAGTTCTGCTAGATGTGGCCGCAGGGGGTGGATGACCGAAGAATTGAGAGATGCCTGTTCAAAATACTTCTCCGATCCGATTCTCTAACTGGGGAGAATGCAATCATTATTATGGATGATTGCATATTGAGTTTTGCACCTCCGCTTAGCACGGTTGGCTACGTACAGTGCGAAGAAGTTCAATATACATACAACATATTCACCCTGAAAATCAACAGAGTCCAAAGGCTCTTTTTTTTTCCACGAGGGTCTTGCATTGGGATGTTTGGCCAACCCAAATTACATCGTATGCTTTAAGCTATGGGAGGAAACCCATGCAGTCCGGAATCAGGAATCGAACCCAGGACCTTCTTACTGTGAGGTATAAGTGCTACCACTGCACCACACTGCGACGTGGGCGACGAGATATCTGAAAATATAAGCCCAATGTCGTGCTAGGGGGTTGACTACCACCCATAGCAGACGACGAAAAATCCCTGACCCGGGCAACTCACACAAAAGGCTCAACTCTGTTCAGGTCACTGCTACATGCTAGCCGATTACCCAAAAAATGCAATCGATTGATCTCTGGCTAAACCGTTCCAAAGTGGCGACAACGCCACCTATAAACAAAGTGCGTGGAAAACAACAGATATTTGAAAATAAACTTAATTTTTTACAGGACATCAAGTCAATGGCCCTTATTTATGAAAAAGCGCCACTCACTGCCTGTAAAGTCACCTCTCGTTTACATCTTCCTCTTATCGACGGAAGTGTTCCGTTACTTGTGCTTGATTGGACACAAGTAGCTTTCACGTGACTCGGGACGGAGGTGGAACGGCAGTGTGGGTTTGATCACACACACACACACACTCTCTCCAAGTGGTGTATTTAACACGAGCCGATTTATTTTGTTACGAAGTTGAAGCAAACAAATGTATACAAACAAAACAAAGGGCAGTTTTAGCCTGCCCCAGCCAGTCATGTATTTGCAAATGTACAGCAGTAATACATGAACCTGAGACAACTTGGAGCTAGGAAGTGGAGAGGGATGGGGGGGGGGAAGGCTATGGGGGCATAATGGCTGGGCAATAGCCCCATGGAGAAGACACATTCACTTGCACATGGGTAGATTTCATAACAGAATCTATTACCGTGTTTCATGCATCTCGCGTGTTGGTCGGGAAAAGAATCACTTGGGAAAAAAAGTGCTACACTTGAATGGAATACAAGCAGTATAAGTTAAGTGGAAGTGTCTCATATTTTTGAGTTAAGAATTTTCAATATATTCAAGGAAAAACATTTGTAACACTTGATTCATCGGTGGAGGGGTGGTGGGGTGGAGGGAAGGGGTGGCAAAGCCATCGTGCGGCACGATGGGAACAGCCGAGCACGCCCGTCGTTAAAAGCAGAAGTGCCCCTACAATGTAACAATTTTTTTTAATCAGCTCAAACAAACACCATATATAAAAGGTCAACGGCAAAAAAAACCTTGGATAAGAATGAGCGCTCCACCGACAAATGTGTCCTCATTATTGCTCGGTTCTATCCGGCTGTTAAAACTGCACCCTCGTCTGCAGATTACGCAAAAGTGAGCTGAATCTGGCAGCACTTTGCACAATTCCAAAAAGCAAGTCCCACCGTTCAGTCAAAGCTACAACCTAGAATTAAGAACGCACGCAAATCTATTTTCACATTTGATGAACAAAACAAAAACGCTCAACGGGGTAAAATTTTGAGAATGTGGTTTGTGCCTAATCCACAAGCAGAATGGGCGTTGTTCAGATTTCGGAGATTGCATTGCGGTGCAACAACTGGACCTCGCGCCCCACACAGACGTCTGAACTCCCACACGCAGCCCCCTCTGATATTGCATATCAACGGAAGACAAACGCCGAATCGAAACTCGCCGCAGTATCACCTCCCCGAGCTGTAAACAACCATCGGCATATGGAGACAAGCCAGGAGCCGGCACCCGCCCCCACCTCTTGGGCAGCCAAAGCGTCGCAAATTGCGGCCGCGAAGCATTTTCGATGACACCTGGTAAATCGAGTTATGCGACTACGCATCACTGCTGCGGATGGTCGTAAGTTGAAGGTTTCCACTTTCCAGCCAGTGGCTTGGCCACCAAAACCGGCCAGCTGAACCCTTCAATAAGCGCATTACATTGAAATCAAAGTGAACAAATGGAGCGGCATTGCCAGTGGGAACGCGAGCGAATGCTGCTGGCGGGGTTCACAGCGTGCGCACAGCGCCACCAAGCGGTCTGCGCTCGGCTTCTCATCTCCGAAGCAGCGGTGGACGCAGACGGAGGCGAGGGAACCGAGGGTGGCGTAGCGGAAATGGCAGATCACAGCAGCCAGCCGCAAATAAACATAGGCACGACCGTCACTTGATTATCTACAACCATCGTTTTTAAAGGTCCGTATTTAACAGAGAAGGGTTAGCTTTATAATTTATATGAAAATAAAATTGAAAGCAATATAACCACAGGCGTCCCTCTAATGAACACACCCACTAACAAGCCATTGTAGTCCTCGGCAGCCAGACCCAGTTATTATCACGCTCAGGCTCAAAAGACCTTTAGAAAATACAATGACCATCTGTTTCACACAGCCACCAGAGCACTATCCTACAGTTTTCATTAGTGTTTTAAGTTAATGTAAAAAAAAATTGTAAGTAAATTTTTAGTCTACTATATTCCTTCATGAATCCACAACCCTGTCGTTCCACACACCCTGGCTTGTAAACATGCGCATACAACCCAACCCTGAAGAGGAAGATACAGCCAAGTGGCATTGTTGGCAAATTTACACACGTACTAATCACAAGCCGGGCAAAAAATAAACTATTGCTCATATTTGCATTAAGCCGACAAAATCTTCCCTCCGCCGTCCAACCCCGCCCCAACGCCCACGTCTCTCACCGTAACAATTGTCTCAATCGACTGCCGGTTCCCACAGCTCCCCCCCCCCCACCCTGAACGAGACTGCCTTCTGGGAAGACAAGCAGTCAGGCAGCGAGTGAAATGCGAACGAACGCCTTTAAATGTGCGCGTGTGGCGAATGGTGGTCAAGGAGTTATAAGCCGTCACGCAAACTTCCGTCATCCTCACACAGCAGCGGCTTTTGGCTAACCATTAAACAAAGACGGTCACCGCATCGTGCGATTTGATATGCGCTTCTGCGGCCGTCTGGAACGCTCTTCCTTCAGATATTAGGAAGCCACTGGAGCTATGCACTTTTAAATCTAGATTTAAAACTCAGTTCTTTAGAACTGTTTTTTTTCTTTAGTTGGTTGTCCTTCCCCTGCACCTCCGATTAGCACGGTTGGCTACGTCTGGTGCGAAAAAAGTTCAACATGCATACATATATACATACACAAAAGCGCTACCTGCAACTCTAACTCGGTCAAGCAATTAGAATCTTTCCACCATGTGACAACACGAGCCACGCTTCTCAAGCCCTGTGTACAGGCAGATCATGTTTTCAAATGGTAATGGCCTCCAACATAATACATAGAAGTTGATGAAAGATTCAACTCAAAAAAAGGCCAAATCATCAGTGAATTAAAACCTTGTGTATTTGTTGGCTGTCCCACATGAGTTTGAGGTTTCATTGACGAGAAAGAAACATTTTAAATGCCCTTCAAGTGTGCTATAGTGACAGCTGCGATAAAAAAAGTATGGCAGTACTCCCATAGCAACATGATTATAACTCAAGATAGTAATTGAGTTGTATTCAAATTATTTTAATATTGCATTATTTTTCTCATTTGCGAAGCTCAAACGCCTGGGACAGTCTAAGGTTTGCAGTTGTAAGTGAAGAGCCGATTCTTTTGTGGGTTGTACTTTCTTTTCACATGGCGCAGCGTGCTAACCGAGGTCAAGACTTGGAGGTGGACAACTTATCCCGCCCCTCCAGCTTATTTCATTTCCCCTCCTACCACCAAGCCCAACATTCTCATTGCCCAATACCTGACAGGTCACATCAGTCAGCTTAAAATACACATCAAAATGACTGGAAACGCTGGAAAGATTCGAGATTCCAACAATATGTAACTTTTTTTCCCACAGTCGCTGTGATTTTGTTAAAACAAATCAATTAATGGGGTTTGATTTCTTTTTCAATGCAGCCTGTTGTTGCTGGAAGATGCTGATTGTAATCACCAGCGAAACGCCGTACTCGAATTGTAAATGCTGCGGGTTTACTCTCCAACACGCTGGTGTGCTGAACTCTTAACTAATCGGCACGTTTTGTTTACGTGATAAATCTTACTAATTGGCGTGTCGGGTGGTGGTGGGTTTAACGACACATTCATATTTACGCAATCTAACCCAAATAAAACCTCTTATTCATATTAGTCGCAAAAGCCTACGTGTTAAATTGGAAGATGCTGTCTGGATTTTATAACGTGTTCTATAAAATTCTGGTCCCACGGAGCGAACACCGAGCCATGCGGGCATCTCACCGTCAAATCTGCAACTTGTTCACTTTCCCACCGTCATCTCTTAAGGTGCTAAAATTGCTTACGGGATATCAATTAAAAAAATATTCTGAAGCAGACAAACGTACCTCAACCATTATAATACATTCACTGGATCCCTACGTCTGCTCCAATTCGACAGGCAGGAAGGGGGAAAAAATAAGGAACACTTGCTCACAAAGCTTGAGTGAAAGGGTTGCGGTCCACATTCACGGTTGCGACCCAGGGGTCCATTATTTTAGTTTGTCAACTGCCGTTATCGGCCACTTTTCCCTAACAGTGTTACCCAACCCGAATTACAAAACAAAATGAGCCCGGTGAAGTGCCATTGAGAATAACCCTTCACGCTCGCTATGCGCTCCCTGGCTTCATTATTTCCCCTCACATGGCCTGACTTGAGCTGGGCCCCTGGGACACGTAGGCCGCCACCTTGGGCTGAGAGGTCTTCTCGCCAGCAGATTGGAGGACCGCCGCCCTGCGGGCCAGCTCCCCGATCTCCCGAATCGTTGGCCTCGCCAGGCCCTCCTCCTCGGCGGCGTCGTCATGAGGCACCGCCGCTGCCGCCGCCGCCGCCGCCGCCGCCGACTCCTCTTCGTCCTCCTCTTCGACAGTGGTGGCGATATCGTCGATCCAGCCATCGTGCTCTTCGCAGCAGATGCGACCGTCCCGGGTGAGGCGGGTGAGCAAGCCGGCCTGGTGCTCCTTGCAGAAGGAGTTGGGGCACAGCTCGCAGGAGCGCACCGATGGGCGGCCACACACGTCGCAGTGGTGCCACGGGCACTCCCATTTGCCTGCACGTGCGATGGGGGGGGGGGGGTGCACACACGCGCAGACCGATGGTTATTTATGGTTTAAGCGATCCAGCGCTCTGGAAGGCAAACAACTCCCATGATCAACATGGCACAGCGAGGCCTTCACCTAGCCATGGGCTGACAAAGGGCTGTAAAGTACTACAGTAGTCTCCGTATGAAAAAAAGGCCAGTAAGACACATCCCGAACTTGTGCCTGGTTGTCAATAAAGTTACACAAATCTGGCCACATGCAAACCTGGAGGATTATAACACATGCTCTTTGGTTCTTTCTGTAAAGTCACGTAGGTAAAGAAAAATAACAGATCACGACGCTTCGATCGAAACAACAAGCGACCGTCATCAGGTGGAACAGATACAGCAGGAGAACTGCTGACATCAGAGAAAAGAGCTGCTGCAACAAGAGTTTATATAAGATTTTGGTGGGCTCAACCCAAGGGTAAGTGGGCGGAGCTAGAGAAGGAATTTGTACGTAAATGTGAATGTGAGAGATTAGCATGCCAATGTGAGTACCAGCCACTGATCAATGCGAGACGGCCGCTTGTGTTGCGACCGAAACGTCGTGATCTATTATGATTTTTCCACCTACGTGACTTTACCGAAAGAACCAAAAGAGTACGGATTCCTGCAGTCACGAAAGCTTCAAATCAAGATTGATTATAACACACCTTCATTTTTTACCTTAATGTACAAGGGGGGGGGGGAAAAAACGGTGCGTCTTACAATCCATGCATTTTTTGTTATTTATTCTGCTGGGTTAGTTTGCACGCGTGCATTTGCGCGCGTGCGCGCGAGACGCTCACCAAAGGGAGGCTTGGTGAGGTTGAGGCAGGACAGGTGGTAGGCCTTGGGGCAGGCCTTCTTGTCGCACATGACGAGCTCGCCACCGTCGCCACAGCGGTAGCACTCGTCCTCGTGCTCGGCGCGCGCCGTCTCTGTGCGGGGGCGCCGGCCGCGCGCCTTCCGCTTCGCCTTCTTCGCTTTTTCCTCCGTGGCTGCCGCCGCCGCCGTCTTGGGATGCGCCAAGGTGGAGTGGAGGGCGTGCAATGAAGAGGGTGGGAAAGTCACTCGACGCCTATTTTTCACTCGAGAAACCGAGCCTCCGATTGGCAAAGATGGCTACGCAAGGTGCGAAATAAGTTCACCATACACACACGAGCCGCGTCGTTCACATATAACATACAATGAACGCGCGGAGACGCGTGCAGATGATTCTGAGACTCAGTGTACTGACAGCGTACTAACGCCGCAAGCAATGAATGCGTCATTAGCCCAGAGCAAGCTTCACACGTCTTCCCAGGCCCAGCTCAGTACAGTATACGGCCACCTGCATTGTGAGGGTGCAAGAGAGGGGGGGGGGGGGGGCAGTACCTTTGGCCGGACGCCCAGGAAGCCACTGCAGTTGGGGGCCCCACACTTGCAGATAGTTTTTTCATTTCCCAAGCAGTCAAGGTTGTAATTGAACGTCAGCTCCGTGCCTGCTGGGATCCACATAGAGAATCACGACAAACCCATACATGGACACATCCGAAAGACCAAAATGTGTTGTGTGCGTATATGAGGTAATGTGGTGGCTGGTGCACTGGGCTACGAACCCGGAGATCCATGATCAATACCTGACCAAGGCTAACATCAGGAGCGAATATCTGAACAGGTTCTGGGCAATCCTTAGGTCAACAGGTTGCCATGGTGGCGAGATGCTAACTACCTCGGCCTGATATTCAAGAGGTCGTGGGTTTGATCCCGACCCTGACAACTGTATATTTGGAGTTTGCATGTTCTCGCCCGTGGTCTTGTGGATGTTTCTGCGGGTCCTGCGGTTTTACCCTCCACATATAGAAACATGCATATACAATATTTGGCTGCTATACATTTCCACATAAGCCACTTCGTTGAGCTATAATTTGTGGCCAGGTCGCATCTGAAAAAGAGCTACATAATTCAGTGGGCCTTACCTGGAAAAAAAATAGTTAATAGTTTTAATTGGTGTAATGTGTAAACAGCAGTACTTTGGAGACAAAGGTAGATGGCCATCGTACTGGCAAACCACCCCCTCGTGCGATGTGCTAGCTTTCATAGGCGTTCGCTAACAGCACATGCCCCCAACAATCTGTGTAGGTGACACACGGGGATTCTTGGCATGTGCGAGTCAAGCTTTACCTGTAGCGATGTCAGAGGTGGCAAAGAGCCCCACGCGTGTGTCGCCGTTCACCGTCCACTTCTGGGTCTCGCAGTTGGGCTGGCAGCTGTGGTTCATGAAGCGCGAGAAGTTGCCCTTGGGTCCTGCGTCGATGATGCGATCCTGCTTGTGTGCACGCGAATCAGTTTACGGCTGGGGCTATTGGTCGATTCAGCTGACTTAAATCATCCTAAAACTGTAATTGGTCAGGCCCCTTTAGAAAATGGTAGCAGCCCCCATCATACTACCTCTTAAAGGCTCCCTACGAGCAACACCCAAAGTGACACGACTGATTGATGCTGATCAAGTGTTATTTGAATTGGCCTGAGTGGTTGAACTCATGATCCATGACTTAAATAACCAGATATGCCGGCTAAAAAATGTAGAGCTGTGTTCCACAGAAGCTGCTCTGCAATCATCATATGGGACAGGCTGCCACCTAGCGTTCTGGGTAATGAGCACAGAATGATTAATGAGGAGTAATTCAATACTTCAGGATACATTTGATGAATGCGGAAGCAGTGGCACAGAGATTTATAGCGACGGCTAACTTTAGTGTCGGTCCTGGGCACCCACCCCCGCACCAGCCCGTACCGACGAGTGTGAAGAACGATTAAACAACCCGAGTGACACTGCATAAGGTGGCCTTCATCCAGCAACGAATTGACAAACCGCAGTACATTATTAATTAATGTTTTATTTACACGATTAATAAAATCTTGACTTAAAGCTTTCGTGACTGCAGGAATTCATATTCGTAGCATTACCGAAAGACCCAAAGAATACAGGATGAATAGTCTATTTTTCATTTCTATTATTTTCGATTTGTGAGATAAAAACTATTCGGAACGTAACAAACCATACACACAGGGCCCATAAATAAAGAAGAAAAGAAGCGCAACACCAAATCATCGCATCACGTGGGGAGGAGAGCGGTTGAGGTGCGAGTGAAGCCTCACCTTCTCGATAGTGAGCATGTAGAAGTTGCTAAGGTTCTTTTCGTGCGCGTACTTGATGCGCTTGCGACACTCCTCCTCGTCGATCAGCTCCCCCACGTACTCGTTCACAAACTCTCCCTGAAAGGTAAATTAAAAACGAAGATGCAACACAAAAATACAGGCAGCTCGTATCTTTGCAAGTCAGGAGCGCCCAACTGGTTTTTGAGCAAGGGCCAAGCGGAAAATCTCTCAGCTCCCAGCAGGCCGAGAGGTTCGCGTGGAAACTTTTGAGCTGGGAAATCACGCCAGAAATAAACCACAATTGTGCCCGAGTGACCGAGTGAGCGTGTGAGTGAGTGAGCGAGTGGTGACTCGAGTGAGTAGGCGAACAAGGTGGGGGGGGGCACCTTACTTTGCGTATGCTGACCAGTGTGAGCAGCCCCCAGCCACGCCCAGCTGTTTTGACGATCTGCGAGGGAGGGTAGGCGCGCTTGGTGAACGCCTGGTTTTGGCAGCGGTCGCCCGCGGGGCAAATGGATGGGTGGCACTCGTACTGAAGCATGCGGTTGAGGCACTCCGAGTCGAGGCCGCACGGGGACTCGTCCGTCGGCTTGCAGTTGCAGCGGGGGATTTCCGACACGTCTGCCGTGTACACCTGCACGCGCCCCACAGGCTTGTTGGACTACGTGGGGGTCAGGGGGCACAGGGTGTGGGGAGTGTGCAATCAGGTTATTGAGAGGCGCACGCTCGTTTGAAGTAGTACCGCACGCCTCTGTTTAAATTGCACAACAAGCCAAGTTTTGATTCCAAGAAACCGGTTCCTGCCGTTGCCTGCATGACAATCCCACACTGACTGGCGTGAAGTGTAGTAAAAAAAAAGTCAATGTAATGTACATGGCGTTAAGAGGTCTTCATCCAGCAGTGAATGTAATCTATTATATAGCTCAGTGGGCCTTACCTGGTAAATTATATATTTTTTAATAGTTTAGTTTGAATTATTATTTATTAGGCATGTCACAATTCACACCATACAAGGGGTGCTAATAGGATATGTAGAGTCCATCGATAGCTACTTGCTTCATGCAGATATGAAGAAATGTACTGTTTGGTTACATTAACTTAACGCTGCAAATATACATACTTCCAGGAAACAGCATGAGTAAAAACAACGGAGACGAGTGTAAACATCAATAATGTATACATTCTTGATTTTAAGCTTCGTGACTGCAGGAATCCATACTCTTTGGTTCTTTCGGTAAAGTCACGTAGGCAGAAAAATAATAGATCACGACTTTTCGATCGCAACACAAGCAATCGTCATTAGGTGGGACAATCACAGCAAGAAGCCATCCAGATATATAAACACAGACACAACTTCAACCGAGAAGATGGGTACAAACTGAGCAATCATTGGAAGGACGTTATTAACCATGTAAAGTCTTAACTGACTGTGATGTTTCCATCTTACCTGCCTATGTCAGCTGTTATTTCCAACTCTGTGTCTTTCTCTCTCTCTGTGCATCTCTCTCCGATCTCTACTCCAGTCACCCGGGTGCTGCTGCGGGGTCCACTTTCTGCCCCGCCTCCTTCCCCACCCCCCCACTTCTCTCTCCCCCCCTGCAGCCGATCTCTCCAGTGCTGCCGCGGTGGTCCACTTCTCTCCAGTGACCCGGGTGCTGCTGCGGGGTCCACTTTCTTCCCCGCCTCCTCTCTCCGCCCCCTTCTCTCTCCCCCCCTACTGCCGAGGCTTACTATATAACCTCGTGCCACGGCAGATCTCTCGCCTACTTCAGCGGTTGTTTCTTGCTGTGGTTGTCCCACCTGATAACGATTGCTTGTGTTGCGATGGAAATGTCGTGATCTATGATTTTTCTATCTACGTGACTTTACCGAAAGAACCAAAGAGTATGTATACATCACTGCAAATTTACGAGAATGCAAGTACTGGTAGACAAAATAGGAATATTCACCATTTTCCCATAAACAGCTGAATTAGGTTACATTTGCAAGCACAGCAGCAGCCACACCCAAGTGTGGCGAATCAAAGCAAGTTTAAACTTCACTGTGGGTAGACGGAACACCACACAATGATGTGCTGCTTTGTAGGAAAAGCGGAACCAGGCCTCGTTATAAAACAGGGTTGTTAAATAACAACTGGTAAGCCGGTAATCTTTTTCAGAATTGGTTCATCAACACGATCCATGTGCATTTCGTCATTTGTTTACACTTTCCACTGTCTCGTGCCAATATGCTCAAGAAGTGGCACATCTTTCTGGCACCAATCCTCTTATGCCATCGTCAAACCATTCTCTGTTAGGTCTTGCTCTCTTCCCGGTTCCCTACATTTTTCCCGAACACATTCGTGAGTAACGAATGCACCGTTTGATATGCGCGAATGTACAGAGCACAGGGGCCTGAATGCGTTGGCCCTTTGTTTGTCAATAAAAAGTTACGTGTGTGCAGCCATGCAAGTACTTTGCTCACGCCACTGCCGGCTAAAAGGGCCTCCTGAATTTGATCTACCCTTCCATGCTGACCAATTGTCTTGGAATAGGTGGGTGTGGGCCACACTTTACCCCACCACATGTGACCTGCCAATTGGCTAACTGTGCATTACTCTTTCTTTGGTTCTTTCGGTAAAGTCACATTACTCATTTATATTGATGGGTGGGGATTGAGGAGGAGGAGAGTTAATAAAATATTTCTATTGTGTCAACTTCCATGCAAGTCCAGGTGAGGTGCTAATAACCATGACAACATTGGCAGCTCTCCTCCTTTCTCAACTAAAAAGGTAAACATTTAATGTTTAATATCCATTTTTCTACGTGTCAAAGTTTTTTTTTACCGTTTAAGTTCCATTCGGTTTCTGATCAAGTAAAAACAATCCGATTTTAACCACCCTATTATCGATAACCCATGTTAGTTAAGGTGCAACACCTTGTGCTATTTTGGAGGGGGCACTCAAGTTTTCCACATTGTGAGGCACGTAGGAGTTCAATAATTCACTAATTGTGCTGAACACTGTGACATTTAAATTTTGATTTAAAGCTTTCGTGACTGCAGGGATTCATATTATTGGTTCTTTCGGTAAAGTCACGTAGAAGGGAAACAATAAAATAATAAAAATATATATTTTTATAATTATATTTTTTCCCTTCTACTGTGACATTTAGTTCATGGAACTAACAAAATTGTACAACAATAACGTGAAATTGCGACCTCCAAATCATGGCAATTATTAAAATCGCTGATGAGGCAGAAAAATGGTTGCACAACTCCACCGTGTGTCTGTGGCTAAGTGGGCCAGATGAGGGAGGTGTTGACGGCACCTTGATATGCTTGTAGGTGGGTGGCTTCCGTTCGCTGCGCTCCGTCTCCTGCGCCTCCCGCGTCTCCCTCTGGGCCTTCAGGGCCTGGTACCGAGCGGCCGCCTCCAGTAGTGCTGCAAGCACGCGGCACCTCAGGTAAGCGGTGCAAGACTCGGACGGTACCAAGTCAAGAACAGGTACGCGCGCACGCACATCTGGGAAACGGTGACAACATCTGCCCCTCTGATTGGAAAATTTGTCAAGGTGGCAGCAGCACTGCGTTTGGCTGTTCATTGTCAAGCGGTTAAGTCAGCATAAGATCCCTGAACACACACTTCTGGATTCAAATGCACTGTGCGAGTGCAGGTGTTCCAAGGCCTTTTAGCAGCCGCACCTTCGATTAGCACGGTTGGTTACGTAAGGTGCAAAAGACATACACACAACCGGAACGAACGCTCCCTCCTGGGAGCAATTCCCTATGCGAGCTCCCTCCTCATGCCAGCTCTCGACAGCAGCTGTCAATCTACCACAGCCAGGAGCATCCTCCCCCTGGATAGAATCACAACTAGGTAAGGGCCCATCGAGCCCAGGAGTATATTTTGGCAAGGGAGACTATGAAAGAAACGAGAGGACAGGGTCAGTCAAAGAGAAAGTGCGCCATATGGCGCTTACGTATCTCTGGTTAGACACCATGTCATCGGTATTGGTATCCCAAAGTACCCCAGGAGAACTTGGTGGCAAAGCAAGAGCCGTGTGCCCATTGAGGATCTCGGTGTCTAAGTATATGTTACGTAAACTCAGTCGGAAACAGATTTTGGTAAACTACAAACTCCCGCAGGACCGAAATCATCACAATGTATTATTTATTATTAATACTGGGACACACACAGAGGGACGAGGTGATGAAATGACAACAGAGGGATAGGTTTACTTTGTGGACGAGATGATACATTTCAGGACACCGACTAAAGAAAAAAACAAATGTAATGACGCTTACAATGCAAAACATCTAAACCACTGCACTGACATATTGAAGTTCATGGGAGTGACCTCACAGTGATGCCACGATAGCGATACAACGGTGTGTCGGTGTCGATAAAAAAAAATTGTCTCAATGAAGCTTCAAATTCGTATCGTCGGAGTGCTTTAAACACTGCTGAGGTGCTATGAGAAAACAAGAGGTTTTAAAAAAAACATTTTTTTTCCTCCAAACTGGATAAAATTGCAGGCACAGAAACGGCGCTTTATGTGGGTATTCGCACAAAAGTACCGCGTTTGAACGTCTTGTTGAGGCAGTTCGTCTTGTAGTCGGTGGAGCCCTTGTCGCCCTCCATGTAAGGAAACACGCGACCCTGCGTCGTCCAGTAGTAGTCGTGCGACCCAAAGAACTGCACGGGAAACTGCCCGACCGTGTGCTTGAGGTTCTGGATGTTCTGCGGGATATTGCGCGGCTGGCAGATCTCAGCTGGCCACCACCTGGCGCCGGCACGGACACACGAGGGGGGAGCAGTCGTACCTTGGAACTCACTCGCCACGCCACGCAAAATCACCGCAAGCGCACATACGGCAACAACAGCTGCCAAAAATCCTTCCCTATTGTGGCAGGCTAAGTGAACTTTGAGGCTATCTGAAATGTCAAAGGCTTGCTGCCAGGTCACAGGTGTTGTAGGTTACCCGAGACAACTGGCACACGCACCCACCTGTGCTCTCGTCAGTGCCAATAGACACGCACACACATGCACGGTTGCTTGCTCGCACACCCACCTGTAGTTGCCCAACTTGACCCACACAATGTCATGGTACTGTGGCTTCTTGCCAGCCCGGCATTCGGCACAGCACCAGGTGCCCTCCGGTGGTTCCATGCCCAGGCACTCGGGGTGGAAGGCGGCCGGGCACGACTCGCAGCACAAGAGACAGCCACCTGGCATCACACGCACGCACCGCACAAGCAACAAACGCCACCTGAATCGCTCCCTTCTCCCCACACCGGGAGAGTAATCATTCACCGCAGTTAAATATTATTTTTAACATTTAATTACTGTGTTTGCTAAAAAACATTCAAATGTACAGGCTTACAAATATTTACTTATACATTGTATGAGCATTTTTCTAATTTAGATTCCCAGCAAATGTATATGAAACCCGATGGCATGACACAGACGATGCAGCACAAAGTTATCAGCCATATTCAGTGATGTAAATGAAGGTGAACATCATTCAGTTTATATCCTTCGGTGGTTGTGCCACTTACCTTGCAATAACCAAATAGAATGTTACATTTATCTAATTTATGCGAGATAAAACATGAAAATGTAAGTTCTACCAGGACCAACTTTTTAAAAGCGTACTCAATGAAGGTATGATGGGGTTGAATTTAAGTTTGTGATATGTTTAAGACTAAGAAGGAGCAAATGAACTGAATGAATAAATAAATCACTGGCACGGTTCAACAGCTCTTAGTAAATCGGATTGAATGTAAGCATGCTTGATGAAAATGGCATTTCAAGGACCACGTTGGGTTTACACCGCAGCGACCGAGATCGCATCGTCGCACTCCAGGGACAAAGGTGAAGAAGCAGCAAAGCACAACATTCGTGAGCCATCGTAACATTTTACTGCACCAGCACGCACACACACACACGACAATTCATCCCCAGCCCCCACCCTGGCCACGACACGACAAACACAGTCGCAGGTTTGGAGCCATCAAGCCATGCACCGTCGCATCGCCATGATCGGTCACGGAGACAGCAATCAAGAGTCAAACTGGGGAAGGGAAGCCACACTGCAGCGCTGGTATACCGTAAAGTTTCTTGTGTGGTGACACAAGCGGATGGTGCTCACCCCCCCCCCCCCCCCCCACCTCTGAAGGATATATGGATCTGTATGCCCAACTTTGACAGTTACTCCCACCAGTGACAATAATGTTTTCCAGTTTACATTTTACGTGCCGAATTTCATTATTTCTGTAAAACCGCAGTGCAGCATTAATACCAGTTGTCGAATTTGGGTTTTTGAAAATCCAATGACCTAAAATCCTGCAAGAGCTGTCTTGAAAATCGAATACGCAACAAAATAATTTCGAAAAACCGGTAGAGTGGTGGCACAGTGATTAGCGCACTGCACTATGAATCCAGAAATCTTTATCTAGTAGTGGAATGACAAAGGGCTGTAAAATATAAAATGGTATTCTTTGCCAAGAAAAAGTACTGTAAAACCTCGCATCTGGTGCAACTCTCGAGTCCTGCACATATCTGTTCACCTTTAACACCAATGTTACCTGCAACACACAGACCGGAATCTAGGAAATGAACACTGCAGTGCTAAACGCGGCTGGGTCGGCCTCGAAGGCGGCCCCGGTCATACTACTTCAGTTGACGTAAAACAACTTTGCGGCACTGGTGGCAACAGGGCAAGATGAGCCTCAATCCTCAGTGTTGACTTATGGTCAAAACCACAACAGTTCACTTTCTGGTCCAACTTTTACTATGATAAAAGAGAGGGAACACTAATAAAGCGTGGCGTGGCATCCTGTCGTGATTTTTTTGTTGTTTTCCGGTGGTCTGTGTTGCAAACCAACTGCTGGGCAAGGCAGCTACAGCTTGCGACAAAAACAAAAATCAGTTTGCAAGCCGTTACCCGATTTGACGGCGCACGATGAGCCAATGGAAACTTTACGGTATGCAAAACAAGGGGAGGGGGGGGAGCAGGGGTTATTTCGGCTGCCATGGAATTAGTCAAATTGTGAATGTCTCAGCTCGGAGAACTGCTGGCACGTTTACATTGTCACTGACCATTTGAGAAAATGGCTAAAGATGGAATTGTCAGCCGCTTTGGGTAGGTTTGGCCGAAATAAATGTTCTGCTGTTTGTGACGACTCGAAATAACCCCCGTGGCGTTAGACCTCGGGTAACGAAAAACGATCTTCAACTGAATCAACATCGCTGGCCACGCACAACCTGAAGGGGAACACTCTTAGTTGTCTTACAATCAATCAAAACGCCAAGCTCAATTGTAAAGGGGGTTTTTCAACATTGTTAGGCTTCGTGATTGATAATCTTAAGGTTGAGAAGCCGATAAACAAGTTTCGCCGATTGGTCGAGGACCGTAGATGGAAGGAATGCCCTTCAGAGACAGCGTGACCAGCAGCCCAGATGCGGATTGACTATGGTAAGGGCATGGAGCAAGCAGGAACATGCCACTGCCATGTAGTAAACGGGGAGAGCGGTGTAGTGAAAAGTGGAGGCAAGAGGGCAAGGCAACAGCCAAAAAGCAATGGCAGTAAACATTTACCTTTCCCACAGGCCTTTGCTGCTGCTGCGGGGACTACGGGAATCATGGGTAACTTCCCAAGTTCACTGGACCTTTTGTATTCGCTCAATAGGTAGTGGGAACTTTGTTCAAAGAGAGCGAGGCCTGCATCGGGCAAAGGCGCTCCTATAACACCCGGAGAGACACAGGGGAAGGGGGAGGGAAGCTTACCCATGATTCCCCAAGACAGACTCACAACACGCAGTGCAATGCCGTTACACAGAGGACAAAAACCATGTGCATGTGAAAATAACGTTAAATAAAATACACAAACATTTAAAACACACAAGCTAGACAACTGCAAGACAACATAAATGTATAAAGAGTGGAAAAACAGTTGTTAGTAAAGAATATTCTAAAACTAACAAAATTAGTCGGGTGCATTCTACTCTTCTACTGAAGCATTTCAAAATCTGTGCAACACCTCATCTCCATTAGCAACTATGTTTTCACGTGGCCAATATTATCACACTGTCATAGACCAAGGGGGTGAGCCCACACACCCACGTGTGGGGCTGTTGAGTGCAAGAAGAGGCTATGGGAAGCATCTGCTCCACAAGCATTCGCCAGGTCTGCAGATATGCTCTGAAGACCCGGCCAGAACTGTCTGGAGCGAAACAGCAATGCTCGTAAAAACATAGCAATTGATTAAAAAGTGAATGAGGAAAGGAGTTCAGCAGTAGCACATTTTTTGTTACGTCACACCAGGCAGCTGAGATGCAATCCCAGAGAACAGAAGAGACGGTGACAATTTCTCATTAGAATACGAAGCAGCTCAATAATCAACATGCTCTCTAATATATGCAGCACAGACATCACTGTACATTTAAACATTTAACCTCAACTGCAAATTTCAACATTAAAAGTATTACACATACAGAATCTAGAACAAACTCGTGGAAAACAACCTGAACACTGCCCTTAAAGTTATGTTTTAACATTAAAGCCCATCTCCATACAATTTGGCAACCAAAGCAACAAGGGAAGCTTACACACGCCGATTTGCGATTATCAGAAGCGCAAGACAAGTAGCGGCCTCAGAGGCAGTATAGCTAAATTGCAACACACCACAACACCAGCGTTCGGATACAAGGCAGCCGGTCGAGAATTTCGCAGCTGGGACGGGGGGGAGTTGAGGTGGTCATTTGGACGCCTCACCTCGCGAGCACAGGAAGCACCAGTTGACGTTTACGTGCCACGTGCTATCCCGTTTGTTCGGCGTGAAGTGGCCGCTGCACACGATGCTGTATGGAGACAGCACCTTGCTCCCCGCCGCCAAACAGCTGTCCGACGTGTGGTACGCCACGGGGCAGCGCACGCACCGCTGCATTCTCCCTGCGGCACGCGCGGGGGAGACAGGAGGAGACGCTGCAAGCTGTACTCGAACAGGGCGCACGCTGCACGAGACTGGGGTGTGGCAGGGTCGCTCACTGACAAGGGGCTACCTGTTCAACAAAAAAAAGTAGATTTCTCCCCCACTTTTATCCCCATAATGCTGCTGATGTCATGTCCATTTCGATTTCTTGCAGAGACATGACATTGTAATTGCAAGGGAACATCGGTTCTTGTTTGACCCTTACTGCTGCCCGATGGCAGAGAAGATGTCATCGGACTCCTGTGCTACACAGTGGGCAGCAGAGGGCAGTGGGGCAAAATCCATTGATGTAATGCAATTTTTTTATGCTCCCACGTCTTTGTTATCCCCAACGTCATGAAGCTGCACTGACCATGTATTTATGTATGTAGAACGTATTTCGCACGGTACGTAGCCAACCGTGCTAATCAGTGTGGTAATGTATGGTCAAATAACCCATATGATCCCGAACGGTGTGCGGAAATCCTCATCTAACACTGTACACGTGCCTTAACATTGCACACATGTTGCAAGCCCACATCTTTCCACCCTTCATGGTCGCCCTCACTCCCTACCGCGACTGGCCCGGCTGCTGGCAGGGTAGGCCAGGTGGCAGGACAGGCAGACATGCAGCGGGCAGCGGAATCTGCGGCCCTCGAACACGGCGGCCGAGGAGCGCTGCACGCACTCCTCGTGGTAGAAGCGGCCGCAGCTGGAGACGGCGCAGCGCCGCACCTCCGCGCCCGCACATTTACACGCGAAGCAAACGTGCAATCCTGCCAGCGCGCGACAGCACCACCCCATGTGAGCCACAAACACGGAGCGAAAGCTGCACGCGTTCTGACCGCATGCAATTCTCTTCCATTTGCACATCAGCTATTTGCAATGAATTAAGAAACTTTTACGAGTGTTCGTCTGTCACGTGGCAAGCACCTGTGGAGCATTCGTTGCACATGACCTTGTCGCCAGGCGCTGTTTGAACGCCCAGGCATTCCACGTGAAACGTCCCGCAGCACTGGCCTTCGCAAGAAACCAAGGAGCCACCACCAGTCTTTTCACACGCCTGTGGTCAAAGACAATGCCGGAGATGTTAGTCAGCTATTTGATTATTTTGGACTCTTGGGTCTGTGCTTGCACACCACTGTTGTCATAGCCTTGATTCATTCTCTCATTGTGTTTTCCCCTTGACTTTTGCAAAAGATAAACTATTGGGGTTTACATACTAATATTTACCCCATATATATACCAGTCAGTTTCTGTTACTGGAATTTAATAGGAAACATTTTCTTGGGTATAGTGTTCTGGTCATGCGACAATATCAGGATCTTCCTGATACCAAGTCTTGAGTCTCGGTGCGGCTTTCCTGGGTGAATAAAGATAATATTTTGCGCTCCAAGTCTATTTTTATACTTTGTGCATTGTGTGCAGTCTGGAAGTTACCCACATGCCAAGTTTCAAGTTTGTTGCATGTTGGGAAGTATGCTAAACATTTCAAACAGACAAATATTCACAAATGTACCTTTTATATATAAAGATAAATAAACCATGTTGGACATAAAATACGTATGATTAAACTTGTAACCATCTCAAAGGATTCTTACCTTCTTAACAATATATTTTTTGTATGTTCCACGCCTTCTCAAACTCACACTGAATAGCGTGAAGCATGCTCAAATAACCCCCCATGATCCACATGGCATGGTGAGCGCCCTTAGACAGCAGTGGATCGGGATGTATATAAAGCTGTCTCCATACAGCATGACAGAAACATAATGTAACGTGATTGAACCTCACCCCGGCATGACTGGGTCTGTACAACACCTGAAACACACATGCATGGAATTACCAGGCAAAGGGCGTCTCGCTTGCTACTGCTTCGCTTGCCCTCGGACTGAGAGTCTTCGCTTCCTTCTTGGTAGACTGCCTCACCCTGACCCGCCGGTGAAGCCTGTGAGAAACACAAAGATCCCCCCGTGTAGCATTTAAGACCAGCAGCGAGCGCCTATTAAAGCCAGCACGGTGCACTAGGTGGTGGGTGGTGTGTCCAGAACTACGCCCAGGTGCTTTTGTTTCTCTAGTGCTGGTGTTTTCACACCACACCGGGTAATAATTTAAGGTCTGGTCAGCCAAGGGGAGTCCCACGACCGGTTATATCATTGGCCAATAATGTTAGCTGTGGCAAGCAGCCGAATCCTGGTCGCTGGGTTCATAACAATGTGTTAACCACTATGCCACTGCTACCCACTGTATGACAAACATTCACACATGTGCATATACACATGCAACATCAGCCACGCTCAGATATATAGAACGTGAGCTAAAGCTTCAGAACTGTGGGATTCCACTGGTGCCAATTTTGAAAAGTCAAAAACGGACTGATCAGTCAAATGAAAAAAACTTGGTAGCTGCAGAATGCTGTCATTCTGGTTCTTGCCTGTGATTCTGCACGTTGGAGGTAACGGTTGGCGGATCATGGATATTTGTCAAACTCCAAAAGTCACCAGGAAATGGCAGTACAGCAAGTGAGATAGTGAACCAGTGTTTGCGGACCTTTGAGTGTTTTAAACCATCTCTGTTCTTAATTCATTGTATTTTACGATGACCTTCAGACCGCAGCTCTTTCGCCAGCATTGACTCTTAATACCTCTCACACCACGGTTAATGGTATGATTTACAACATGGAGTATAATAGCGCCTCGCAGCTGTCTCTCTCCCCCTCCTCTGTTCCGACCATGGATGAACTCGTCCGTCTGAACGGGGCCCGTAGCTATCCGTGGTGCTAAAGTTGAGGGTAAGAATCCACCCATTTTTTCGCCATATAGCATTGTGATATATAACGACTTATTGTTGGTAGCTTAGCTGATTGGAGAATATAGAGTTTATTGATAACATTAAGGTAATTTATATTTTAGTTTTTTTTATTGGTTCACTATATAGTACTGTGAATAGCTCAGATGTGTAGGCCTTGACTTTAACATAGTCATTTCTGTGACCAGTCACTAGCTAATCACTCAGTTATTTCAATGCTAAATTCACCTAGTTATTTCAATGCTAAATTCTCCTGTTTGATTTGTACTAAGTGCCTCGGTGAATGTGTATGCTCTGACTTTAACGTAGCTATTTCTGTGACCAGTTACAAGCTAATCACTCAGCTATTTCAATGCTAAATTCTATGCTAATTCCTTTGTCAAGGGGTGCCTCTGCGGATGTGCATGCTTTAACTTAGCTATTTCAATGCTAAATTCTATGCTAATTCCTTTATCAAGGGGTGCCTCTGCGGATGTGTATGCTTTAACTTTTAACATAGCTATTTCTGTGACCAGTCACAAGCTAATCACTCAGCCATTTAAATGCTAAATTATATGCTAATTCCTTTGTCAAGGCGCTTTGTTTCCTCTCACACAGCTTAAAGGTCGTGATCTGAACGTGGCTCTTTCACTCCAGCGCTGTCCTACCAGACAGTCTCGTCCCTTCACCTGATGAAGGCCGCTTGTGTTGTGGCCGAAACGTCGTGAGAATATTATTGTGTTATTTTATCAATTTATTATTTTATTCTCATTCTACGTGACTTTACCGAAAGAACCAAAGAAGATGAATCATTGCAGTCACGAAAGCTTTAAATCGAAATACTGATAAATGTTCTTGAAATTCAGTAAGATCTTCCTGGATAAATAAGTGACGGAATTATTTGGCATGCAACAATTTCTCAAGACAAAACAGGAACACGGGGATGAGAGAACATGACCAAATTGGAGACATATTGCTTGTTAAGAAAAGTGGGCTTGGGCAGGACACGTGGCTAGAAACTATGGATGGCCGGTGGTCGAGATTAATAATAGCCAAGGGAGGGAACACACCTCAGAGGATGTCTACTGTGGAGATAAGATGACATTAGCTGGTGTGCAGGAGATAGATGGATTGTTATTTCGTGAAATCATGAGAAATGGCAACAGCTTGGGGATGCCTTCATTCAACAGTGGATAGATCATGGCTGATGGTGACTTCGCAGAACAGGCATGGTAAATAAGTGAGCGAGTGACCATTACCTCTGCGTCTGGGGGAAGTGCCCCCTCCTCATCACACTCCGAGGGGCTGGTGGAGTCCGTGGTGGATGCTCGGCTCCTCTTTTTCAGCGGTTTGCACGAATCCGACAGCTTCGCCACCACTGCGGGCGACAGCGATGCAGGTTTGTCGAGATTTCAAAGCAAGCAGTGGCACCAGCATGCGCACACAGCGAGGTGGCTCCTCTTTAACGTGTCTTGTGTTCATGTATAGCTCTTTTTTTTCTCAATCCACGGCTGGATTGATAGCCTCCCCATGCCGTGTGGGCCACGGATTATTGAACCAGACTTCACCACGCTGGTTCGTGGGATTTGGTGAAGGTGGGGAGCAAAGATCTGGAAGCATATAAGCAGAGAACAATGGATTTTGCTGTACTGCCCTCTGCTGCCCACTACATAGTCCCGCAATCTACAACACCTTTTCAACATGGTGGTCACCTCTCCCAGCACTATTTCGGCTCAAATACGCTTAGCTTCTGAGACCTGCCAGGAATGGGTACATGATTGGTGATTTAGTGAGACAACACACCTTTTCCCGATTGAAAGCGTGAAGTGTGACAGAAAGAAAAGAAAATACTCATGTCACATCTTGCGCTGTAACCAGCCATGGTTCACATTTAATTTTCAAACTTCACTTTACATTAACATGCTAATCTCTCACATTAACATAGCCACTTCCGTGTCCTCGTCGAGGAGGCCGCTCTCCTATCTAACATTAACATGCTAATTTCTCACATTAACATCACTAGCCCCGGCCACTTCTTTATGACCCTTGGGCGACACCCATTTCAAACCTTTTAAAACAGTCTGCCTCAGCAGCAGACCACGCTTTCTCACCTGATGACGGACGCTTGTGTTGCGCCCGAAACGTTGCGATTTATTTTTCTACCTACATAACTTTACCGAAAGAACCAAAGAGTATGGATTCCTGCAGTCACGAAAGCTTCAAATCAAGATTGACTCTCCCCATGTTTGATAAAATGTTAAAGTCGATTTAACCAATCATTAAACAAACTCACCTGGCTGTACAGAACCCACAGGTACAAACGAGGAGAGGCACTTCCCCTTTTCAGCCAACGTGGGCAAGACTCCAGTCTAGTGAACACACAACAGGTATCAAGAGCCAATCGGCAAACACTCTTTTCATGTTTGGGTTAATGCAGGGTAACATAAAACAAAAGGAGTGTCGTATTATGAACAATGAACCAAAGCGCAGTTTTCCCGTATGCCTTCAAGTTTGCAGATTTGCAGATTGCGTACAATTTGAAGATTGTAACCCCCTGCAATGGGCAAGGTTTTGGTGTTTTTCTAATGTCACTGGTAGACTGGAGTAGGCAAGTAACTTGTAGCCACGGCCATTGAAAAAAGGTATAATGCAAGTGTGGCCGGTGCGCAAGGTCCTTTGGTACAAATTGTAAAACACTACAAGAATAATGAGTATGTAATTTTTTTGCTGAAATAAACATTTTTTACACAAAATCGTCTCTGTCATAGATTACTCGTTGCCCTGACCCTTTTTTATATTAACTCCAGACACCACTACACAGTGCAGGCTTTGTGTGGCATTGTGCAGCCGTGTTCTGCACTAAGACAATTATAGACCGGGCTGAAACAAAGTGGGGGTCCATACATTTCTTGGCAACAGGTTTGCATATACCTTTGGCTCTTTGCGTACCCTCTTGCGAGGAACACTCTCCTCTACACCCGACTCTCCCGCTTGGGGCCTTCGCAGCAAGGAGGACTGGCTCTCCGCTTCCACCGCTGTGTGGAGAAATGCACGTACTTAAGCACAAGTTCGATGTGGCAGTGATGAAGGTAGCTGGGTAAATGCCATCAGAAGAATGAGCATTGCGAGCAAACCTGATCGCAATTTATTTTTATTGCAGTATTTCTCAGATCGAGTTATTGTGAGCCAACATGGTTCAGCTTTTCCACGTTTACCAGTCGCTGGCATTCCAATTAAGTCATCACATGCTGAACGCTCTTCATTATTGCTAAACAAGTCCCACGTGACATTGAGGGGCTTTAAAATCAGCATGCTGTGCTACCAGGGACAAAAAACAAAGATGCCCCATATATCCTTCAACAGACTGTTAAAGATAAGTGCTGTTAATGAGCACCTATGAAAGCCAGCAGGGTGCACGAGGGGGTGAGTCGCCAACACCATGCCCGACCGCCTTTGTGTCCCCAGTGGCGATGATTACACACTGAACCAAGTACTCATTTGAGACTTGAGTCGACCTCGGGGAGGCCCAGGTCAGGTTCAGATAATCGTCACTAGTGTTGGCTGTGAGTGGGAATCAAACTAGTCTCGCCAGGTTCATAGCGCAGCATGCTCACCGCTGCACTACCACAAACCAGGAACATGCACGCGCACACACAAGATCTCAAACTTTATTTGAATGAGCTCTGTAAGTGACATGGCATGAACAGCTTGTAACCATATTCTTGGTTCTTTCGGTAAAGTCATGTAGAAGGGAAATAATAAAATAACCAGTTAATTTGTATTTTAACAGAAGAATATTGGTTAAGTTGGAAAAACATAACATGGCGTTTGAAAACATACTTTGGTAATTGTGCAACTGAAATTGCACCAGCTGTGGGGGTTGGGCACCTTTGACCAAGGCAGACTCTCTCTTTTTGGGAGGCGAGTTCATGCCAGACGTGGCGGCGTGATACGAGCCAGGCACCATTGACCCAGCGGTGCTCGCGAATTTGGATTTGTAGCGCGCGCGCTGCTTCTCCGTCAGCGCCTCCCACTGCGTCATCAGCGCCTCCTCCACCTCCACTGGGGACAGTTCCGGCTGCTCCTGCACCAGCTGGGCAGGATGGAAGACAGCACATGAGTGTGCACAAACACACAGGCCATGCATCAGGATACATGCAAACACAACAAAAGCATGTGAAGGACTTTCGACATTCAGGGTCATAAGATGGTAGAGCACCAAGATCAGGGCTACACAGCTGAGGTAGATGGATTGACCAACATGATGAAGGGCTACATGTTACCATCCTTGTGAGGAATGTGTTGCTATGTAATGTATATCCATCTCCCTGGCTAATGAGAATTAAGGCTGAAAACAGAGCTCTCAATAGGCTTGTTGTTCTTGGAGCTCTGGTGGAAGTGAGAAAGCATGTCAAAATGTGCGTGCAAAATATTTTGCCCGTGAATTAAAGTTAACCTCATATGTAAGATAATGATAGCATGAGCGCTTATGAATGTACACAATTACATAATAATAGACCGATGCCAACTGCGCACTGCCACATTATTTTCTAGGCTAAGAGCCAGGGCATCAGTTTACCTGTTCGCGATGCTTTTGGCAAAAAACAATGAATTGGGCAGCAGAGGCATCACTCTTCCTGATGCCACGCTTCTTCTTCGGCGTGAGGCCTCCCCCGCCGCCAGCCCCATTCGTGTGCTCCCGGGCCCTCCTGACCTCGTCATTGCCAACATCATCACGCTCCTGCCCGGACACCGAAGCCGCCGTCAGGCTGCTTCCATCATCCAGCTTCCTGCGGTGGGAGGATGAGAAGATGACATCAAGGTTAACACTGCCACTTGAGTGGGAGGCAGCACAATCTACGCATCCATGGCATCGTTGTTCCACATTATTAAAACTTTTATGTAGAATCGTGGTGGAATGTTTAACGTTAGTTTAGTTTCAATAATGTTTTAAAAGGAAACTATTACATTCTAATTATGTAATTACATATGTACCTTTTACCACATTTTAAGAAGCCAAAAAAAAATACTGATACATACTTCTTAAACACTGCATCTTGAAAGTCTAAATACATATGATACTTAAGAGTATATATGTATAGGTAGGTCAGTATTTAAAATATATTGTTCTATTGGAATCACATTCTGATGGAGTTTTTTCTTTTCCATAAAAAAACTGAGTGTAACATCACCCTATGTTAGAGAACAGCCTCTGAAAACTTATATCACAGAATTAATTCGGAGATCCCTTTGATTCCCCATAAACCACACGAGTGCATTCACCTTCTCAATTGCATTACTACAAACGTATTTGTAGCATGGCACTCAAACTGAAACTTTACAATATTCTAAGAACTGGAACATGTTGAACTCAGTGATGGTTTTGTGATACCATCAAACGTTTACATTTGAGAAGCCAGTTTAATCAGCTCTCAATTCTGACACTATTAAAACCCTCGAGCCATCTGACATCCTCAACAGCAAGGTGAAATTTGACATGAGGTGAGGCGGTCACAATTCATTGACATATTCACCGCGTTTGTAATAAACCATATTTCTCACCTGTCTAACTCACTCCTCCTGTCGTGCATATCAACCGCGTCAACGTCGAAGTCCACCGAGTCCTTTGACTTTCGCTTTCGTGACGAGGAAGGCGTTTGTCCCTTGTGGTGGCCCATATCCTTGGGCTTCACGTCGAAGTAGATGAAGGTGAACTTTTCGTTCCGCTCCTCACGGCAGAGGGCGGCTGCCGCCTCCGCCTCAGCAATGCCCACGAACCACTGAGACCGCACGCGCGAAGCCATCGGCTTCAAGATCTGCAGTGAGTGCGCGAAACATAAATATCCCCCAAATAGCCTGGAATACTGTTTAGGCAAGCACTGCTACAGCGAGGACCTATGAAGGCCGGCACAGCACACGAGGGGGTGGGTAGCCAATGACACGCACGGCCGTCTTTGTTTTCCCAGTGGTGATGTTTACACACTGCACGAGGTACTCATTTGAGGCTGAGTCGACCTAAGGGGGCCCATGCCCAGTTCAGATAATCGTTACTCGTGTAGGTCGTGAGTGGGAATTAAACTCGACACGCTGGGTTCGTAGCGCAGCGCGCTAACCGCGACACTACTACGAACACGACACACACATGTAGTAAAAGATTCAGCAGCCATTGCTCACCCGGCTCCGAAAAGCACGCACGTTGTAAATAAAAATATGCGCTCCCTTGGTGGATTTTGGGTAATAAAAAACAAGTGTCCGCATCATTACTAAAAGCATTGATAAAATGTTTAACTCCATCGACGAACGGGCCTTCTGGTGAGCTAAAGTTGAAAAAAGTTGATGGTTTGCTTTACTTATACAATTGCAAATCACAGGTCCAAAAAAGTGAACTGGTCTTTGGGAGTGAATGGTATATTTATACTGCCAATTAACCATCTTCCATGATAATTTACGAAGTCATAAGAGAGGGTGATGCTCCTACGGAGGACTTCTCGGCACTTCAAGCCTCGCCCATCGCCCCCACTGATGTCCTCTTCTTCCCCCCCCCCCCCACCATGTGTGCAGATACTACTGGGTTGTACATCAAAGTTCCTTAGATATTTTTTATTTCACCCTCCATCCATGACCGCAATTATCACAACTTTAAACAAATGCTCAATAAATGGAAAATTATGTATTTTATGGATAATGAATGAAACAATAATTATCAATCATACTGGTTACGGGATTAGTCAGTCTCTCAAGCACCAAATAGGTCCTCTTGATTTCCTGAAATTCTGAAGTGTCTGATGCAAAGAGAAATGCAAAAAAAAAATTCAGTGAAGGTATTTTACTCACTAGTACTGATGCACAGTACTACTTAAAAAGGGCAACACCTGTTTACCACCAGCCCTGACCAAATAAAGCAGACCAGTCAGACTGAGACATGTCTGAACAGTGGGAACGGGACAGATGAAGGCATATATGCCTGAAAAATAAATCTGGGCTCTATTGTATGTAGGGTGTGTAAACATATGCCTACAAAAGACATTTCTTTTTTGGGGGTGGGGGGATGTGGGGAGTGAATGTTTTTTTTGGGGGGGAGGAGGGTGTCAAAAATTGTTGTAAACCTGTTGAATCAACTTTTTACCCCCACAACGAGGGGGGGGGTCCACTTTCTAAAAATGTTTGATTAAGGCCTTCTGAAAGGCTCTTACCATTTAGTTCACGGACAAACGGAATGCTGGGCTTTTCTAATAGATGGTCAAGTCAGCTGTCATCACTATGATTAGACATTTTTCTGCGTATAATATTGCATTTCCTTTCACAAACGTCATCTTAGCAACACAGTAAATGATTAACAACATTACATTTACACACAACTACAATTGCTGCTACTTGCCACCAAGTTTCCAAGATGTCACCACAGCACTTGTGTCAAGCTAAGTGCACTTTAAGACTACATGGCATGGTAAAGGCCTGCTGGTTGGAGGACATACGCAAGTGTCATGGGCTTAACAGACCACAATGACTCCTAGACAACTGCAATCCACACGAAAAAACTGCCGTATTCGCTACCTGGCACTTCTTAATGTCACGAGTCTCTCCTCCACCGCTGCCACGTGAAACTTAACACTCTAAAGTCACCTAAAACCACAAATGTAAACACGTCACCATTCTTGCGTGCAATTTCATGTCTGTGCAATACAATGACAGCATTAATATGAAGAGTGAGGGCGGACGAGAGGATTCACCTTGGTTCTCTCGCTGGCCGAGGACGTACGCTTAGCCAGCTCGGAGACCAGCAGCTCGTACTGCTCCCTGGTGGAGAACATCACGAGGGAGCGGTAGCACACCCACGCTCGCTCCGCGGCTTCCCCGAAGAACTGCACATGGTACTGCCTTGTGAAAGACTTCACCTGCCCTACTGAGCGGGAATTGTACCAGGGATCCAAGAGGGAGAGTATGGGGGGGGGGGGGGGGAAGAGTTGACAATTGTGATGATCTGGAGTATCAATTAAATTTTTGTATTTTCTTTCTCTCTGTTGTTTGTATGATGTAATATAAGGATTTGCATACGATTTGCTCCAGCCTAGACTTTGCTTGGTAAAAAAACATCATTGGTATAATTGTACCATTGCCACAAGAACACTCAGAATACCTTTGATGTTGTCTTATAACATGTGATCATCTTTAAAACAGCTCATAACTGACTCAAAGATAAAGAGCCCTCATCTTTGCAAACAAAAAATCACAAAGTGGATTTTAAACATTACACATAATTAAGAAACTGCGGTCTACAAGAATATTTTTGGAATGTGACAAATGTCAAAAACAACGGTATGTACATTCCTTTATCCATCATGCCAAATATATGTGAAAAAGATCTGTTGGATACAACATTTAAAGTCTTAAAAACAAGAGTGCCGACATCTCCAATTTAAGTGCATTCCTTGACTATTATGGGGTGCTCACCTTTGACGCGCATGTGTATGCCCAACTTGGGGTCACAGGACACCATGCAGGGCCACCACGGGTGCCCGCTGATCTTGGCCCACACCACATCTCCGATGGAATACAGGTCCTGCACACACGCCACATCAACCCTTGCTGCCTCCTTACTTATTTCAGCAAGGAGCTATTATGTTCAATAATCAGTGTGCCAGCAAACTTGCACGAGTGATGCAAAGACTTTGCACCACACGTTAATTTTGGGTTGAGCTGGCCATAAAGAAAACCCACATGAGACAACTGCTAAATTTAAATGGTGCAAATTATATGGAATATGAGTCACTGGGAATACTAATATCTTGCACTTATTTATCACACTTACACTGTCCCAAACCACAACATGCACACATGACAATCCACGTAGGCAGGACTGCCATCTTCAGGATGGTATTGTATTTGGGAATTTCATCCGGAATACTATTAACGTGTTTTTTTATAACCATATAAAGTCATTCACAGTTTAATCACAGATTGAGATTTACTGGGAAATATTAATTTGGTAATGACCACTCATTTTCCTATTCACAAAAAATAAACCTGGTTTATACCCTTTCACATGTTTTAACAGACCTACTCAACTTCTTTGACAGCAAACTTTAAGCATGACATTGCATTCCAAGATGACCATACAAAAACAGCAAAAAAAACCCCCATAAAAACTCACGCTGTTTTCTTGTGGCGACAGGAGAACAGGTGGCTTGTCGGCAGACAAGGGAGGAGTTGTGGGCAACGGCGGGGTTGAGGGATGCACCGGCCGTGCAGGCAGGACACACGCACCCACAGAGTGCGATACGGGTGGTACCGATGTACCCGACCCAGGTGGACCTTTCACAGGCTGCAGCTTACGTGGCCGGCCCTTAGTCCGCAGCAACGTCGACTGTTTGACGTCTGCTGCCGTAGCTGCCGAACTCTCTTTCGGCTGCTGCTGCTGGCCAGGCTGCTCGGGTGTCACCACCAGATCCCCGCACAGTGAGGACTCAAATAAGGCCTTTCCGTTAAAGTAGGTCTTCGTGATCTTCAGCTTGATCTCTGGGGACCCGGATGCTTTTTCTGGCGTGGGCTGCGAGTGAGGCGGGGTCTGGCACCCAGCCACTGTTGGGGAAGGCAAGAAGCTGAGCTTATGCATGTATCTATAACTTCTTTCGCACCATACGTAGTCAACCATTCGAATCGGAGGTGCTCACTAGGAAGATACTATCAACGCACACCACGTTTTAGAAACCTCCACTACTACATCCTACGCATTAAATTTACAAAGTGTAATGTGTTGCCCTGGTGGATTGTGGGTAAAATAATAATAGGCAAGGGTGTTTCACCATAAGCCTATGGGACTTTTGGACCAATGTTTTCCAGCAACATTCGTTTAGGCAACAAACTCTGGGCCGCTTTCATCGTTCTGCAACTTGTCAGAAGGGGATGGCCGATTAAACAAATGCTGAAGGGCTATACCTGGTGGTGCAAGAGGTAAAAGCCTGGAAATTAGTGGTCCATAAGCTCCATGTTGTTAAGGCTGAATGTTACTTTCACCTTTAACTGTTAACTAATTATCACGCATAAGTTGCAGACTTAGATTAGTACACCACAGTGTTATATGAATGTCTATATTTTTTCATGTCAACACCACTTTCTTTAAAATACTATTTTAAAGAACAACGTTGCACTGTGGAAGGCTTTTCAAATGATAGCAATGCAGGCTCACCAACAGTGAGGCCCGGAGGGTCGCTCTCCATCTCTCCTCCATTGGGGATCTGCGCCACCGCCTGCTGCAGAGCCACCAGTGGGCAGTGCCCGTTAACCTTGCCCATAGGCCTGCCGTTCTCCTCTGGGAGGCCCCACGGGCCAGCAATGCCCTCCATGGTGGCCCCAGCAGCCCCGGCCGCCACGCAGCCTTCCCGGGTTGCTCGGGGCCCCCCCACAGGGACCGCAGCACACGCAGAGCGTTTGCCTTCCTCAGACAGCGGAAGAACGTTTCCCATTATATGACGTTGCTCCATCTCAAGCGCAGCTCCTCATTGATCCCTAAAGTAACAACAGAAGTGCATGGTAAGCATTAGGATGAAGAGTGCCTCGTAGGACCTGTAGCTTAAACAGTGCCAAGCTCATCCATACAGGACGCGTACAAGTTTCAATGCAGTAGACTTATAAGGTAAACCAGTCACGTTCCATCACTCACGCACCGCCTGATTGGTTTGCTAAAGCCGACGGCAATGGCACGTTTACGTCAAGGTCTTCACCTGTCATCAAACAATATGGCACCGCCACAAATGGGCCCAACGGCGAGCTGGCTGCTCATTCGCTCGTCATTTTTTCACGAACGATGCAAATCTGCCATATTATATTTCTCTAGTCTGTGAACGCAGCTTAACGGAATCGATGTTAAGGCATCCGTCCAGTCAGCCATAGCACCAAACCCAGTTTTAGCTTTGTTTGCAAAAAACATAGTGGATTTTGGATCCACGGATCGCAGAGGAGCTAATAGTACCTCGGCTAAAGCTTCAAGTCCTTCAGGGGGCTCCCCTCTCCGCATCACGTCCAAATGCCGGCCGGCTGCCACCCACACAAAAGGACCGCACCAGGGGGGGGGGGGTGGTCCCGTCCATCCTTTGACTAAAAAAACCCCCCCCAAGAGCTGTGCAAAAAAGCGAATAAGCCCGTGCAACCATTTTGTTTCATGGCTGCTCGCTCGACATGTTTGTCCGGTCGTTTTTAATTTATTTTTTTTTCCCGCGGGACAATTTCGACCGGCCCGGACGTGCTACTTTAAAACTGGCCCGGCAATGGAGGGTGGCCCTCTCATCTTAATCCATTCCGACCCCGGCCTGCCAGGGATGGGCTTGGTTTCCTGGGCTTACCTCAAAGGGTTTAGTGGCTCCATTCATTAAGATGTTTAAATAAAATTGGGGTGTGTGTATATATAGCACGGTATAATATAAAGAATTACGTGCCGGGTTGGGTACGCACCGTTACCGGATAGATTGGGCAATGGGGCGCGTGCTGAAGGGGGTCGGTTATGAGTCAAGGCCCCACGGCTCGGGCAGCTGTAATCAGATATATTACACTGTACTGGAAAACAGTACAAATCAATTGTAACTATTGTATTCGGTTATAGTACTGTTTGATTGGGACTTCATGCGACAACAAAAAAAAACAGCTTGGTAATCGAGCGAGTGAAATTTCTTTTTTGGGTTTTGGCCTAATCCAATTCCTTCCCGCCACCTTAACTTCTACGTAAACGACGAAACTGAAGTTCCGCATTCTGTGCCGTGGTTAATTGTAATTTCGTTAATTGGAATGCGATTCCCGCTTCCTGTAAAAGTCCCATTCCCTCTCGTCTTCACTCCGGGCCCGAGTTTCGTGCGCCTCGCGTAACATGGCGGGCGAAGACCCTTCAGATCATCATTATTATTTAAACAGATGTATAACAACACTGTTGTCGATACACGCGGACACGCACCAAGGACAATCCGAAACGTTTGACGAGACCGTGTTGTGTTTGTACTAATTTCCGGCAGCGTGTAGCGTCTTTCGGGGTTAATTGAAATGAACCCCGAAATCCATTAACCCTTGAACTCCAACCCCACAGCCTCCTCGGTCATCATATAGTCCGCGGCCTTGACTTTCAACAATTTTAGCCCTTTCACTCGAACTCTTATTTCTTCTTGAATGCGAATCCGCTCATTAGAAAATATAACAAATACGACTTTAATAAAGCAGAATTTGGCTCGGTGGATGGAGCCAAATTACCTCTCGGGTTTTGAAACGTCTGCCACCTGCTGAACCACCTGCACGAACATCACAGGCTCACCACCATCACCATCCTCACCACAATCGGCCTCACCAACTGCCCAAGCACATTAGCATCACTGCCATTACCAAAATCACTCGAAGATCCCCCCGATAGCCTGAGCAGACTGTTGGGGCAAGTGCTGCTGGCGAGCACCCTATGAAGGCCGGCACAGCACACGAGGGGGTGGGTGGCCAACACCACGCCCGGCCGCCTTTGTCTCCCTTGTGGCAATGTTTACGCAGCGCACCAGGTACTCATTTGTTGCAGAGTTGATCTAGGGGAGGCCCAGGACCAGTTCAGACAATCGTCACCCGTGTTAGCCGTGAGTGGGAATCACAAACTCGGGTAACCGGGTTCGTAGTGCAGCGCGCAAACCGCTGCTCCACCGCTCCCCACATCAACGCCACCAAAAATATCCACAAGCACCATGATCACTACCATGACAACACCAGTAGTAACATCACCACAAGCCCCACGCTTTCCAACCTCACTAGGATCAAGCCATCACCTAACACCCACTGAGCGAGCCAGAACGAGGTGCACACATCACAGCACACGGGAATCAAAACTCCGGAAGGGGGTGGGGGGTCTCCTTAATTTCCGAGGGGTCTCCCACTCATCACCCAAGACAACCCCACGTGAGATGAGACAGCGGACTCCATGTGGAAGTCTCCCTCCCCACCACCTCTCCACCTCTCCACCGTTGCTCGGCCACCCACCACATCTCCCTCTCCCTTTCACATCCCTCGGATAGGTCCCCTTCTTCTTCTTCCTCCTCCTCCTCCCCGGTTACCGGCGAAGGCGAGCGAAGCTGCGCTGGGCACGGGGAGGGAGGAGGGAGGTGACCGGGGACACCTGGGCACCACCACCACCAACCACCACCACCAACACCGGGGTCCGGGGGTTCGGGGGGGGGCTCCGGGTGACACCGAGAATCCGCCGGGCTCGGCAGGGATCCGGATCCCCAGGCTTGAGCGCGAAAATGAACGCCTCCCATTGGCCGGGGGGAGGGGGGGGGCTGAGCCACCTCGGCACGCGATTGGCCGGCGGCGGCAAGCGCGGGGGAGCGAGGGAAGGCGCCAGGCGGCGCGTGATTGGCCGAGCGGAGAAACGGTTCTGGGTTTTTATATTTTTGTAATTTTGGGGTTTCTCTCTTCCTGGTTGGTGGTTGGAATCAATGAATGATATCGATTTGTTGTCGATTAGTGAAAGGTTTGCGTTTGTTTGTTTCATGGCGCACGATACGTTTAATAGTCGAATCGTTGTGTCAGGACCCATAGTTTAGTATCGCGTCGAATGTAATGTGCTCAACGTCGACCCCTACTCCGATATATCAGCACAGATATATCGGTGATATGGAATCGAATCACGATCATTCATCGACTCGAGAGGCTTTTGTTTACTGGGGGGGGGGAGGTTGTGAGGCGTTCATTGGCTGCAAGCTTCCGAGAACTTCATATCAACATTCGATTAATCGATTATTACAGTGACAATAACGCATCGGTTTGTTTTGTTATTATGGAGTATGCGAATTAGGTGTGCACGTTACGTCTATCTCGAAGGGTGCGAACTAAAACTACAAAACAAGGCAGAGTCACGCGGGCTCCCCATACAAGCGATGCGCATCACGCAAAACAACGAATAATCGACTTTGTGTTGTTTTTATTTATTCTAATCGCGACTCAAATCGAATTCGCCGCACGCTTCGAAGCGTTAAATCTGAATCGTGCTTTGATGAGCACTGCTTGTATGCCAAAGTACCTAGAGCCGTGCAGTTTGTGTACACTGTACAACCTGCTTCAGCCACTGGGCCCAGCCAAGTGTTTTGTCAGGCGCCACGGTTCCTAACCAAGACAACCACAAGCGACCCATCGAATGTATTCGTTAGTCACGGTGTATGAAACGCCAGATAACAACGCAAGTGTGTTCTGTTGCTAGTGCTAACGTGTGTTGGGAAGCAGGAGAAGATTGAGGATAAACCTGCACTATGCTTGGCCAACCCACACACTTCACGAGCACGATGGAAGTGTACGGTCAAATAACTCGCACGGTGTACGGGGAGGCCCTCATCCCGCAGTGGGTTTACAAAAAGGCTGCAGATGTAACGTCTCAACCCAGTACTGTATACTCCATTACACCTTCACAATGTGTGGGTTTTTTCAGCGGCACTATCTCACCCAGCTTATAGGCACTAGCTATCCCGCACCTGCCAGCATACGAGACGTAGCTGGATCGATCACCAACTGTCCCCACCAATACTTGCCATTCGCACCTAGTTACAGTATGCACGTGGCATTGCCATCTCACAAAACCCAGCCAAGCGTCCGCACGTTCATCACGGCTAACCCAGCACTGTACTTGGCGACCCACTCCACAGGCATCGATGATCTAATTGGCACGACCGCAGATGAATGGTAGGTCTCTCTCACGCATTAGACGCGGACACGCGAGTCTCACGAATCTCGCTCGGGCGGTACAAAACAAAGACAACCCCCCATCCAACCCTCACCGCCGTGCGGTGTCACCATGGGCCGTGATGAATTGTGTACCTTTATCTCGAAGGCACTCTTCAACACTCATCTCTTGGATCTCTTGCTACGACGCGAAGTCATTCTCCTGCCCCCTAGCGGCAACTCGCATTCGTAAACTCTGCCGCGACTGTCCTGCCCCAAAACAGCCGTCAACATTCTAAACAAATGTCGTGCTGTGTCTGGCACATTCAGCAGCAGATGAATCTAATGCGGTCTCGGCGAGGTCACCAATTACCGCACACAACTTTGGTTTTCAATCAATCTGGCTCATTCTCGTTATGACAATTTTAAAAAAAAGTCGGTTTAGTTGAAGTTGGACAACCATTTTTTTGAGAGGAATATAAGTTCAGGTTGATTTTGTTTAGCGAGGCGAGAACTCCATTAGCGACCAGGATATGTCTCATTTGCTAGTGATCTGCCACCAGATAAAAACAACCAAATAGAACTGAGGAGCACTAAACAACCCCGTGACAAATTAGATTGAAAACGGTATGCAAACATTGTCATTATTAAGTACTGTAATTTTCCTGAAACAAAAGTTGATTTGGACAAATGACTTTAAATATACACTTGAACAACATTACGTTACAGAAACATGAACATGGTTTAGAAACACTGTAAAAAGTAGGCAATGTCTCCGTCTCTCCACTTGAAATGTAAAGTGTTTCTTACACAAACCATGAGCCAGACCGCCTTATTATGGGAGTGCATAATTTCAGCAGCATTGATTCAAGGCAAGCACAACTCTGGACCGGTTTCGACGCACAGTGTCTCATCAGCAGAGTTAGAGGCTTTCTTGAATAAATTATGGTTAAATCCCGATCGTATTCAAGCAAGCACTCTCTTCTACGATATGGGGTCCCCACAGTTTGACGCAACATAGATTGATGGTGATTATTGCACCAGTTATGAAAAAATATATACAATTAAGATATTAAATGCGTCGGTGGCCCTCAAGTGCAACCTATTTCAGTGATGTGAGATAGAGTTTTTGATTGATGTCATCTTTCGGAGCCGTGCTGCTGCAAGTGGTGAGAACAGGAAGAGGACATCAATTAACCCTCACGATATGACGCCAAAACGATAGTTAAACAAACCCCACGATCTGTCAACACCTCGTGGAGAGACCTTTACCCAACATTGGATGAAGTTGGTGATGTGTAAACCCCATTGTGATTTGAGATCATGTCCTCACAATGAATGAAGATGTAACGTGTACTGGACCCTCTATGTTGCCTTAGGCTGATTGATCACAAACCTAGGTTAAAAATAAAAAAAATATCGTATTAAAATACACGCTGAGTACCCAACCCTGGAATGTTGTCAGGTTTATGGATGTAATGGGTTACTGTATTTAAACATTCAGGAGCAATTCATGACGTTTTGAAGTCTCGTGTTGCACGAGATGCTGCAGCAGAGTAAATTGTTGTACTGTGCTATACTCTAACGTCTGTGGCTCCCCGCCTTCAGCAACTTGTATAATGAACAGGCGTTGTAAAAGTCCATCATAGAATCACCACGACCAACACGACGTGGGGAGGGCCCTCTTCCAGCAGACTTGATTGTTGATGTACACATACTGGACATTATTGAATCGAAAAACACTAATATTCTCGAATTACATTCATCCCGTATTCGCTCGGTTAAAGACAACGCGTTGAGAACTTTGGACAACGTACAGGATTAAAACGGTATCGTCACGAACGCGAAATTAAACTACTCTTGCAGTTTGTGTCACCGGCCAGCAGAGAGCAGTCAACTCGTGGTTAATTAGCCTCAGCGCAATCGCCCAAGTGGTGCATGACTTACATTAAATCGCCTCTGCCACTTTAACAATATCTAAAATTACTTTTTCAACGAACCTGTCATCATACTCAGCCACGATTCTGCGATGTAACAATCCACCCGGCGCCTGCACATTAACTAATATCATCGCTCCATCTCTTCGGTTGACGTGCTCTCGGACCCGTCCAATTCACTGGCCGTCACTCCGTCATTATTCTTGACCATGAGCCACTTGAACCAAGGTTTGATTCTCCACAGTTCAGTGTGTTGTGCGTAGCGATGATTAAATCCAGAGGGCGTCCTGTTCGTATCCAGTATTCGTACCCCCTTGCTCCATCATCACAATCAAAGTGAGCGATGTCTGGTGAGTTCAGAGCCGCTTGGGACTGCTTCGGTCACAGGGAGGGGAGGTGATTATACTTCACCACGCCGGTCATTGCGGGTTGAAAATAACACATTTTGCTTCACCTCCTGCTGAGTACGTGACTGGCTGGTATGGGTGTCCCTATCCAGCACAGCTGCTAACTATTCCTTTAAACTTAAACAAAAAATTACCAGCTAAGGCCCACTAAGCTATAATAGCTCTTTTTCAGAAGCGACCTGGCCACAAATGATAGCTTAACGAAGTGGCTCATCATTTGAAAGTTTATAGCAGCCGAATGCTCAAAACGCGTGTTTTTTAATGTGGAGGGAAAACCCGGAGGGCATGGAGGAAAAAAATCCACGCGACCACGTGGAGAGAAACATGCAAACTCCAAATATGCAGGTGTCAGGGTCGGCGAGGTAGTTAACATCTCGCCACCGTGGCTAGCCTCTTCACCACGACAAAGTAAAATGTTTCGTTTACGTAAATGATCACTGCTCAATGCAAACTTTATTCAAATCGTCGGCAGAAGTAATTCCAGGAATTTGACAACGTGGCACTGTAGGTTAACATAGGTTATCACAAATTTACTTCAGGTATATATTTTTTTTATCTTACAGGAATTGTATTTTTTTTGCCTTTTCACGGATATTAAATTAAGCAATTGGTGTTGACACTGATTGAGAGGTGGATAGCTACTTTAAGCATTTTTCTGCAAACAAATACATATTCTTAGCTCTTTCGGTAAAGTCACGTTACTTTACCGAAAGAGCTAAGAATATGAATAACTGCAGTCACGAAAGCTTTAAATCAAAACACATACATGCAAATGGACGGATACAAAACCGCCCATAGTAAACAATATAACAAATGTAAATGCTCTCTCTCTCTCTGGAGTACTGGTTAAATAAAGAACATCCATCAATTGCGAGGCATACGTTTGCCCCAAACCTGCCTCTCCCATCACCATCATTATTGAACACCTCGTGCGGGCAATGCGTCCAAGCCGCGTGTTCCTTCATCAACAGCAAGGCTTGTTGAATGCTGCCGTGACCAGATGTCACTGGCAAGAGCACTCCGTTCGAACAAATGCTATCGGATAACTTTGTTCTGGAGAGCCAGAAAGCCGAAAGACTATTAGAACCCCCCACCCCCCCACATGAAAGAGTATTACGTGCTAAAATAAGGGCCATATCGCGAAAAGTGCACAAACCGCCTGTTCCCTTCCTTATCCGCACTGGAAAATCAAATCCGATCGTGGCACCTCCCCCGCTACCTCCCCCCGTCCCACTTTTAATTGAAGGCTCCGAGGCTTTCGCATTCCCTAGACAGCATAGGGGCGCCGCGTGACGCAGGTGGGGGGGGGGCGGGGTGCAGCCACGCGATTGGTCGCGGTCGTGGCCCGGCCTCCCCGCCGGCGTTGCGCATCGCGTGTGGGAAATAGAAACGAAGGGCGGAGGCGCGTCGCCATAATGTGGAGTGGGAGTGGTGGGGCGGGGCTTACATTGAAAACATATGAATATGTAACAGGTGACGTTTCGCGATATGCGCCTTCTTTTCAGCACGTTATACTCTCTCTTTACACATGGGGGGGTGGGGAGGGGTGTTTACTTCTTATAATGGCCTTTAGGCTTTCCGGCTCTCCAGAACAACATAATCCAATGGCATTTGTTCGAGCGGAGTGCTATCGCCAATAACTTCTGATCACGGCGGCGTTCAACAAAGCCTAGGGGGGGGGGGGGCGTGTTGATGACACTCCCCCGCCCCCCCCCCCCCAAAGAGGGCCGACGCCGGTCCAGTGTTGGTTTGCTTAAACAAATGCTGTTTGCATGTGTTCGTTCTGCGTTAGCAATTGGCCGATGGACTCGGGTGTTTTTCTTTCACAACGCAATAACTGAGCTAAGGCCATGCGTGGGCGAGAGTGATTGTCTACGGGGGCGTAGCTTGATCCGTACAGTAGTTGTTTTTTTAGTTAGCCTACGTGGTGGTTATACGCCAGAATTCGTGTCGTTCACGTTCCCTTACCGACCCGTGAAGACTGGACACGTTTACAACGATCTTGATTCCTTTTTTGTTTAAATACTCCTACTATTCTAGATATAAAGCTTTCGTGACTGCTAGGATCCATACTCTTTGGTTCTATTGGGTAAAGTCACGTAGGTAAAAAATAAAACAACAAAAATCACGACGTTTCGGCCACAACACAAGCGGCCTTCATCGGGTGAAGGGACGAGACTGTCTGGAGGACAGCGCTGGAGTGAAAAAAGCCACGCTCAGATCACGACCTTTTTGTCAAGGCGCTTTGTTTCTTCTCACACAGCTTAAAGGTCGTGATCTGAGCGTGGCTTTTTTCACTCCAGCGCTGTCCTCCAGACAGTCTCGTCCCTTCACCTGATGAAGGCCGCTTGTGTTGTGGCCGAAACGTCGTGATTTTTGTTATTTTATTTTTTTACCTACGTGACTTTACCCAATAGAACCAAAGAGTATAAATACTCCTACGTTTGTTTTTTCCCCCCTCCGGTTAATTGCCCTGCAAGAGATAAGATAATGCGTGTTCATCTGTGGGAACACCTGGACCGTTAACTCGAGGACACCGGCACGTGGACTGGGCAGGAATTAAAACGGAATCAGGATTTTGGACGTGGAAAGGGTTAGAGAAAAGACCCATGTTGTTGAGATCTTTCCTTCCCCATTAGTGTTATATTTATTACGTTTTAAGGGTTATTGTGTTGTTACTGCGTTGGTAGTGTTGCACAAGCATTTTGTGTGCCACGTCCTTCCTCACAAAGACGTAGGCTTATCGTGGCCTTCCATTGAACTCTCGCCATGTTTACAAGATTACTTTGTATTCTTTCCAGTTGAAGCATCAAACTGTTCAACTTGCTCGTATGACTAAATTCGCTGTCTTCCCTCACCCCCCCCCCCCCCCCCGGCTTTTTGCTGTCGCTATAATTTCCTCAGTCAAAACAACATTTTACTATATTCAGTCTCCAATTTTCTCACGACGTGTCCAAAAACAAGCATACATCACAGACAGAAACCCGCAATACGTTGGCCAACCGCCTTAAAAGACACAAACATATCAAGAATAGGCGACGCTTCAAAACGGAGGCCCTTTCCCAAAACCGTCGCTCGTTACTTATATACATTTTTTTAAATCTTCTTTTCGCAGAGCGACGTGTGTATCTACGGACGTGTTGAGATTCACGTTTGAAGGGGGCGAGGCTTGCGAGAGGATGCGTCTGAGCTTTAGAGCTGCATGTGGATGTGGGGGTGGTAGTGGAGGCAGGGCCTCGAATGAATGGGCGTCGCTGCCAGGAGGTGGGGGTGGCTCCGCTCTCTTCCGGAGCGCGTGGCTCGACAGCTTCAACAGCAGAGGCACCGCTGTTGTTGCGTCTGCCGCTGCTGCCGCCGCTGCTGCTGTTGTTGTTGTTGGGAGGCCGTCGGTTCGAGTACTCGGACCCCCCCCCCCAACCACCACCACCCCGGACCCTTAAACCCCTGACCAGGACTCCAACCTGGACGGTGACCTTTCGCGCGGTTTGGAGGTTTGACCCGTCCCGGTGTCGCTCCGCACCGCGGGCCTCGTGGTAACCCGCACGAGTGAAGAAGGGGTTGGAACCTGTATTTTTCTGGAGCGTCTTCACCCTGTCACATAATAGACGGACTCGTTGTCATCGCGATCATGACATTGATCGCCTTGATTGATTAATTCGATCTCGTTGGGTCAATTGCCACCGCTCGGCAGCGCGCTCAGACTTCGGTAGGCATCATACAGTACATACGAAGTATATACTGTAGTGAGTACAGTACTGCGCGCGTGTGAGCATAGGGGTTAACGTTGATTACGTACAGCGCAAGCCAAGCGCCATTCATTTACGGCGGTCGCCGTCAACACACGAGGAAGGGACGGGCAATTAACAATGGCTATAATGAAGACAACTGCGTGCGGATGGAGGAGATTGTCGTGAAGGCCCCGGCAGTGCTGAAGGGACGTGCCTGGAGCCCCTTCATTCGAGACCCTGGGAGCCCCCACCAGGGGTCAATTAATTGACACCTGAGGAGAGGGGACAGGGGGGCTGGCAGGGGTGCCCTGGCCTTCGATTAATTAGGAGCAATAGTTTGGTCGCGCATGTCTGCATGGCTGAGAGCGGAGGAGGAGGTGGTGGTGGTGGTGGAGGTGACGGCGACATTGGCAGTCCCAGCACTGACAGGCGACACAGGCCCAGGGCTTCGTCCGCGGCTGCAGTAGCAGCAGGAGGAGGAGGAGCAGCAGCAGCGGCAGCAGGAGGAGCAGCTGCTGGAGGTGACATGAGCCCCAGGAGTCGCCACAGGCTGCTGAGGGGGGGCTCCCATGGACACTGTTTCCGCAAGGTGACGCTCACCAAGCCCACGTTCTGCCAGCACTGCACCGACTTCGTGTGGGGCATCGTGGGCTACCAGTGCGAAGGTGAGTGAAAGCAGGTGGTGGTGGGTGAGCGTTTCATTTCAGATGTTAGGTTGGTGTGGCGAGGTTGGTGGCGGGGAGGGTCACCGATTCGTGTTCTGGAGGGCTTCTCTCACCCAGTCTTGCTCAATCACCCACTCGGCGATTACCTACTTGCTCGTCCACCTACGCCCACTCACTGACCAGTTGTGCAGCCCAAATCATTGTTGTTCATGTACTGTGCTGCCACGTCTCTTATACTCCCCCACCTTAACCTGCCTGCGTTGATCAGAGTGCAGAATAGTCGTATTACACCCCCCCCCACCTCGCATACTCATTCAGCAGTTGATTGACAAAAGGGCTGTGAGTGTAAATGAACCCACCTGTGCCCACTCAGCTGTTTAAGGTGGAGCGGCGGAGCCTCACTCATCTATTGACCAAGTCAATTAACTGCGGAACTCTTAACCAGCTACGGTGAGGGACTCATTAACTCTCCCACGGGCATCCACAACCTATTTAAGGGAGATGGGTAGGGACCTGCTCATCGATCAACCCACAACAACTAGAATAACATTAAATTTGTATACAGCGACATCCACGATCAATAAATACCGCAAATTTCTTACCCATTTAAAGGGGGCACACTTGGCCACCCACACGAAAGTGCGGAGGTGTGAGGGGCCAAGCGTGTACCATCATCTCATGCTAACCAGACCACAGTGGAGAGGGGGGGGGCTGGAGGAGCTGGTACTATCTAGGATACATTGGTGGTGATAGGGGCTAAGAGGGGGGCCCTGCTGGAGATATCTGGGTTCCACGTGATTCGAGAAGGGTTTGACTGTCAAGCCATTTTGCGCAGGGTCAAATCAATTTCCACCTCAATGTCGTTTATTTAAAGCAGGTGGGAGCCCTCTGAGAGAGCCGACTGTCTTTCTTCATTCTTACCGTGATGGCAAAATGAGAACGCGAAACCCATTTTGGAAGGGAGACCTGGTTAGCCCTTCTAATGCAATATTTAGTTTTTGTTATTCTCGCTTACGAACGCAAACCCGCAGCAGTGGTTTGTGTTTACAAACGATGCCACGGGGTGTTTAACGTCAAATCCTGGTGATTTGCCACGTTTACCAAAGCACGACGTGTGCTTTAGATCCCACGCTATATACCCCCGTGACATCAGGGCGCTGCTGACCCCTGACCTTGCTCAGCTCGCTAACAGCAACCCATGTTTCCCAATCTTCAGGTGTGCGCTGTGCAGCTGAATGGAGTGGGAAACTGCCATGTTTGTGATGGCAGTGGTGGCAATGGTGGAGGCGGTTGTGGCAATGGTGATGTATGTGACGGTGGTAGTGGTGGCAGTGGTGGTGAGCTGCTAACCTTGGGCGCGTTTGTTTGTGAACGTCAGCGATGTAGGAATGTAATTGATCACTTCGGTTGCCTAACACCTAGGGGAGGTCGTTTCCTTGATGCACCTGAGTGCTCACCAGTGTATTCAGTCAAAGTGAATCAGCCGTGCTCTCAGAGACTCGCTTTTTATGGCCGCATTAATAGCTTGGGAGCAGTAGTGGCGCAGTTGTTCAGCGCACCGAGCGGCGTTATGAATCCCACCACCCGAGTTTGTTAACCAGCCTTGGCGGTAACAACAGTGGTGGAGCGAGAAATATCAGAACTGGTCTTGGCTTCCGTATCCCCCTCCCACTTACCAACTTGTACCAAGAAGCATGGTGAAGTGTCGCTAAACAACAACCCCCATGACCGACACAGCTCAGTGAGACGTTCTAGCCGTGTCTCGACAAAAGGTTGTAAACTATCAATGTGTGCTTATTTCATGTCTGCCAAGGTGGCTGGGATATGACTGGTGATCACTGTAATTCTAAAAATAGACAGGCATAGGCATTACAAAGTAATTTCTACAGCAGTAACTTTCTCTACCCAACTTTTCTGGCTCAGCTGTCATTTGGGAATGGCAGTAAATCTCAGTTGGGCCCTCACCTAGTTGCATATAGTTGATTTGAAATTTCAATTTGGAGAAAAAACCAATGTCAAACAGTAGGAACGTGGAGTGAATTAAACTAAAAACTGCAAAGTTTTTATTTATTTTACTCGGTAATACCCATTGAGCTATATAGCTCTTTTTCAGAAGCGACCTGACCACAAATTATAGCTCAACGAAGTGGCTTATCATGTGCAAATGTATCGCAGAGAAATGCTGTAAACGCTCGTTTCTAACTGTGGAGGAAAAAAACCAGAGGACCTAAAGAAAAGTCTATGCGACCACGGGGAGAACACGCAAACTCCAAATATACAGCAGGCGTTAGGGTTGGGATCGAACCCACGACCTCCTGTATACCAGGTGAGGTAGTTAACATCTCGCCGCCGTGGTGCCCATTGATACCGATCAGCATTCGCTTCTTTGAGCTAGTTGTGGAAATTCCACATTCTTATATGATAGTGGTCATTCTGTCTTTAGCGCACAAGCCCCAATTCACTTATAGAAAGTGGCAGGCTCATTTTATCGCTTGTGGCCTTATCAGTAAAAGTGAGACCCAACCCCCAAAAGCACACAACTCGTATCTTTTACACATGTTCCTAAGACCATGTGTTCCGGGCTTGTGCTCCATAAATGGGAAATAAAGACTTTAAAACTACTGTCAGGTGCTCTGGCTTGTGGTAAAAGGTGTGTGTTATCAGGTGTGTATTATATTTTTTCCTTAAAACTCGTATTGAACAACCTGGGGCCACACATCCTAGGTACCTATGTAGAAAATAATAAAAATATGTAACCTTGGGTTGCTTATACTTTTAAGTGGGAGGGATCAATGGGACTGTGATTTGTGCACCCAGCAACCTAGGCTTAATTCCTGGCCAAGGCTAACATCAGCTGCGAGTGATCTCTGAACCAGTCCTTGGTTTTATCCCCTTTCACAAACCCACAATGACCAGCATGGTGAAGTATGGTCAAACAACCCCCATGGAAAACCCACGTGTTAAAAATAAAGTCCTTGTCTGAGTCAGGCTGTGCTATTGCGTATCTGCGTCAGAGGGCTTGGTAAGAGCGCGGCACAACGAATGACCTTCTGCGAGGGCACTGCAGTGGTGTCCACCCTCTGTGCTCGGCTCCCTAGGGATCGATGACTGCGTGCGAATGAAGGGAGAGGGCGCGGGGTCTCGGTGTGCGGGGCCGGTGTCGTGGCCTGACATCTTCGTCTGAAGTCCTCATTAGCATGGGTGTTAGCGGCTTGAATTCCACCATCGGCGGGAGTGCTTGTAATGATCGCATTTAAATTGCACCCGTCATCGGAAGAACCGCTCCAAGGCACGTACGTTTACAGTCTGTTTTTAATATCGATTATTAATCTCGTGACGCGGGCACCGAATGCCGCGTCTACGAATTGGTGTTTTTCGATTTGTGTATCTTTGCAGCGTGTTTCAGGTTAACCCATGCAGCTACTAGATTTTCTTTCAATGCTCCGTGATGTTAAGACGTAATTTACTCTTGACTTGAATTACGACCCCAAATTGTGACCAGGTCATTGACATCACACATTCGGGGGCGAACATTTTCACCCTTCCTATACATCTTACCTCGCCATACCACACTCTTACATTAATCGTACAACATTCAACCATTTGCCACACTTGCTCATGAGCCATGCGTATATTTTGGAAATTCCTTATGAAAGAGAGTTCCAAAACACTGGAGCCAATTTGACATTAGTTATGTCACAGGCTCCAGCTAGATGGGTTGGTGGGACATCAGAGATGGGAATTAGTTGATCGTAGTTCGATGGTTCAGATTCACCATCATCATCAGTCATGTTCAATCCACTGCTGAATGATAGTCTCCCTAAGCCACTGTTATATGTCAAGGTCATGCAATATAGCAATCCACCCAGCACTTGCATGCAACCTGCCTGGGTCATGTGTTGTATTACCAAAGTGCGTTGTTTGGTGATGTCAAACGGGCATCATAGATCCTGTGACGGCATTCACAAGAGCCGGCTGATGCGTGTTAGCATTGTGATCCAAACGCCTGACGTGTAAACAGCTGGCAGCTCAATTGCCAAAAAAAGATTATTCCAGCGGTCGCTTTGTTGTGAAATGCAGTTACTCATCAGTCTCTTGCAGTAGGAATTTTGTTTGTCAGCGGCCTCTAATCTAACTTCAAATGAACTGACTCCCCTGATTGAAAGGAATTGAATCATTCCCCTATTTGTGCTGGTGGTTGCTTGGAGGCATTCATTATGGGCAAACGGATTCGAGCAGGATGGGCATCCGCCTTCCGCCTCGGTCGCGGAAGAGCTGTTTTTCTGTGTGCGGCGCTGTAATCGCGTCCGTGAGCGTCATCTCAACACAAGCTGCAGCCCGCATGCTACGGTTTTCTGCGCCCGTTGCGCCAAAACCATTTTCATTTCAACCGCCTGAGCCTCGGGGCATTTATCTGCTGAAGCCTGAGAACCAGGGTTAATTTCATCTGGGCCTGTCCAGGTCTGCGACCCAGAACATTTTCCTGCACCCTGAACACAACATCTAGTATACCTCTCTATGGCTCTGATGAATAACCACAGCCATTATGAGAGGTATTCCGGAGATGGTAGGCTGGAGGTGGCACCCGACTATTCGCCACTGCCAAAGGGGGAAAGTGTATTGGATGTGGTAGACCGGGAGGTGGCATGTCACTTGTAACCACAGCGAGAGTATACCTCTCAATGTGGCTGTGACTGGTATCTTCAAGCATAGTGAACTCTGACTAGAGTAGCCCACAGGCCATTGTGAGAATTCTACTACTGGGTGTTGTGTGTCAGTATGCCAGTATCCCTCTCGCCATGGCTGTGGCTACTAAGCTACGTGCCACCTCCCGATTACCAGCCATCCGGATGATATTTGGTGAGAAATGAAGCCATGCTCAAATCTTGAAAACGATCGCAGCTCTGTCACGAAACAGGATGGACCACCATGCTCGGACCTGCGCGGCGGTCAGGCGTGACCGCTCATTTTGGAATTTTGGTTGGGAGCGTCGTCACAAT